CCTCATGCTCCAGGAATCCAGTGACCCACGCAAACCAGCTAATAGCGGGCCTGACCACTGAACAAGAGCAAAGGTTGATTCCCAGGAGATTCCCTCACTTCAGTATCTGCTAGACCTCTCTGCAGTTGGCGGCAGCTCGTGTGTGTAATATCTCCCTCCAAGTTGAGTGAAGGAGCAGTGAAGCAAATAGCTGACATGGCTGGTATCAATAAGAGCTGAGACATGTCATCAGCTCTGAGTGATTCAGGATGGAGGAGCCTGTCCATGTCGATAGCTCATCCCTCTCACTCTCATACACACATGCTCTCAGTCTTTCTCTGGTCTCATTCCTTCCATTCCTCATTGATCTGCTACCCAGGTCCTGCGAGGAAGAGGGCGACGGGTAAAGTGATCAGGCAATGACATCACCTTCTGGCCACCTCATCCTCCGCTCTGGATATTGCGAGTGTGTTTATGTGTATGGGTGACCCAGTCTTAGAGTGGAGAATAGACTCATACTTTAAGAAACAATTTCCTCTCTAGACGTGAGGGGTCCTGGAACACTACAGGGACTAGTCTAGTCTAGACTAATGTTTCCCCTATAATGAAAACATTTCAGTTCAGTCTATGATGATGTATTGTAGCAGCTCATATGGCAGATATAGTCTGGGTTTTGTCATTGGTATAAAGCACTCTATCAATCAGTAATAAGAAACACATGTAGTACAGGTGAGTCATGTCAGACTCGATCATTTATGTCTGATGAATATTGTTTATCGTGTTTTGACTGAAGCAATCCCAGGACATGACGTGAAATCTACTCACACAGACAGGTAGGCACACCACCTGGTGGAGATAGGGAGGCCTATGACACACAGAGCCAGCGCGCGCACACACACACACACACACACACACACACACACACACACACACACACACACACACACACACACACACACACATACACACACACACAGGACTTGCAACAGTCATTATTATGGTCTGGGGTTGCTTGGTAACAAGGTGAATGCCAGAGGGTGAGGTTTCAGGTGTACAGCTGCGTCTCACATAGCCCTCCTCTCTCTTATCTCTACTCTTCTTGCTTCACTCAGGCTGTCACAAGCAGTACACTCATTTGGTGCCCGCCCACTTCCTGCTGGAGGAAAGCCTTATATGGACATTAACCTGGGCGTGAATAGCAGGACAACACTTGAGATGAGCAGGGGTAGAAAAATTCACTCTCTATAATTTTATAACACCTCTTTCAAAGAGTCCTCTTCTTTTGAGGGAGTGATATGATCATAAAGCCAATGTTTGTCTTAGGTGGGGGTTTCAGGCAATATCTTTGATTATCAAAATGACTAAGAGGTGAAGGTGATAGACTCCAGCAGGAAAGGAAAGTTGTCCACTTACAACTCTGAATCTGCATGTTTAATTTTTATCAATTTTTATAGTTGATGATTCGATATCATTTTGTGTTTTAAAAATAGAAGTCTGTTATTAGTTGAATGCAAATTGATTTTTTGAGAAACGGTTTCAAGAGATACAACCTTTGCAAAGATAATTAAAGGTCCTATGAGGTGTTTTTGACCTTTAGGAAAAAACTGAAATTCATGGTGATGCCTATTAATGATATACAAAAGCAAACAAACCTATAATCAAAAACTCTGACTCAATGTTAACCACAAAAATTTCAGACTAGGAGACAGAGGTTACTAATATCAGTGTCGGAAAAGAAGCAGACGTCCACCTCATGATCTAGTTTCCTCCCATTGATTGATACATCATTTACAATCATGGACACACACATCCCCTGACCCAAAAAACACTCTTTGTTTGTCACTGAGTACACAATACACTCATCATTACGTAGACTTGCATCTTTGCAAACTTTTGCCATCACACCTCTGCCAGCACACTCAGGGGTCACTCACTGGAAAGCCTCAGGAAGCACATGGCACATTTTATTCCAAACAACAAACGTATCATCACTTTAAACTCTGCCTGTTATCTATCAGCCAGGCCCCTGACACCCACTCTTCTCTACATTCCTGATATCAAAAGACAATGAAGAGAAGACTTTTCCAAAGACCAATCAGCCCCCCCGTGGGTCCACATCAAACGGGGCTCTGGAATCAAACTCACCCACTCATACCGCTCATGGGTGTGGTATGGATGATGGGCCTCCCAGTGTGTGTATGTGTGTGTGTGTCCTCACATTGGGGGGTAGAAAAGAGGTAACAGAAGCATAACAATAACAGACACACTGGAAAGAGACAAGAGTCCTCCTAATGATGTCATGCTGTCTGCTTTATGTGTATATTCAATTGGAATTCAGCACAGTCACACACACACTGAGGCAGATGAATCTGGAAAAAGTGCATCAAGGTTTTATAATTATTAGGTAGGAGCTACATTATTGTTGGTATTTTGAATAATGTGCATTTAAATCAATCTCAAGCAGGCAAAAGATGCTCAAACAAGCACGAGATGCTTGCTTTTTGACTGATCATTTGAGCAACATGTGGCTCTAAACTGTAAACTGACACTGCAAGAATCTATTTGAAATGGAGGCTGTGTGATAGTTAAAGATTATTACAAGGCAGTTTGTTTTACATCTCATCTGAGTAGGTCCTGGATTTCTCTTTCTTGAAACAGGTCAGGTGTAAACTTTTGTCTGTGTGACTGTGTTTGTCTGGAAGTGATTTAGATATGCCAGGTGGTTTGCACAGTTAAGTGTGTGTAACTAAGGTGTGCCTCTAATCTTTATCCAGGGTTGAAACAGGATCATGGCAGTAAAATCAAATAAGTTGATACAGACCCCACTATCTATTTCTGGGGATGAAATTATGGATTGTTAAAAATGATTGATTTTCAATCGGAATAATTTCAAATTTGGAATGATTTTGCTGGTATTACTTTTTTGGTGGTTGCCGCTATTACATGTCATCTAAACTCAGCAGGATGTCTCCTCATCTATTTGACTTGGAATAGTTGCACAAGCTCGGCGTCCTTCTCAGTAACTTGTCAGCGCTTGTAGGGATTAAAATGGTTTCTTTCTAATCTGTAAAACATCACATCCTCTCTCTTTTAAGGGGACTGTTAAAACACATCTGGCAGATTTTGCCAGGTGCTGTCAGAGTTGGGGTTGTACTTTACTCCTGTGTTGCCTCTCACAGATGTTTCATTCAATCAGTCACACCAAGGCCCTCACAGCTACTGGTCAGACCTCTCATTAGTGTTATAACATCCACATCAAAGAAAGGAGGGACAGGCTTAGCCTCTCTGAACTAACAGATTAAGTCCTGGTTTCAGTTTACAGGGTCAGGTTTTGATTAGAAAACCATCTGAAGATTTTTACTGCGACTGAGTCTTCTCACGAAAGGTTTCAATCATACCTTCATGATGGGACTTCCTGTGCTGCTCCAATGGTCTGTGGCACCCCCCAGTGGTCACTGTACTGCAATGTCCTGCTATCATTTACAGCCGCCAACAGAGAACCTGTATGGCTCTTCATAACATTAATGCTTTCTAAATGTCATAATGGCTGACCTGAAAAAAATCACCAAAATCACAGGTTGATGACATGGTGATATAATTAATGGATAATGTCTATTTGTTGGCACTGTCCCCATGGACACATAGCTAATAAGTTTATTCAACCATAATTGAAAGATGGATATTTTGGCCATGTCACAATGCGAATACAAGGCTCACTTGAGGACATTTCAGGCACTGTAAATGAGGTAGGGCATGTTCACGTGTTTGTGGTAGCTGACTTTTACTTCTCAATCCGTGAATATCTACTTTCAAGCTTCTCCCAAGATTAGTTTTCTTGTTTTCCTTTATCTCAGACATGTAATCTTTTTCATGTACCTTGACATGCCTCGGTGGAAACTTCTGCCTTCCTCAGAAGTGTCACCTGGTGGTAGGTGTGACACATCATATCGGCTGGTATATCACCTTCCACCAAGTGACACTTTTGAGGAAGGCGGAAGTTCTGCCAAAACATGAATAAGATTACATGTCTGAGATAAAGGGAAAAAAGAAAACTATTTCTAAGAAACTGAAGACATAATGAACATCATTTAACTATTCTCCCGAGGTTGTTTTCCCAGCTATGAAGTTCATTTATGATGTTGCATACTAACAGTGCCTCCTATCATTCAAGACAGAAGGGAAGTTTTGAAAACGCGTGCAAAGCTAGTTTTCAGGACAGGAACTGGTCAGTATTTACTGAAGAACAGGTAAACTTCCTGTACATATGCATATTCTTCTTACAATGCAAATCCTGAAGATGTTATTTTTTACATTAAGGTTTCATACCAAAGTCTTGCAAGCCCGTTTAAGCTATCAGGAATAATGACAGCAAGGTTCCAGTATTTAACACCTTGGTGACATGATACAGTTGAAAGTAATTAAGAAGGCTAATTTTAGGCTTATTAAAAGCTAGGTTTGTGTATTTTAGGCCCAGAACCATAAAAAAAGATGAGGGCATAAAAACGGGAGATACATGTGACCTTTTTATTGGCAGTATTTTCAAAGACATCATATGCACAAATTCACTCGTCCAATATAACAGTAACACAATAATAAAATAAATATGAGGTTCTTTTTTGAAAGTATTTTCAAGTTTTTTGGGAAATATTTGCTGATAAATTACACACACCAGTAAATCGGTAAACATTCAGATTTGTGGTAAATGATGTTATTACCCTGTATCAAAAATGACAATATTTGTTTGATATTTTAAAATTAAGGTAACCATCTGGAGAACACACAAAGAAAAGACTTACTCTCTCCTCTTGTCAAAAACCATCATCTTAAGAATCACATACTTGCACTATTAAAGCAGCAAAGGGCAGAGCAGGCAGCAGCAAATGAACAACAACCACATTATTGCTGTCTTCAGTTGCTATGTGAAAACTCAAATAACATTACAGGCTAACATTAGACAGCCTTTTATACACTGTGTATTTTAAACCCAACAGGCTCCAGGAAGGCGGCCTCTATCCTCTATTTCAGGACCTTTTCCCCCCCGTCGGGGGTAGGTTAGGGGGATGTTTGTGGTAATAGTCTGGTGGGGTGGGATTGGGGCTTGCAGTCATCCCTGTAGGAACATAATACATACTCTCTAAGTAGCTCTGGTCCAGTGGTGGATGGTTCTGGGGTTCTGGCTTGGGCCCCTGACCAGAGGGATTCCTGTAGCCAACACCAGGCCCACTTGGGTGCAGTGTTGCTACACCAGAGGGCTCAGGGTAGCGAGGTGGCTGAGGTTGAGCCTGGGGGTGAGCAGGGGGAGGAGGAGCTGCATAGGGCATGTACTGTGGAGCAGGGGCATACATGTTGGGGTTGTGGAGGGATGGGTAAGGAGCTGCTGATGGAGGATACAGACTTGAGTGTGACATTGCTTGCTGTGGGATGAGCACTTCTACATATTGGCCAGTCTCTGGATCAAACAACATTTTCCTTAGTGGCTGCACAGGCACCTCAATATAAAAATACTTTCCTGTTTCAGGGTCCAGCAGGACTCTGCGGGGTGCCTGTCCATAGTTGCTCTCTGAGTATAAACTGGAGCTGTCACCCCCATATTCAGAGCCGTAGGAAGGCCCCAAGCTTTGAGGGCCACAAAGATACTGGGGATCCATTGGTGGAAGACCAGGAGAGTGACCATGGACAGGATCACCATATGGAGCTCCTGTCATGCTTGGTGGCTGTTGCTGGGGGGATCTGTGGACTGGAGCTCGTCGCAAGTCAACATGTTGTGATGACTGCAATCCACGGTCAGAAGGACAGCCATGCAATAGTGAGGGATGGGGAGGACAAGGAGGAGGATGGTGAAGAGGTTGATACATGGCCTGTGGCTGGCTTGGACCAAGAGGACTTGATTTTGGAGAACCAGGCTGGTAGGTGATTTGCTGAGGGTCAGGTCTGCACTGGTGTGGACGAAGAGGGGGCTGAGATACTGGGTAAGGCAGCGCTTGGCCAGGAGAGTGGGTAGGGGCAGGAGGGGTGAGGTTATGTGGACTGCGGTGATGGTGAGGAGGGGTGGGACCCGGGTGGGAGGGGCAGCCAGTTGTACAAGAGCAGGGAGGAGGGCGGGTGGAGGGTTGATAGCGGTTCGACCTCCTGGTGGTCAGATCCTGGAGCATAAGAGGACTGAAGCTCTCTCTTTCATCATAGCTTGGAGGATCATCTGAAGCATAAAATTGCATTTCCTCTGTCCTGTGGAAGCACTCACCAGAAAGTGATCTGCGGTATGTCTGTTGCGTGTATCCTGGCACTTGTGTTGTGGAAATAGGAGTTGATTGTTTTGCACTGCTTGAAGCTACAGACACAGCTTGTTCATGAAGATATGCCATTCTGGGATGAGGTGGTTGGATGCCTTGATCTACAACAGTTTGCTGGCTGGGCTGACTGGCTGCAGCCTGGACAGGTGCAGGAGCTTGGTGTGCATTTGGATCAAAAACTGGACTAGGTTGTGAGGTTAACCCTTGCCCAGCGGTTGATGTTGGAGCTGAAGCCGAGGTTGAGGCTCCTTGTGTATCAGTAGAGGACTGAGAGACAGGTTCCGGCAGCTGTTGTTGACCTCTGTCAGTAGATGCATCTGTCTCTGATGATGCTGTTGACTGGTTTGAGAGATTACTTATGTTGGTTGCTGTCGTTTTGTAAGAGGGAGGTTTGATGCTGGATACCGCAGACACAGCCAGCTTTCTTGCACTGTGTGATGTTGATGTCGACTCATTGGAGATTTTTCTATAGATTGTTGGTGAGGACACTACAATAGTTTGATTCCTTTCCTCACTTTGTGGCTTTAAAGTGGGTGTTATTGGTGATGGTCTGGGTGCTTCATTTGGCATTGCTCCTAAGTCTGAGGGTTTAAATTTGCAACTTGGTTTTGGAGGCACAACTGGTTTTTGAGAATTTTTGGCTATGGATTTAACCTCTATGGCTTGAGGCCTGTTGTTCCCTGCAGCATTTGTGGGTGTAAGTTGCTTCTGTGTATCTTTAGACAATGACTTAACCTCAATTGACTGAGGTCTGAATCTCCTTATTGCAGGGGACCTTGGGGGAAAGGTGGGATCAAGTCTTTTCACTGCTTCAAAATCTCCCAGTTCCTTCTGTTTGGCAGGAAGTTGTGTTTGCTCATGCATACTCTTAGGCGAAGAAGCCATTTTTTGTTTTGTTGTGTCCGTTACTGTAGGCTTCAAAGTAACATCTTCTTCTTCTCTGGTCTTTATTGGGGTGTCTGCATTTTCAGACACTGCTGAGGGTCCAGATATGGTGGATGAGGATGAGAAAGTCCTCTCTCTGTGAGACCGGATCTGGCCTTCATCTGATGAAGCAGGGGTCTGAAGGGGGATCTCCAGGCAGTTAACATGTTTACGGGGAGCTCCTTTCCCTCCAGTTGCATTCTGGTTGTCACCCACCACAGCGCCAATGTCAGCTTGGTAGCCTTTCTCCTTTAATATCATAGAGACCGAGTGACCACTGCTACCAGGGGTAGCAAGCCCAGGTGAAGGTGGAGCAGCTTGGGATTGAGTTTTGGTAGAAATCTCCTCTTGGGGTGAAAATGCAGATGTCTTGGTCTTACTTGATCCATCCCGAATTAACACAACAGCAGTTGAAACCTCTCTGTCCTTACTGGACTGTCTGGGGATGCTTCCGAGCATGGGAGGTTTTTTATCCGTTCTAACATGTCTGCCCTCATTGTCTGACACTGTTACAACCTCTTGTTTTACTGCTGCCATGTTTGAATCATGCTGATACGATGTGGAAATAACTGTGTCTTCACTGGAGTCATTGTGTGCGTTTGCATTCAATGACATCTCCTTGGCAGGTTTTGGAGAAGTTTGGGATTTTTCATCCAACCTCTCAGAGTTTGTCTTGGTGGAAGACATGTTATTTTTCTCATCCTTAGAGCAAACAGCTCTATATTCTATTTGCATTGGCTGTGGATACAATGGAGAACTTCTTTTGTTCTGAAAAGGCGATGATAGATTAGGCAGCTTTGAGTCTTTTATCTCCTCTTTTTGCTCCTCTTTTCTATCCAACCCAAACGCCTCTTCCCTCTCCTTGCTCTTTATCTCTTGACTCACCCTCCTCTCTTCCTCAGCTTTGACCTCTTCCTCATTCACTTTTTCTTGATTTAAATGATCCATCTTTTCTACATTCCCAGATGTTGGGATAACAGAACCAGATGCTCTGAAGGACAGATTGTACGTGTTTTTCACAAGCCGCCTCACATCTCTGACTTTGTGAATGGGAACTCTGACTTGATTATTCCCATTTCCCTCCTCGTCCTCTGTTTTATCATCTACACAGGCTTCTTCCCTACCCTCCTGTCTTCTGAAAGATATATCCGGTGAAGAATCATCATGTTTGTTTTCTGCCTCTGGGGTGAGACAGACATTTATGGAGGCTTTCTTTTTCTCCACAGCTTTGAGCATGATCTCCTGTGTATTTGATGTGTGCACGTCCTTGTCACCCTGTTGCAGTTGTTTATGATCATCCGTGTTTTCACATTCCTGGTCTCTATTTGTCGTCCTGGCCTGCGTGCTGCTGGCTCTAGTGACAGAAGGAGCTCCTGTGTTCCCGGCAGTGGCATTTGCTGACTCACTGGCCTCCCTTTCGTCCCATGTTTTACAGTTGTCTGCTTCTTGTACTCCAGTTCTTGAATGTTTACTATCAAATGGCACTTTTAATTCAGATCTAATTTCAGATCTTGATGAGGTTGCACTTCTACTTTCAGAATCAGCCTCTTCACTCTCAGTCTGTGAAAAATTCACACTTCTGCTACTGCTAGATGAACTTGGCCTCTTCACTCCAAAGCCTTTTGCTGTTTTGACTCCATCCTTTATGCTTAGCTCTCCTCTCACAGAAGGACCCTCAGATGAAATACTACAATCTGACTGAATGCTTGAGCTCAGAGTAGGTTTGGGGGACTCTTTGAGCGGCGATGCTATAGTCTCTGTTGGTGGGATGTTTTCCTCAAAAGAAGGGTTTACTTCTTCACCCGTCTGCTCGTCATTTTGTTTATCCACACTCTGCATCTTCTTGGACAACACACTTTTAATGAGACACGTTGCCATCTTTGTCTTTGTACATGACTCATCCACAAAAGGAGATTTTTGGAGATCAGATTTCCTTTCATTTTGTTGAATGGGTTCAGGACTGAGCTCAGATGGGTAGCAGTCTTGCATTGATTCCAGTGTGCTGTGTTCTCCCATGAATGTCTCACTGGAGTGACTCTCAAAAGAGGAGCTTTCCATCATCACTGGTACACCAGGACTACTATTTTCACTGCTCTCATCTTGCTTCCCTTCAGCATTATTCTTTCTCTTCAGCTGGATCTGTCTTTTTGGCACTCCTCTTCTCACCTTCCTTGAGTCTTCTCTCTCGACGGCAACATCTACACACTCGAAGCTACCCATCTCATACCGCCTTGATGGATCAAGGCCATCTGAGTAGTATGCATAAGGCTGCTGGAAGGAGAGTTCATCATTGTCCATCTTTTGAGCGGAACCCTTGAAGTCAGCATAAGCAAGCCAGGCAGCATTGACCCCAGCTGGGCTATCCTGAGTAGAAGGTTGAGAGATGTTGGCAGATGAACGATGGCTGGAGTTGTACATGTCAAGGTAATCTACCTCAGGGCTTGACAGGCTACTGAAAGCTACATCAGTAAACCACTTGACCTCATTGTCTGCCTCATCAAGCTCACTTCCCATGCTGGAACTGGAACTACGGCAGGGCCTGTTTGAAGCCACACGTCCTGGAGTAGAGTTCTTGTTCTGTAGAGCAGGAGGCTGAGGCCGTCTGCTCGGTCCAACAATCCTGGTGTCTTGTTGGGAAGCAAACAGACTGTGTTGCTGTTGTCGTCTGGAGGCAAGCAAGCTTTCTGAATAGGAATGCACTGTTGGCAGTCCCTGACGGATCTCTCTGCTTGTGGGAGCTGCTCTGCGACTCACAGGCCCTTTTCTATTCCTGGCATTGAATGACAGCTCAGCCTGTTCCCCTCTGTAACTGGCATCTCCCTGCCACCCCTTTTCAGGAACTGGCTCCTCCTTCTTTCGCTCTCTCTCCATCTCCCTCTCTTTTATCCTCCCCCTAGCTACCTCTCTATCCTCCTCCAGCTGCATTTCCCTCTCCATCTCCAATTGCGTTCCGAGCCTGACCCACTGAGCCTGGCTATTACTGTCAACAGGGGCAACATCGGGGCTTTCCCTGTTTGTCACCACTTTCTTTAAATGACCACTATTTGAGGATGCTTCAACTTGAGAGGGGCTATGGCTTCTGTTCTGCCACGGCCTGTATGGTTTTTCAGGCGCTATGATGTGGACAGGTGTAAACCTTGTGAGTGGTGGAGAAGGAGTTCGCCTTCTGTGTAAATGGTGGGCCATGTCCTCTGTAGTTCTCTCTTTCTTTTCACGTCTTGTACTGGCTAAGAGCTGTTTTCTTGTGTGCTTAATTCTACTAGTTGATTCAACTGAGCTGCTGTTTTCAGAATTCAGAGAGCAAGTGTTGAATTTAGGCTGTGAGTTTTCCAGTCCTTGCAGTGATGAGTTGGGAGAAGCACCTGAAATGTTTGGACTCTTTGCTTGAGACACAGTATGATCCAGGAAAGAAGACTTGATGTTAACAGAGGGATTGTTACAAGTCTCTTCCTTTTGAAAAAGGATGGGACAAATGGCTTGTTTTTTGTTTGAGAAAGTGGGAAAATTCAAGCTTTCTTGAGGGTCTCTCTCCTTGGGTGTTACCTCACTCTCTAAGCTTTGTTGTTTCAGTGAACTTTCTGCTGTTCCCTCAGCTAGCAAAGGTGAAGTAGATACAGGAGATACAGGTGCTTGGACTGCAACCACTGGGGATCTGCTTTGGATTTCAGTTTTAGCTGATTTGTCCCTGTCGGCTGAATCAAATGACGGTGATACACACTCTTTTTTCAAATATGTTGGACACAGTGTTTCTCTGATATCAACTGAGGAGGAATCCCCCTCAACATCAGGTGTATTTCTCAGAGGAGGAGTGGTTGTTTTGTGATGAGAGTTGTGCTCAGTGGAGAGGTTTGCTGGTGAAGGCTGCTGACACCTCTGCTCAGGAGATGGGGCGACTGGTGATGGCTCTTTACTTCTCTCCCACGATGATGGACTGTGATGCTTGTCAGGGGAAGGGGTTTGAAATCTCTCCTCAAGAGAGGGAGTTAAACGCTCTGTCCTTGGTGACGGAGTCTGGTACCTTTGGCAATTTGTCAGAGTTTCTTCGGGCTGCAAGACAGAGATGGTGCAGTCTGATACTTGTGGTGAGTCTCGAGGTGTACCACTGGATTCAGCTTTACCACTCTGTACACTGTCCCTGCCTGGGGTAGGGCTTCTTGCTTCTGGGGACACACGAGTCCTATCAAGTTGTGAGTTGGAGAGACGCAGGAGTTCTGGAAATGGAGGACTGTCCCTGTCCTCAGGCTGTATGACTGAATAAGAAATTCCTGTGATATGAGGAGATGAGGCAAGGCTTCTTGATGAGGCAGAATCAAAGTGAGGCTTAGGAAGAGGAGATGGTGATGTTGACTTCACCTCAGAGGGGCACTCTCTTCTACTGACCTCAGGTGAAGATGCTGTTATTCGTATTTCAGGTGAGGGGGCAGTATGTCTGAGCTCTATAGGAAAGGAGTTCTGAGTAACTTCAGGTGATGGAGATAAACTATCACTTTTTACAGGTGTAGAGACCTGGGTCCTGATTTCAGAGGGTGATGAAATGTGCCTTGCCCTTTGTGAGGGATCAGGAGAGGGACTTCTTGTTGCAGGGGCACTGAGCTGGCCAGATGAGGGAGCAGTGACACCGCTTTCCTCAAGCTCAGGGTATGGTGCTACTGAGATGATAGGTGAGGGAGGAGTATATTGTGGGGCAGGTGATGATGAAGTGCTGGCAGGTTCAGCTGATAACCTTGTAGCTTGGCTCTCAGGGGTGGTAGTTGTGTCTCTTCCTGCAGGAGAGGGATTTGAAATCAGCTCAGGGGTGTGGGTAGACACTTCAGTATCAGGTGTGGAACCCCTACTGAAGAGATCAGGGAGGGAGACTTTACTTCTTAGCTCTGGAAAAGGAGAGGACCCTTGAATATCAGGGGAGTAGGACCTTTCTTGCGATCCAGGAGACTGAGCTGGAGAATCTCTTGAGTGTGGTGATAATCCTCTGCCACTGAACGAAGGTGAGGGGGATGAAAGGGTGGCTCTCAAAGAAAAATCTCCAGATGTGGGCTCTAATGGTTCAGGTGATGGACTTTGGTGTTTATGAAAGTAGCTGCTTTGTGGTTCAGGTGAAAGTTGTGCAACTGTGAACTCAGCAAAAGATTGAGTACTCAGTGATTCTGAGGATAAGTTGACACAATCTTCCGATGGAGGGGAGGGACTTAAAGACTGACGTGAGGGAGGTCTGTGTTTATCTGTGAAGGAAGGGGTGATTCTACTTGAATCAGTTTCTAAAAAAGCTTGTTCTGGTTTAGGCGGTGATGGTGAACATCTTTTTTCCAATGAGGAAGAAGATAAGGAGGATGCTCTGCCTGGACCGAGGGTATGGGGGCTGTTATGTCCAGGAGATGGAGTACTCTCACCAGCGTTGAAGACTTCAGTTGATGGGCTACTTGTGCAAAGCTGTATTAATGGTGATTTTCTTTTTGGTTCTAAATTTGAACAACTGTCCTCAGAAACTTCTGTATCCCCTGAGCACAGTCCTCCGTCCTCTGTCTGACTCCTTTGTAAAGATTCACTCTGCAAAGTGGGGCTGTAAAGCCTCTCTCCTGAATCCTCAAAGCCTTCCTCTCCTTCACTGGAGCCCTGAGCAGTGTGATAAGAGCCCGAGGAGCTGTTCAGATCATCCACCAGGGGTGATGCAACAACTGTCCCCTCCACCTCTCTCTGAGAAGGGACAAAAGCCCCTACAGCAGGGCTGCTTGAAAGAGAAGGTGACTCACTGTCGTCTCCAAAAATGTCACACAGGCAGGTGGTCTCTGAAATTGCACTGCTTTGGCTCGGGACGTTAATGATGTCAAAGATTTCAACGTGGTTGGGGGTTCCGTCTCGGTGGCACAGAGAGAAAGTGCGGGGCGCACTGCGCAGGAAGGAGTAGCTGTCCCCCTGGAGAGTCCAGCTGTCCATTGCTTGTCCACCAGCTCCAAATGATTACTGTGGCCAGTCCAGTCTGCTCTTCCAGTCTGCACTGAGCTCTGTTCCTGGACTGTAAAAAGATATGTTCACCTGGAGTGTGTGTAACAGAGTCATTTGTATAATCAATAACAATTACAAAATCACTTAAAGTCGAAGGGCAAAAGCACATATTTATTGCGTTAACACCATGCACTGTTTCTGTGTTATTAGCATGCCAACAACAAATTTAGCTCAAAATCCAAAATGCTCCGAAAATACCTACAGTTCGCAGAGTAACTGTAAACCTCCAAGAGGTCCTCAGAGCACAAATATAACTGTCACTGCGCTTTAACAAGCAGGAACAAGCTTGGAAATTAGGTCAAGATACTCTAGAAAGTCCTTTGTGAATTAAGCATTAGTACTTGACATTCACTGTCTACATGTGCCTTGATCAAGACGTGCAGCTTTTGTTGAATTACCCAAAGATTTCAATATTTTCTAACAAGAAGTAAAAAGATTCAGATCCAAATCTTTGCCAAATATAGACACTTAACCAAGTTTGAGCATTAATTTGTTATAGTGGTGAGCACATATCGACAGCTTGCTCCATGTGCACATAGAGGAAGACAGAATGATAGGTACTGTACCTTTGGCCAATGATGAGGCTTTCCCAAGGGCATTGAGTTCCTCTGTGTCACAATATCTGCTCCTCATCCAGCGTACAGTCTCTAAAATCCACAGCTGAGTCCAGGACTGAGCAACTTGGTACAGCTCAGTCTGACAGTGCCACACCAGAATGTCAGAAAGGCACTGCCATGTAACACACTTGAAAGGAAAAAGCACAGAGGGGCATCTCGCTCAAGCCCATTTCATCTTCTAATTCTTCCATCTCTATTTCCGCCCCTCCCCTCTGAGGTGGCCACAAGGAAATTGCTTACTGAGTCTAACCTGGATCCTTTTTCTTCTCCAGGCAGGGGTTTGGTTGGACATTGGCTTTTCTGTGTGAGTAGGGGGTGCAGTGCCGGGGGGTGGGTGGGTTTATAGTTAGCAGCAGGTGCTGATCCGGCCAGGATAGATGAGTGCGCCTGGAATCTGACACTTAAAGCCAGCTCAGTCACAGGGCACCTCTATATATAGACCCATACTATCAAGGCCAGATAGCCTAGCTTTATCTGTTTGCCTAAACATGCTGGAAAAAAGAAAGGGGAAATACACAGCTGGAAGGATAGCCCACTCACCAGCATAATATACAGCACATATGTGTTTATATCTAAATGTAATGTGTTTGTGCTTTTCTGTGTATGTAAACTTTATATGTCAGAGTCTGTCACTGCTGAGATGTAACTGTGGTTCAACAGGTTAAAGGTTAAAACAGACCACCTGACTCTAACAGCTAACATACACAGCTCCTATGCTCCTGTGTTGGCTATCACATAGCATAGGTAAGTTGTTCTCACATGTTGTAGATCACGTTTTTACTTTTCAGTTTCTGGTCACTTTAGCTAAAAGCTGCTTTAAGGAGTTTTTCAATTTGTATGAAATAGACATGACGTGACGTTTGTGACATGTGCTGCAGACCTCTTGGCCAGGTCACCCTTGTGAAAGAGATCTTGATCTCAATGGCTTTTAACTGGTTAAATAAAGATTGAATAAAAGACTGGAATTCTTTCTATGAAATACAAAGACAAACAAGACCATCAGCGGATTTTTACATCCTTATTTTTATTGTCTGTTTCATAAACCAATGTGAGGGAGTGGGTCCAAGCCTTGCTGCTAAAAAAAGGGCTATTTTTCCTCGTGAAACATACAATTGACTGTCAAAAGTCTTGACCTAATCCAAAATTAGGTGCTTCGAATTACAGATAAAAATAAAAAAATAAATGAAGACTTCCTGCTATAAAGCCCCAGATGAATACAATTCTTTCATGGTAGATTAAAACATTTTACTAATATTTTTTTGCAGCAATACCAGTGCCCTTTCAGCCACATTGAGAGTGTCTGAGCAGGTCTGATTGTGGTGAGTTTGGATAAGCTCTCTGTCCCTAACTTAATACCGCATTGGATTACCATTCATGCCCAGTCGTTAAGTCATTCAGGGCAAGCCAATGGAAAATCTATGATTGCAGCCCCGACTGAATGTTGCACGAGGCTGTGACTAGGGGTTTATGTTAATGTATACATCGAATTTCTTCTCCATTTTTTTTTTTTGTAATAGGCGCATTCACTTTCAATAAGGATGGACACACTGAGCCCTTGACCTTGATGGAGTTTTGCAAAGTTTTAGCCAGAGCTACAAAAGTAGCTAATATAATAGTTTCATAGTATTTTTACAAAACTATTAATTCATTGAAAACTTGTCTTTATCTACAAGATGTTAATAGACTAAGGAGCTCATTTCAGGATATACTCCTACTTATTTTACAGGAGGCTCGGATACCATGACAAATGTGAAATTCTCCCAACAGGTGATAAGCATCAATGATTGGGACTTAAAGAAAAAATAACACAAACACTTTCATTTAATGCTGCACAGAAACAGACATTAGCTGTACAAGCATAGCCTTTTGTGACAGCAGGGATCTAAAAGGTTGTATAGTAAGCATGCATGCAGTTGCATGTACTAGTAGGAGATAGTGTGAATAGAAGTGTAGGGAGGAGCCAATAAATCAGAGCCTCTGTGGTTATGGCAGCACAGCCGACTGGAGGAGGACTCAGAGGGAAAGAATGATGAGCACCTCAGCCATGGGGAGCTTTAGTCTACATCACTGATGGATTAGTCAGTCAGCTCTACTCTGACGACCTCACCCACCCTCATGGCCAGCAATGCACCACACCTAAAAGCTGTGCATTATCAAAATGTACATATGTACAAGTATATGGCAACTTCTACATCAAGGAGCTGATGGTATCTGTCCACATTTTAGGCAAATGTCATACATTGTTTTGCAGATCACCTCTTCTAAGTGTCATGATGAATAAATATTACTTGGTGCCGAAAATTATGGCTACTGTCCTGTTAGTGTCTGACCTGGGTGGGTGGTCATGCAGAGTTTGATTCACTCTGCATGACAGAGCTCTATCCAGACTGCAGCTCTTATGTTTGCCCTGATTCTTTTGTTATCAGTAAAAATGTTGAGCCACTTGAGGTGGATTTATTTTTAGGCTAACTGGGCCACGCATTTTAGAAAGCATATCAAACATATTAATACACCTCTTAGACTGGACTGCCATACTTACTAGTTGTTTTGCAGTTTCAAAATCTAGCTCACGAAATGTGATTGGCACCAACTGTAAGTGGGGGGATCATAACTACTATAATGATTTTCATAATAAGAATATATTTATTTTCCTCCGTGTGCCCCATCAGTTTTCTTTTTCCTGTCACAGACTTATTTAGCCACATTCACCAACCTCTGGTAGGTGTTCATTGACTGTGTAGCATATTGGCCACCATACTGCGAGTGTTGGACTACTCAGACACACATGCATCTATATCTGTATTGCAGCCATTGGACACCATACATTGATTTCAAATACAGATTTCAAACTCAACATTGTGACCTGTATTTTTCACTGAATGGGTCTACAATAAGGCAAAACAGTATTCTGTATATTTATGGGGCACTGATCAGTAAACTCTGTTTGCCTACTGTATTATCTAAAAACATTTAATGTCTTAGAACTAGATATCTAAACTGGGTAACTTCATCAATAGCCATGAGGTTTAGGACTGAATGGGAAAAGACTGCATTTAAGGGGACAGCAAAAGCCAGTGAGACAATTTGGTGTAGGATGGTGTTTTAAGGGAAATAGTATCTGAGGTATGACATGTCAAATAAAAACTAAATGTGACACTATTATGAGGGCATGAGTTTGAAATTTTTAAGTTGTATTAACTACTGTATGAAATAAATTTTAACAATATATTTCTGTCTTAATTTGTTAAGATTTTAAATGTATTGCAGCAGACCATCCTGGAGCAGACACTGTGGTCTCAGTTGCCCTCCCTTGTTAAAATAAAGGACAAATAAGTGAATTAAAATCAAGCTGACCTTTATGGGATAAGTGTTGACAGCTCCCAGACTCTCATATGCATGAGAGGAGTATCATTGAGACGAGAATTACTTGGCGCTCTTCATATGCTTGGCTCTGGTGTCGCAGGGCAGGTGGCTTTTATTTTGAAAGGGTAGAGTAAACGCAGAATGCGACACAGGAAGTTCCGCTGCAATAAAACTGCTGCTGAAGTGTTGCCATAACAGGCAAGAGGCTAACGCTAATGTTTGCTAACTATTTAGCAGACTAGGTGAGTGCGATTGTTTTTTAAAAAAAAATAAGTTCAAATGTGATGTATTCTCCGAGCGCTGGAACAACTACAGTACAGAAGCGACAACCAAGTTTGGTGAATTTATTTGGGCCTTTGAAGTCAGCAGCTGGCTAAAGATAGCTCTGTTTGCGTTAGCTTTGGTTAGCCTTTGTAGCTAGCTGTCATGTCATTTGTTTATGTTAGCTGACATTATACCCTTACCTTACCATTTATTCGTAAAACGCGTGGCATATTTGCTGAAAATGTTTTCAAGGAATAGATGTAAAAATGTACTTTTTTAATAGTAAAGAATTGCTGCTTTGGTTAGCCTTGTTACGGTGTCTGCTAGCTAGGTGGACATTTTCTTCAGTTCACGATTTTCAGCAAAGCTACCAACGACTTATTCATCTAATGCGACGATGGTAGCTTCTGAAGTTGAACTTGCTACTCAAACAAAGTCACTCAGTAACATTGTGTGTAGTTACCAGGTGATTAAATGAAGCGTTGGAGCCAGTAAGTGGACGTGGTGTTTGATAAACAGCAGGCCTCAGAGTACACTGTGTCCCTGCGGCTCATCTGATCCAGGCCCTGCTTGTTGTTAGCAGTGTCACGACAGGCCTAACTTTCATCAAAGCGCTATTGTGATGTTTGATTGATCCTCTCTCAGGGAAAATCTTCCTTTTAGCGTTTTATAGACTCTCAAACATCGCTCCTCGGATCTTGTTTTGTCTCATTTGTCTCACAGTTTCATGACAATGAAGTGATTGTCATTATAAACCTTACAGCCAGCTGCTTTGGAAAGCTAAATAGTAAACTCGGGTCCGACTTTGTTCAACAGGCCCTCCTTCATATCGTTGCAGTTTTCTGTTTTGGTTGATGACATTACTACAATCTAAACACTTCATTCTGAGGAAAATTTGAGCTTGACCTTTACATGAAAAATAAACTTTTCCAGATGTTTACAAGTCAGTTTTAAAAGTTCTGTTTGTTTGACTTTGTAGCCTCTACATATTACTTTGTCAAAAGGAATAAATATCAACATCCTAATGTTAAGAACCCATTTTTGGTTGTTAATTAATTTAATGCAAGAGATTGAACTAGTGGCTGGAAACATTGATCAGAATGTTAAAATATACAAATAGAGGAGACATGAAAACTATGATCATTTGACACAAATATCACTTTTCGGTTAACTTCAGTTTTACATTTTTATTGATATCATTAGACATTTGTAGGGCTGGGCGTTAAAACGATAACGATTTGTATCAAAAATCAATTTTCCTTGATACATGGAACATGGTCAATATGCTTTTCGATAGCCGGCATTTTGCCATGTTTTGGTAGACTACACGAATAGCTGATGAAAAGGGAAGTTGCTCCGGGTCAGTGCTGCGCTGAACCGACAGTTCAGTCTGCTTTCTCTAGCGCATCGCCTTACGACAAAATACCGAAGAGACACAAAGACCTCACAGATGCAGGAGCTTATTATACTGCAAAAGACATGCTACCAATAAACACTATTAAATTTCATTTAAGAGTAACAGGGAACATTTAAGATTGACAACAGATTTTTTTATATAGTGATATATACCGATATCAACTGATATGAAAAAAATATATTGTGATAAGCTTTTTCCCATATCGCCCAGCCCTAGACGTTTATATACTTCACATTTATCATTGAAGATGTAATTGGAAGTGGCTGTATACTGGAGTGTGCCATATTGATTGGTGAACCTAATATTGACTGTGCTCTATTAACAAGCATATGGGGCAAAAACTATAATGTACCCCACAAACACCAATTACAACTGCGAGAACTTGAATAAGGAACAGTTGTCTCCTATTTAACAAAAAAAAAGATAATGCAGAAGCTTATAAAAGTTGAACTTGTCGTAGGGCTCTTTGATTACATGAAGTTGAGCACAACTTTAAATTTACCGCCTTTTTTTTTGCTGTTGTTCTGTTTCCCTCCTTTATATTTAGGTATTGTTGTTGTGAGTGTGTGTGAGAGTTCCAGTCTGAACCATGGAACAGTGTGCATGTGTTGAGCGGGAGTTGGAGAAAGTGCTCCATCGCTTTGTGATGTACGGACACCAGTCTGAAGAGAGGCTAGATGAGCTCCTGCGCAGTGTGTGTGAGATTCGTGGACAGCTAGTTGCTTTTGGTAAGAAAATCTGCACAAAATTGCAAGTCAAAAAAAAAACAAAACTATAAATTTCACTGCAAGTTTCTTTGGTTTCTATGAGATATAACGGAAAGTCTTCTTAGTTCCACTTTATAGCTGCTGTATCATAACTCATCAGGCACATGAGGACTGAAACTTCGTATTTCTTGCAGGAGTACAAGATGCAGACTTGTCAGTGCTATCTCAGACTATGGCACAGTGCTGTAAGAATATCAAAGAAACAGTGCAGATGTTAGCCTCCCGACATAAGGACATCCATGGAAGCGTATCAAAAGTGGGCAAAGCCATTGACCGGGTAAGGACAGTCAGCTTTTGTCGAACTGTTTGGATATTTACACCACACACTTAATCTCCAGTATACTTCTTTTCAGAATTTTGATGCAGAGATCAGTGCTGTGGTGGCAGAGACTGTGTGGGACACCCCAGAGCGACAGAAATACCTGAGTGAGACCATAGTGGAGCATCTGTACAGACAAGGGATGCTCAGTGTAGCAGAGGATCTTTGTCAGGTGAGTAACTGATTTTTGTGGTCTCTTCTCATTGCTTAAATGGCTTTACTGATAAATTGATATATAGATTCATTTGCATTAATTGAATGCAAATTCATTTATCCAACACAGCAGAGCTTTGAATATATTAATATTGCTTTTGTTGAGTTAATAAATGATGGCATGTTATGTAACCCAAATGTTTTCCAGGAGTCTGGTGTAGTTATAGATATGAGCATGAAGCAGCCTTTCCTGGAGCTCAACAGAATCCTTGAAGCCTTAAGGATGCAGGACCTCAGGCCAGCATTAGAGTACGTTCCCTGTTTTTTTTTTCTTTTTAACACTATCTGTGACTAGACTGTTGTTATCTTTTTGAAGAGAATAAGTATTTCTTTGCACACATTGGCAGAGACAGATTTAGAATTTTTAAAAGTTTAAAACACATAATGACGTTTCATTTCTGTTGGTATAGATGAATGTGTATGTTTCCATCTGTTTCCCCTTAGGTGGGCTGTGACAAATCGACAGCGGCTTTTGGACCTGAACAGCAGTCTAGAATTCAAGTTGCACCGCCTGTACTTCATCAGCCTGCTCAGTGGGGGAATTAGCAACCAAATGGAGGCCCTGCAATATGCCAGGCATTTTCAGCCCTTCGCCTCTCAGCATCAGAGAGGTACATAATACATCAAAGTGACATACCTGACACTGTCACACCAGGGTGCCTTACCTGAGCTGTGTTTCAACTAAACTTTGGAGCTTAGAGGCTCTCTCTTTTGTTTTGCAGAATTTTTTATATCAACCTGTGAAAAATAGGACTATTATTTGGGCATATGCATGATAACTAAGGCCAATTTTGCAGCATCTAACCAACATTTGTCTCTGTAGATATTCAGATACTGATGGGCAGCCTTGTGTACCTGCGTCATGGCATCGAGAACTCTCCGTACCGCAGTCTGCTGGAGACAAATCAGTGGGCTGAGATCTGTAACATCTTCACCAGGGATGCCTGCGCTTTACTGGGCCTTTCTGTAGAGTCTCCACTGAGTGTTAGGTCAGATAAATACATTAACTTCACATTCGACACTTCTTTTTTTTTTTTTTCGTATTTACTTTCATACCAGTGGATTATAAGATTAGAAAATTTAAGCTGTGTTTGTTTCTTTGCAGTTTTGCATCAGGCTGTATGGCTTTGCCGGTTTTGATGAACATCAAGCAAGTGATTGAGCAGAGACAGTGTAGTGGAGTCTGGACACACAAAGACGAGCTTCCTGTAAGTCTCTTTTAAAGGTCCAAAGTGCCTCCACTGCTTTTTTTGTGTCTTTTTAGCTATTTAATTAACCACTGCTTTGTCTGTGTTTCAATACAGATTGAAATTGACCTCGGAAAGAAGTGCTGGTACCACTCGGTGTTCGCCTGCCCAATTCTCAGACAGCAGACCTCAGAAAGTAATCCTCCCATGAAGCTCATCTGCGGCCATGTCATCTCTAGAGATGCCCTCAACAAACTGACTAATGCGGGAAAGTAAGTCAGCAGGACTACATTATATATATGTTCCCACAAGCAAAAAAATAGGGGTATAAAAATCATGCATCATATTTAAGAGCTGTATTCTCCTTTACAGGAATATTTTCAAATAATCAAGTAATGTGAGTTACACTAGCACAGAAAATCAGCTGCCAAATTAGCAATCTCACCAAGACAAGCTGTAATATTTCCTGCTAGCCCCCTAATATTATTTCAGGGTAAAGTACATGTGAGCTCAAATCTTAGTAGTAGCAGAGGGAGAAGGCAGAGTGTCTCGTGGGGCCGGTGTTTTGTATAGTTGGGCTGCTTGGTTGAAAGATGCTGCTTTAGCGTGAATCAATAACAAAGGTGGCTGGTTTGTGCTATTTATGGAAGTTTTCAGGCCATAAATAGATAAAGAGTTTACTGTAAGACTAAGGCAGAATGTTTCAGTACACTAGTATGAAACTTTTACTTGAGGATTTTCAAGGGTTTATTTCAGTGTATCAGTATCCTGTGAATGAATGTCACTCCCAGTGCAGAATCACTTAATATTACATCACCACTCTCTCCATTTGCATGGTCAGAGATGTAGGAATGTGCCTTAATACACTATTGTTCAATCCCTGATTAAGATTTTAGGAGAAGCTTACCTCCATAGGTGTAGGTGGTTGTCCTATAAAATGATAGCCTACTTCCAACAAGCTTGACGCATCCATGGGTAACAGTAGAGTGACCAAATTCTGACTTCCTAAAAAGAGGACACGACTTTGCGGGGGCAGAGTCACGGAGTCGCAAAAAGTTAATTTTAGGAGTTTTTCGGGTCGGATCGAGTGTCTTTTACGCGCTTCTAACTCAGTAGGTCCACGTGACACAAAATCGAAACTTGAGTACAAAACTGTGGACATTTGACAGAATTTATAAACTTCCCCAGACAAGCCCTGACAGCCCCCAAAAAAGAGGACATGTCCGGGTAAAAGAGGACATATGGTCACCCGAGGTAACACTATTCTGTAAAATAGAATAAAAGACAGTGAGATTGCCCCATCCTCATACTTCCCCTCTTCAGTATGTTTGTTCACTGATCCTGTTGGTGGGAAGGTAAAATGTGTCTGTTTCTGTGTGCCAACTTAAAAGAAAAAACAATTACTTTCTTGCACTCATTGACCGTTTCAAGGAACAAAAAAAAAAAGATAGTAAGATTAGGAGTATTGAGTATGAAGGGTCTATAGTTTTAATCTTGGGTAGGATAGTAAGGTATTACATTGTGAGTACCATAGCACTGACTTGATGTCATGATCAGCTTCCTAAAACCCTCCCATGTTCCCAGTCTGATCAGGAAGACTTCACACTGTGAGGATGTATGTGTGAACAGCAGAGTCAGGATAGTTTCCTAATGAGAGTCTCTGAAATTTTCATAAAACTTAGCAGAGTGCATGTCTGGAAAGAGCTAAAATGATTACTTTGGTAACAATTTGTTTCTATAAATGTTTCAAAACTAATTGTATTAAAAGACATGAACTCTTATGAAATTTTAAAGATTTAAATTTGATCAGTACAAACAACTGACACTGACAAAATATGAACTGATTGTAACTTATAATGAGGATACTTCATGTCTGAGCCTTGGTCAGGTTGTATAAAGTCTAAAAATGTAGTTTTTTCTTATACATGGAGAAAACTGACATCTTGAATTCTAAGGTACACATTGCTTATTTTAAAAAACCTGTTCCCTGTCCTCCCTCCCCTCCCCTGTCTCATCCTCAGGTTGAAATGTCCGTACTGCCCCATGGAGCAGAATCCATCACATGCAAAGCAGATCTTCTTTTGATACCACACGCTCTCCTCTTGAGTAAGGATGAAGTCCCCTGGAGTTCTGCTTTTCCAGGACCATTTGCTCTGGCCCTTTTTCTTCTGTCCCTGGCCTCTCGGCCTGTTATTGTAAGCATTAAGGTTTTATCCCAGTGCTCCTCTGGACAGCCTCGGCCACCCTTTAACCCACCTCGGACCATCTAACTTTGCGTAGTATACAGAGTCCAGCAGGGGAAGGTTAAACTACAGCCTGTAGTAGAGTGAGGAGTTTGTCAGTAATGAGAACCTCCACATGAAGAAGCACCTCGGAAAAAGGATCATTCATTGAAAGTCATTTGCAAATGCCTGCAGAGTTATAGGCTTATCCTTTTAAAGTATGTAATACTTTATAGTGTTTGTTTTCTCGGCTTTAGCCTCTGAGTTGGATGACTGCTTCTTTTTTTCTCTTTTTTAAATTTTTTTTGCGACAGGAGCAGTTTGGATGGGTGTGAGTGGGTATAAATGGAATAGATGAGCAATTTCTGATTTCAGGAGGGTAGTTAACTTCTATTTAAATGAGTACAACTACAGAGAACAAACTGTGTGGAAGGTTTAATATTTGCTGGTACAGGGACATGTGGAGGTCCATCTTGAACTGAAGTTGTGACCCCGGTTAATTCTTCAGTTAGTAAAGGCAACACGTAGCTTAAAAGTCACTGTCAGCGGATGTTTCCATTTGATCAGAGGAACAATTGACTCATCTATGATGGAACACTTTTTTTTTTTTTTTTTACTTTGGGACTGAGTGCACCAGCAAGATTTTCCTTATTGTAGAAGTCATTTGTCTTGGTCCATGTATGTATTTAACAATGGCAAAAAGGAAACAAAAAATATATACTACTGTGAAATGTGCTTTGTTTCTACTTTTATTGCAACCACCTCATGTAAAATAGTAAATTAAACTAAACAGCAAAATGCATTATCGACACTACTGCGTAACTTTCACAACTAACAACTCGACAGCTCACAACGCTGCTGTGCCATCGCATCACTCTGCCCCGTGTTGTGTACCCTGAGCTTGCACGCCATGTGATTTGGAGATGTAAAGTGGTGTGATGGTAGCCGTCTGGTCTGACTTGCAGTGGCTGTAGGCTTGTGATTCAGCTTTAGTCTTTGTGGGTGGGGGAGTCCTCTGATCATTGTGGCTGTTATTTAATAACAATATACTTAGAAAATGCCTCTGCTGCGTAGGTTTTTGCTTTTATTTGAGAGTGAGTCAGATAAGAAACATAAAAATCCATACATTACCTCAGGGCTCATTGTTACAGATCACACCACACTCTGCAGTTAGTATTGAAGGTGTACATTATATAAGGATCAAATCTTGATTTTGAACAAAGAATACACATATTTCACTATAGAGGCTGATAGTTTGGGTGTTGCAGGAGTTTGTATATAATTATTCATTCGGTGATGTGTTAGCATACCTTCTGGGCGAGGGTGTTACGATGTCCAAGCATTTGGACGAACAATACTTATAGTGCAAGTTCCTGGTGTCCTCTTAAAAATAGTGATGTCAGCTCACTCTCCAGTGAGGCTCATTTGTTCGACAAGCACCGCACCAGCATAGCTCACACAGCCAATGCAACATCACACACAGTTTTTGTTGAGAGTTTATGATAAGCATCAAATCTTATATCTGGAATAGGTTTAAACACGCTTTGTGTGGACTTTCACCGAGTTTCCTGTTTTCCTTTCTTTCTTCGACAATCATTCATCGCTTCTTTTCAAGAGTGTTCCTTCAGATAGACCGCTAGTCGCTTCCTACTTCTGTCATTAATTTTGTTGAATGTTTGCATTTCCTGCTTTTGTGTGTGCAACTTTTATTGTAAATATTTATCCTCTAACATGTTTCATATACTTGCATCTGAAATTAAAATAAAAATTTATACTCCAAGGTGATATTGGAGGTGTGTACTGGCATTTGGTGGTGACCTGCTCTGACTAGAACTGACACGTTGCCTCTACAGTCACCAGCTGCTCAGCTCTCCTTTCATTGCCACTTGGTGGTGCTATTGCTGTATTGTTCATACTCTAATCCAGGGGTCTGGAAGTTAATTAGATCCTAGGCCAAAGAGTTCAAATCAGTGAGCTCACAACGACATTTGACACATTGTCAATACATTTATTTGAACACCCTTGAGTTTAACCATCCTGAATTCATCTGAAAAACAGCACTGATAATATTCAGCACTGCAACCCTCCTACATGGTGAAAGACAACATGTGTGAGGTTTTTTCATCCCACTTCTACAAACCACTCCTGAACTGTAGAGTTATATTAAGCCTTGGTTTATATAATGTTTTAAATGCCAAGGTAAGAGCCATGTGAGTCAGCCACAGCTCTTAACTATTTACAAAGCAACACAGAAAAATAAGAGTGCTGTCACTTCCTTCCTTGACACATTTTTTACGGTGTATTTTATCTTACCAAGGACATGTGTTAATAAAAAAATCATGCTAAACCTTTAACATAGCCAAAATATCCCTGGCACTCCACTGTGGTGTGTAGAGTTTTTCAGCAAAACCCTCCTATGTTTCCATCCCAGCTGACCTCCCACCCCTCTGCCGTGCAGGAGATGGTACATGAGGTCTGGGCAGGGGTAGAGGTGGGAGGGCCTTAGGGAGAAGCTGAGATAAGGATTGAAGGCTAAACCTTTAAAAGCCACATTAGTCCCAAAAGCCTCCAGTGCTCTGTTCATTCGGTCATAAAGCTTCTGTCCTTAGGTTTTATTGGCACGCTCTGCAGATTTGAAGCCAACTGAGAGCAGGCGAGCGTCTGAGCCCTCAGGTCACAGCCATCCGTTGCACCGCTGACATTTTTATGACTGATTTCTCTTCAAATTTCTTAAGGTGACGGTAGACAGACTAGCCCACTTTAACACATTTTGTACTTTTGATTTATACCAGATGGTGAGACAAGCAAACACCGGTTGACATTTCTTACACCACTTCGTAAATGTTTTATTTTGAATACAAACCAAACATATATTCTTAGACTGTACAGTTTTGATTCCAGTAAATAGACAAGAGTCACAGTTTGTTGAGAGGTCAATCAAGAGCTGGTTTTTGAATATTCATATATTAACAGTAAACAATTAAAGAGAATAACTTCATCGAGGTCATGCATTGGATAATTTTGGCTGGATATGTGCAAGAAATCGCACCAATAAGCTGGGCAGTCAAGTCACCATCCAAACTTTTTGTTTGCTATAGTTTCAAAGGAAAGATGTGCCAACTTAAGACAACAGTGTGCATATGATCAAAGAAAAAAAGGCCAATGAAGTGAAAATCACAGTATTTACAATATGTATATACAGTATCTATGTCTGTTTCTAAAGTAGGATACAGTTTTCTTCATAGCAAACCAATGGTATTTGCCCCTTGGCACGAGGTCGCACTAATCTCTGACACTTAACCCATACATCCAGCTTTTCTCCATGGGCCCAGGTGGATCCTTACTCAACAAAACCTCCTGCACAGACTGAACAGGTGCTTAGATATAATAAATCCCTTTAAAGCTTTTGGTTACGGTCAAGACTGTAAAGCAGTCCAGACTGAGAAGTGAGTCAGTATGACAACAAAAATAGTTGGCGTATCAATCAATCATTTACAGGCTTATTGTTGATGGAAAAGCAGTCAGTCCAGGTGATTGGCTCTACGTTTTTATGGAGCTGATTTCTCCTGTCAGCGATAGATGAGGCAAAGACAGTGTTTTTGTACAGCCATCCCCAGTGTTATTGTGCCTCTGCAGAGGGTTACTGTGGTCCAGTCTAGCAGGATAAGGGCTTAGTACGGTCAATAAGGGTGCACGGGAAGAGGATGAGGATAAAAGATGAGGAGCATTCAAAACCAGTTTCCACCAGAGAAGAAAAAAAAAAGAAGCAAAAAACAGAATATTTTCCATGTTAAATAAAAGTACTCAAGTCAAGATTGTGAGATGTCAGGATGTGACATTTGAGTATCATCACATTAAATAATTCAGTCTTGGCTTTAGGTCTTATTGTTTTGATGTGAGTGAGCAGTTCAACTTACAGCAGCATCTGGGTGTTTATCAAAGCATCAAAAGTTTGACTTGGTACCTCATACCTTTCTCAAAAAGGTCAACATTTTGTCTTGCATATTGAAATGAAATGACTTACATATTTACAACTTGGTCTGATGATTTTAACCCAGTCAGAAGTTGTCTGCAGGGCCACGCTTTGGCCTAGTGGTTGAGTTGCACACCCCGTATACAGAGGCTATAGTCCTCGAGAGAACTGCGTCACTCCCAGCTCTCTCCCACCAGTTTCCCACAATCATATCCTCTATGAATCACGGCTCAAAACCCTAAAAAATATACCTTAAAAAAGTTTGGATTTGGCTGATATTTATTTATTTATTTATTTCAAACCTTGTAATTTTGACTTTCTTCTTGTTTGATCAGTATATGTCAGTGTTGACACACTAAGCCATTTGTTTGTTTCTGGTACCACTGAGTCTCCGTAGAAACCACACTGACTACAGGGAGAAAACAGTTTGCATTGCAAATCTGCAACATTCAAATTTCTGATGATTCAATTCTCTCTATCCAGGGCAAACCAGAGGCAGGTCTCTCCTCTTGTTTTTCGTCCTCCCTCTCACTCCTCAGGTCTGGTTCTTCTTTTTCCAGTGTCCCATTTCTACTGCCCCCTCCTCCTCCTGCTCCTCCCTCTCCTTGCTGTCTGCCCACCCTCAGCTGATGCAGTTCCCTCTCCAGCTCTTCATTGCGGTAATACATGTCCAAGTAGCTGGCCTGCAGCTCCTTCTGGTAGCGGATGACCTTATCCTTTTCTGTCTGCCATGTCTTCCTCTCCTCCTCAAAAGCCATGGCCTGGGCCTCGCTCTGGCGTCGCTCCAGCAGGAGCTCAGCGCGCAGACGCTCCTCCGTCGGGCCCCCGCATCCTCCTGCAACAAGGTTCACATGGCTTTAACTTAAAGTTCATAGAGCCGGAGGGGAAATATAATGAAAGACATGAGCTGCTTTTTAAAAGAGCAGAGAACTCTGCTCCTGACCTGGTTAGTGAAATAACTGGATTTTTGGTCCAAGCATGTAAACAGAAAACCTTAAATAGCCCAGACAAGCTCCTGCTGTCCTGATAAGAAACCCAGATTAGATGCCTTCCTTACTGTGATGTTGGGCAGATATCTGCAGCACATAATTATCTTTCTCACTTTTTTTTATGTCAGCTTTCCGTGCATGAAGTTTTGGTGTATGCTTGTGTTTAAACAACTTTAAAGTACTCCAAATCTAACCATGATTTTCTCTGGTTGAATTTTGATCATTTTAATTTACAAATGTAAATCTAGAGGATGGTTAACAAACCCTGACTGTGATTGTGGCTCCTATGCATGACTAATTGGAGGTGTATCCCTGTTAGCCAACACAATGTGCACTTCAAATATGGACAGAGGTACATTCACAAAAGAGAGACACGGGTACACAAAACTACCTGCTGCTCCAGCTGAGGGACTCTCTTCAGATACTTTTCCATCATCATGTATAGTCTGGGAGAGGACTCTACGCCGCTGTGTCCCCTGCAGGACCAGCTTTAGAGCTTCTATCTGGCCGTCCCTGTTGCGCAGCTCAGTTCGTGTCTCCCTGAGCTGCGTCTTCAGCTGGAAGAGCTCGCTCAGTTTCTGGGTCACCTCTGCCTGGGAGTCCCTTAGCTGCTGCTTCAACAAGGAGATCTCTCCTGACTTCTGGCAAACCTGAGAGGTAGAAAACAGGAAAAAAGGGGGCATGGAAGAGGATTCATTTTTACTGTCTCTGTGGGCCTTGTTCGGATCATTTTAACAGGACAAAGTAGGAAGGAATTCAGTTATCTCCTCTCTGCCCTGTAATTACTACTTTTCAGTCAGTCTGTCTCCCTGCCATAAAGTGTTTCCCCGCTGACTTTCCAAGGCCTCACCTCCCACTGCGTCTCTTCCAGAGTAGGGCTAGTTGGCTTCATTATGGCGCCAACCTCCTGGCTCCTCTCCCTCTTCAGGCCATCCAGCTCTTCTTGCAGTCGGCTCTTCTCCTGTTGGGCCTTGAACAGCTGCAACTGCAGGTTGCGCTGTGAACGCTGCGCATGCTGGGAAACCTGACGCAGCTTGGCAGCATAGAGGCGCTTAAGCTCCTCCACCTCCTTCTCCCACAGACGCTGTTTGCCTTCAAACACCTGCATGCGGCGGACAGATGGGGGTCAGACTTCAAAGAGAGGCAGACATCTGTAAGGATAAATGATGAAGGACAAACCCACCTGAGCGATGGCTCCCTCGCTCTCATCCAGGTTTCTTTTCATCTGTTTTAGCTCATGCTCTTTCTCCACAAGGCGCTCTTCCAGATCCCGAACCTAGAGGGGCCAACATAAATGATTTACCAATCTGTTATCCACACTGATCTACTCAGTACATCCATATGCTCTGTACTCACCACTTCCTCAACTGACAGAGACAGTGTCCATTCATAGGGAGGTGGAGCCTCTCCTCCATACGGCGCCAGACGACTCAGCGTGGCCATACTCCGACAGGCCATCTCTCCTATAGCCACGCCCCCTGACCCTACAATCTTTGGGCTCAGAGAGGTTCTGTCCAGGGATCCGATGGTGTTGATGTGGCCCATCGATGCACTGAAGTAAAAAAGGAAACAATTCAAGTCTTACATCATCACTACCTACACGGTAATTAAGCACAAAAAGTCAATTACAACAACTCTGAATATCAAGTAGAGCTGCAGACCTGATGTGAGCCAGGTGTGGGCGGAATGGTGGACGGTACGGCGGCAAGCTGCTCATGGAGTTATGGCCTGAGTCTGACAGGTTATCATCCTCCTGGCTCATCCCACGCACAGAAGAGACAGCCTACACAGTCAAAATTATACAGTTTTATTCATTGTGAAAAATAAGAGGTTGAGAAAAACAGATTACAGCTACAAATTGAGGCTGAATATAATAGCATATTATGAGTCGTTTTTTCATGCGCAGACATCCAGGATCCAACACTGACTCAGTTATTCCCTACTAACAGCTCAACAGGTTTAACCAAAGATAGGGCTGGGCGATATGGGATAAAAGTTTATCACAATATATTTTTTCATATTAGTCTATATCGATATCTATCACGATATAAAAAATGAAATTTAACAGTGCTTACTGGTAGCATGTCTTTTGCAATACAATAACCTACTGCATCTGTGAGGTCTTTGTGTCTCTTTAACGTTTTGTCGTAAGCCGTTAAGCTAGAGAAACCAGACTGAATGGTCGGCTGCACAGGCACCATGGGCTCCTCGCTCCGCTCGGAGTTTGTAACCTTTTGCATTGCGCATGCCCTGCCACGTGGCACTGCTTCAGGTGGTGAAAAAGATTTGAGGTATTCCCCGACTTTGTGAGAACACGTACTTGACATAATTTACAGTGCACATTACTCTGCTTCATGTCTGACCTCAAAAACCAAAATACCTCCTGACCACAGACGATTTCGTGCCAGTTTTGTCGATGATGTCATCATCTGTTGAGCCTTCATTTGCATTTCCGCCGCGGGTAGCACTCATTTTCTTTTTTTCTCACCGACAGTGCTGTTAAAGTGCTATGGTTGCGTGTAGCTGCAGCCTGCTACTACGCAGTTGTTTGCTACTTGGTTCTAATTCAGCATGTGATGAAGTGGACCCGGAGCAACTCCCCTTTTCATTGGCTATTCGCAGACTATCGAAAAGACCATTGACCATGTTTTATATTGATATTGAGGGAAATTAATTTTTGATACAGTACAGGCCAAAAGTTTGGACACACCTTCTCATTCAACGCATTTTCTTTATTCTCATTACTATTTAAATTGTAGATTCTCAGTGAAGGCATCAAAACTATGAATGAACACATGTGGAATCATGTGCTTAAGAAAAAACAGTAAAATAACTAAAAATATGTATTGTGTTTTAGATTCCTCAAAGTAGCCACCCTTTGCTTTTTTGATAGCGCTGCAAACTTTTGCTGTTCTCTCAATGAGCTTCATGAGGTAGTCACCTGAAATGGTTTTTATTTCACAGGTGTGCCCTGTCAGGGTTACTAAGTACTTATGTCATCAAGAGCAAAGGGTGGCTATTTTAAAGAAACTAGAATATAAAACATGTTTTCAGTTATTTCACACTTTTTTATAAGTACAAAATTCTACATGTGTTCATTCATAGTTTCGATGCCTTCAGTGATAATCTACAATGTAAATAATCATATAAAAAAATAAAGAAAAGACATTGAATGAGAAGGTGTGTCCAAACCCTTGGCCTGTACTGTATATTGTTATCGTTTTATCGCCCAGCCCTAACTAAGGTCTGTTAAAACCTCTAATGATATTCTGGTGAAGGCTTTATGATTATGTGTTATGTTACCTTGTTACCGCTGGATGTTGGTCCTCCATGGCGGGATGGTGAGGAAGAGGAGGAGGAGGTGGAGACAGCTTTAGGGACATGTGCGTAAGATCGGTGTAGTCCATTGGACAAGCCATGGTCCACATCCTCCGACTTCGATGGGTAGAGGTTTTGCATGGAGCTGAAATTTTTAGGGGTGACAGGCTTGAAGGCAGAGGATCGAAAACGAGCCTGGGGAAAAAAGTTTTTAAAAGTTCAGGGCACTTTAGGAGGATGCAACGATTACAGAAAGCAACTGAGAAACAAGCTTGTCATAGTGAAGAGGGGCTGTGCTATGGAGCATAAATCTCTATGTTTCTATTAAATCAATACTGTTCCACCCGTTGTGTTCTTAGCATTGATCAATTCAAGCAAAAAAGGTGAGATTTTATTGCTGCAATAAATTCAAGACTGAGAGAGCTGTAGATTTTCAATCTATGCTGGTGAGCTGGAAGAGAATAAAGTTGATTTATGCAGCTAAGATGCTGCTCACTGTGGTTGTTTCATCACACTGCCAACGTTGTGTGAATGAAGCACAGACCAATTTAACACAGCTTGATCAGCTGCACATGGACATATTTAATCTATAAAGTCACTGATCTTAATATGTGCCTGAAACAATGAATGAGTCTCCTTGAAAGAAGACTTTAACCAACCAAAAAATTTAACATTTTAAGGTTGAGGGAGGTGATTAAGTGATATGAAGTGACTTTAAAGGCAAAATCAAGTTCTAGTACATACAATTGAGAAAGTCTATTATGTAAGTTATGAAAAAATGACTATATTTACCTTTTCATACTTGCCCGAACTTGGCAGAGAATTTTTACTCAGGTCCACTTCAGTGCCATCTTTATTGTACACCTTAGCGTATAAGTTCTCCTCCTCTCGGCCACTTGTGGAGCTAAGGCCGGAGAGTATGTCCTTCTTGCCCTCACTGCTTTGGCTTGCTTTAGGCTCTTTCCTTTGAAAAGAAGAGAAACTGAGGTCAAGCCCTGTCATGTTTAAGAGCATCTTGTAAATCCCCTAGCAGGACATGTATCTGTTTCTCTACAAGAGTACTCACCTGGTGATGTTGAGGTAATTGAGTAGCTCTCTCTGGGTGAAGCCTTTCTTCAGGAGGCCGTTGGTCTGTTTGGGTCTCACCTGGGGCACAGCACGGCTGCCTTTGGTCGGAGAAACATCTGGCCTCTCAACCAGACTGCCAACACTTCCCATGCCGCAACGGGAGGAGAGGGGTGGGACTGGGAAGGGGTTGCGGAAGTTTTTGCTGGGGCCGCGGGTCAGAGGGAGAGTCTGGACTGACGTTGCCATTGGTTACACGGCTCTGTGGGGGGGTGAAGTGCTCTGTAAAAAAAGAAGAAGGTTCAAAACAAAGTTGGTGGGTTTGTACAGAGAAGATACTGAGTTAACAGCCTTGCTCCTGCTGGCGACATAACTGTATCATGACAGTTTCCTTCTGCTCCTTACTGCTCGCACACAGTGTTTGAAGCTGCAGGAAGCAACATGTTACCACACTGTTTGCTTTGGCCTTAAAAGGGCTGCAACTAAAACTATATTAATCTGAATTCAATTAATCTGATAACTTTGTTGTCAAAATCATTGGTTGTCTAGAAACTGTAAAAAAATGGTGGATTAAATGCCCAATACCAATTCTAAGAGCATTTTTATGTGTTCTTTACCCGGGCATGAGAGCAGAAATCAGAGGTCATTAAGTTACCGTCATCAGACAGGGACTAACAAAAGGAAATGGAAACTCCTGATTTTGGAGTCTTCAAGAAAACCATGACCTGGATGAATGAGAATCTACATGGACAACAAAAGGAAAGGAAAAACTTAAAATAAAAATAGAGACAGAGTCTGACAAGTCTGTCAGTAGTTCTCAAAAATAAGTAAAAAAAGACCAAGAGTCTAAATCCATGTTAGCTGAACCATTATACTTTGGCACAGTGTTGATCTGGGCTAAATGCTCACACCTGCATCCCAACATGACCACATAGTCATATAAGACTTTGTTAAAAACACGATTGCTCAGGTTAATAGTATGACACAGTGGATTTTAATGGTGTGAATCTTTTAACATCTCACAGTTAGATTGGATTTCCATCCTTGACTCATAACCATTCATGACTCTGTTTTTGTTACACTAGAAGTGCTTGTTTCAGGGTTTATTTCCGTATGCTGTGATTCATTATTGTATGACATAAAAAGGAAATGTGTTTGATTCCATGAAGCTTCATCATTTGGAAATGTTTTTCACATGATTTCTGTAAATACACGGAGGAAAAACTTAGACAAACAGGATTTTGTTTTAAACCAGAGTCTTAAGAGGTAACATGTAACAAACAAGAAGTTCAGGTTATATGAAATGAAAAAAGAGAAAAGCCTTTTCAACATACAATATGGTGAAAAGCTTAAGATGGCTGAGTGTTTGCTCAAAACTTCATGGCTTATGGAGTTATTGAGGTCCGAAGTGGTGTTAGGATCAAACTGCTGTAACCAGAGCAAAGCTGCCAGTTTGACCAAATAGAGAAGATGTCTGTACTCCCTTTTTTTACTGAAATAAACTCTCCTCCGTGGTTGTTTACCACCCTGGGTGGATGCTGAACTGACGTTTCATCAGCTGTGTTTTTCTGTACTGACAGCTGTCTCAGAGCACAGCTAGAACAACTCAGCTTCCCACAACATCACAGCTTAGCAAACATACACTCAAACTGGCCTCCATTAAAACCTTGTGTTCATGCAAAATCCTCCAAATCCAAAACCAATTTAAAAAATATCTGTTTTCTGATGCAGATATTTTAGCATCAGCCTCGTCTTTCTGAATCTCATGACATCCTTTCCAGAGGGCAAATCAGGTGGTACAGGATCACTAAAACATGCACTTTGTGGGGGTAATGTTGTTTTCCTCTGAGGACAGGCAGCATATGTCCCATCCCAATCCTGTTATGTAACTTTTATCCAACTAGGTTACCACAGCAGTACAAGATCAGTACAAAACAACTCAATTCACATTATGGACAATTTAATCAACTTCTGTACTGCTGCTTATTTTGTCTGCATATTTCCTGTCTGTCATGAAAATGTATCATACACACAGCCTGTCCTCATAAGTCCAGCATGGCCTGAATACATTTTTATCACAAGTCATGGCGGTCTGTATGAGATTAAGTTTCCAGTCAGTCACAGCAAGTGATATATTTTTCAGAACAGAAATATTTCTCTGTTGATTTTATGAAAACTAAACCAGTTACCACACCCCCACCATTTATTGTTTTTATTGAAAACTTTTTGAACCTCTTCAGCTTTATGCCACGTCTTTTAACCTCTGCACCACCATGGCTTGTCAAATCAACCCACATATCCCCTCCTTTCCTTCTTTTCAGACAACCTCATTAAGGATCACTATTGATTTCACCTCTCTGACCCTCTCTCCACCCGTGCATAAACACCCCCGGCAGCCATAAAACCTTCTTGAGACCATAAAACACACAAACAAGCCACAGTGCTTTAAAACAGGACCAGAAGGAGGCAATTTCTCCTTTAGTACCCGGCCTGCTTATGTGGCACTTCAATCTTGTAGCGCAGTCAAGATTACCACTTAATTTCACTGATAATTATTTTCAGCACATATCTGAAACTTAAAGATTCATGTGTTGTGGGCAACTATTGATTCTGATTACTTTTCTATCATAGAAATATCAAAATAGATGCAACAGATGTTTCTTTGACAAACACATTACTGTAATTTTCTGTTTTTGTTAAAATGGTACCTAGGCTATGTTCAAACATTCAAGGACACTTTGCATCCTATACTATAAAGATTCCTGATTACAAGATCCATCCTGACAGATTTCTGGAGGATGAATGCTGTTAAAGCAGCCGGAGATATGAAAGTGCCTTTGAACATGCCAACATAAGCCCTAAAACCTGGTTCTGTTGGCTGCAGCATGTCTTTAAACCTGTTTTAACTTCTTAGTGGAAACAGGATGAATTCATAACCAATCCATGCCAAGGTTCAATTGGGTGTCAGATCTTGGGAGGGGCTTTTTGTGCTTTACCGAATCTGTCCCTTAAATTCAAGCTGTGTGCATTGTGTTCATTATCATTTGGATGAAGCATGAAAAATTCAAAATAAAAAAAGACTAACAGAGACTCTTTTAGCAGGTGCAAGAAGATCGCACTTGGGCTCATCCACACTAATGACCGGGCCATCCTGCCGCCTACCCGTCAGCACGCAGTCAGTGCACACTCATGACTCGCATGCTACCTTTAAGCAATTCTCTATTTCACTGTCACACCGATATACGCACTACGCATGAGCACTGACACCCGCGGTGACACCCTGACATCTCCTCCTGCTTCTCATACTTTCCACATTTATCAAGTGTTTTGCACTGCAGGCCTCAGTTATAACAATTATGCAAATGGTTCAAATAGGCAGAGAGAGAGCTGTGCAAAGGCAGCTCCAGCCCACTCCACTCAGGGCTCTCCGCCAGGCTGAGATCAAAGCAGCCCAAGCTGCTCATGTTTATATTCATGAGGTACTATTTCCCCCTGATGTAAAACTTTCCACTCAAGCATCCGGCTCCTAATAAGCTAGAATAAAACAGCCAGAACAATGATCATCAATGTAATCAAATAAAATGTTACACTCTGAGGGCTTGGACTTCCTCTGACCACATCTGCCTGTCTTACTGTTTCCCTGGTCAGAGGAAGACATGATGGATGTGGGTCCATGCAGGTCATGTTGAGTGTGTATGTTTCTGACACCGTATGAATAAACCATGAGTGTGTCGAATATAATGGCCACTGGCCAAGGTCTGACACAGTATTTTTAGGTTCGGTATTTTACTCTGTATGTGTCTTGTTTCTATCTGCAAAAGACACAAGAGGCCGATCGATGCTTGACAAGGAGCCAGAAGGAGGTGAGGGCGAGCACGGCAAAGCTATTCCTTTAGATAGGGTAGATAAGAGAGTAAAATTCCTGTTAAGACCACAACCACCAATCTTACAGGACTGAAGAAATCTCACATCCAGTTGTTTTCCATAATTGCCCTCTAGTTTACGGGCCTGAGTATACAAGGAGACACAACAAGATTTACAGCCAGCCCTGACTAACCAGGAGGCCCTGAAATGCAACACACCTCCTTAAATCACACACAGAAACATGGATCAAAGCAGTGCTGCCAACCAGCCTTGAACAGTTATGGTCTAATTGAAAAGTGCTCTGTTCTTGATTTATGCTCCTCTCAGAGCGTTGACGAGCTCTCTCAGCTGCTACCTTTTATCGCGCATAAAAAGTTTTAAGATCAGTGTATCAAAGTGCTGCGTAGGATACAAGAGAGGCTCTCCCCTGATACTGTCCACTTTTACCTACATCGGCTGAGCATGTTTCTGACAGCCTTTTAGAAAATGTCCTACACTGCAAACTGAAGCTCTGAAGCAAAATGAGAGCATGAATGAAAAGCTTGTTGTAGATTTATCCAATATTTCTGACTGTAAACACTGGGCAGCCTGCTGTACACAGCTCAACATCAGTATACATGATGGAACTACATGTTTTTCTTGATGGTTTAGTAAATACAGTTGATATTTTTTCAGTATGAGGCAAATCTGCTTCTGTTATCTAATGCAGCACATAAAGTAGGAAGAGGTAAACATGCTGCTCTTGAAAGTTATTAGTCTCTTGGGCTTGTAGTGAAGCTTTACAGCCCAGACCTTGGCTTAAGGTTTCTCCTGATGATATCCTAACTCATGTTGAAAACCATAAAACTGCCACTTTACCGCAATCACAAAGAAAACAAAGCGCCCAACTTTCAAGTGTAGCTTTCAAGGGTGCTCTCTCCTAAAATATTGTAATCAGGTGTCCCGAGGGCAAAACAAAGCTCTCAATGAAATGCTTGAGCGTGAAGAGGGGACATTTCAAACCCTCAGAGCCCCACAGGTCAGCGCTGGGACTGAGGCAGAGCAGAGAAGGACAGGGATGCTAAATTCCAAAGATGTTTTGCACAGCACAAGCTTGGGCACGTCAGGTCTTTTTCTTTTTTTGATGCTCAAAACGCTCACTCCCACGGATGCTCACTCACACTTGTGTGTGCGAGGGTCACTCCACACGGCCCCCCCCAAAAAAGTGCATGCACAGCTCACAGCTCCGGATCCTCTGCTCTCATCCCTCAGCACTCTCTCTCTCTCTCTCTCTCTGTCTAGATCCATGATCAAAGTTTGTTTACGTTTGTGGGGTAACTTTACAGGTTACATCTAACACACCCACACAGCGCACATTCTGTTACATTATATAAGCTCTATCAAAGCTGTGCCTCTTGGTTTCACAGCTGTTAGTTGTGTAAAAGACTACAGAGCTATTACTAAATCAGCCACTGGCCTTATTTCATCCATCAGAGAACTGCAGTGTTATGCTCACAGACTAACCAACCAACGACGGCACTGTCATTACTGACGCTGCTGTGGCTGAAAAGAGGCCTTTTAAAAATATCCCTGTCCTCTAAATTTACAGGCAATGTTACTATGATGATGAGTAATCCTTCATTTGACAAAATCTTTCACTGAGGATCAACGGCTATTTTTGGTTGATACTTCGATAACACTTTATTTAATGCCTATCTCTAGGACCAATTATAAATGGATGTATAATGCATTATAATCACATTATAGCACTGTATAACTATAGTTATAAACACTCATAAATGATCATAATGCTTTATAGCAATAATCATAACGCATTACAAAGCATTTTATCATGACTTACAAGGTCAGGTATTATAATGTGTTATAACTGTTAACAACAGTTGCATTGCATTATCTATGTGGGCATTGTCAGTGAGTTGTTAACAGTTATAACACATTACAATACCCAACATTTATGATCATTTCTTCATGGAAATGCAACCAGACCGAGACGCCAAGGCAGAAGAACTACCGCATCTGCAGTGCAAAATGATTAATATGGTGATTATTACCTCAAGGAAATAAAGAAATCATCATAAATGTTCTTCCTTGAGCTGCGTCACCCCGCAGCACTCCATAATGGACTGGCCTGAGGTCTCGCTACAAACAAGCAGCTGCTGGAAGAGAGTAGGTGAGTTTAGATGTTTAGTCTCTTTGCTAAAGAAATAACTCAAAGTGAAAAAGATGTTTGGAGGCTAGTGCTGTGGCTAGGACCCTGTATGTACTGTTGATGAAGTTAGGTGCTGTTCTGAGCATTATTTGTGGCTATAGAGTGGCTTTTTGGTTGAGGTGTGTGTGTGGCTCCTTAGACCACTGTGTATTGTTATCCTGCGGTCACTACAAAAGTAGGTATAACTAGAGAAGCAAACGCTTGGCAACATTCACCTCTCGAGGAGGTGTCTAACTCAGTGTTACGATGTGTTTGACCCTAAATTAATTTTATGCCGGGATATCCCTTTAAAATAAATAAATCAATAACATTCAGTCAGGACCACTTTCATCAAAAGAAAGAAAGTGGATTCATGTTTGATAGTATGGCTCTGTTCTGAGAGCTCCCTGCCCCTCCTCGTGCTTACGAGGAACGCCAAAGCCTGCAGTGGGGAGAGCACATCAGTGAACATGCACATGACACTGGTAAGATCAGATACAGCATAAAGGAGGAGCCGAGGTGCAGGTAGTTTACAAAGTGGTTTTGGCGGAAGCCGCGAGAGAAGGAAGTCTGAGGCGGTTTAAATAGAACACCCTTACTGACGTTTGCCGATTGAGCGCAAGAAAAGTTACCAGCTGATATGGGCTGGCCTTCATGTCCTGCCTGAACCAATGCTTCTTTCAATTTAGGGAAAGATTTTTCAGACTAAAAAATTACCACATAAGGCACTGATAGTCCACCAGTCAAGGCGTGCATGTTATAGGCAGGCGGCCCCGGTTCAAATCCACTCCGGGACCCTTTTCCTGCACATCATTAGCAGATCTCTACCATATTTCCTGCTCTATCACTGCTCTATATTTGTTAATATATGCTTAAAAGGAAGGAAAATAAATCTTAAAAGGTCCATTTATAAAAAGATCCCTTAAGGGCTTCAATATTAACCTAGAGATAGACCTCTTGGAGAGGTCTGCCTTAAAAAGCCTTACCAGAATCACAAGTTTCACCCAAAAATCTTGTGAAAGTGGAGTTCTTAGAAGAAGAAAACTAGAAAACGTGAGTAGAGAGGGGTCTGTTATGCTGAAGTAGGTATCAAACAATAGTGTATTTGTTGAGGAATCTGTCAGTGGAATAAACAAGCACTTTAAAAATATGCACTTTGGTCAGATATTGCTTGCCTAAGGAGTTATGTTGCAGCCTGGAAATCCTGTTTGGCAGCTGCTGACTGAAATCACACGATCAACTGGACCAATTTCAAACCATAAAAATAAAAGGAGTCCACATGAAAAAAAATCAAGAATATCCTGAGACACAAGACCATCCTTGGTTAACTCAAAATAACAAAGATTATGGACAACACTCAGCCACCAGACATGAAATCAAGTTTATGTAAAAACACAGCATGACTTTTATCTGACACCATGCTGTTTTGACTGTCTAAATTTGTCAGAAGCAGCAGGGTGAACCATGCTAGAGGTCTGCAGGAAAGGAGCCATCCTCCATGTGAAGCTCCACTCTCTGATTGACTTTTACACTGGAGCGTGTAATGAGTGAGTGTGTCTCTATCTGTGGGGCATGACAGCAGAGAAGAGCTCGGCAGCGGCCTCTAATTGTTGGCAGGTTATTCATTATGGATGGGAGACAATCAGGCAGACAGACCTCCTTCCTCTCCACAGAGACCCCGAGGCCTTCTGAGGAGTCAAAGTGTTGAAAAGCAGGGTCATGAAAAGCTCCTTCTGACGAGCGCAACGACAGCGGTTTGTGTGTCATAAATCTGAGAAATCTAAAAAGACACAAGCTGCTCTCTGACATGGAAATTTAGTGGGACGCTTCAGGCTATTAGACCTTGAGGTGACTCTTGACGTCTGTTTTCTGAATGAAAGAAGACAGAAATATGCGCTAGAGGTCGACTTTCATTACATGACACAAGGGATGAGCAGCGGCCTCTCTGTGGAATATGCAGGACCGGACTCAGTGGTTGTTGGATGAGCTGTAGCTGAAGCTGAGGGCTCAGTGTTCACTCTCACACTGTCTCTATTGATGAGCAACACTTTAGTCTTTACAGAGGCCAAAGGTCATATTTGGTTATGGTGGTGGATACAGGGTGCTATTGAGCATACAGACAGTTCAGAACAGACGCAGACGATTTATTGAGTGAATTCTGACGGGGGGGAAACTGACACATTTGAGGGAACACTGAGGACACTGTGGCTGCTGAACGGCTTTAGGTGAGCTCATAATGTTGAATTTTGAAGTTTCATCACAACACACGAGAGATTCCCACAATAAAAGAAAAAAAATGTACGTAACAATGCTTATAGGCAATTCTCATCGCTGTTACCTTTTTATTTGCAAATTGACCACTTTAAGAAGAAAATCTTAGGAGAACAGGATGCATGACCTCATCTGATAAACGGTCACATTTCTGCATATTCTGATATCCATCACATCTTATCTTGACACTAAATGTTATACGGTAGGAGTTAATTTACTAAAATTGATAAAAGGACAAACACAGTCCTTTCTCAAAATGGGTGTCAGAGCTGAGATTAACAAGTTTCAAGAATAACTTTAAGCCTCCGCCGTAACTCATCCAAAAGAAACGAAAAATCAAGCCTTAGAAAAAATGGCCATCCCAGAGGATTTACAGCAGTTAAACCAGGTTTACAGTCCTAAGGCTTTGTTCAAAAACCTCACAGTCCTGATCCTGGTGGGCTCTGACCTGATCTCACTCCATTAAACCAGCCGTCAGACTCCCTCTGAGCTGAACCAGCTGAGGTGGGTTTCCTCACTCTGCATCTGTTAGTCTATTGATGGTGGTCTGCAGTGTGTGTCTTGGCCTTTACAGCCCCTGCTGACTTTACAGTATTGTATTTCAGATTTCAATTACTGGCCCTGACTAGAGGAGCAGTGTGGGGGTTATCTGAGGTTACTGGTTGCACTGGTGTTTCATGGAACAGTATTGATCTGGATGTGGCTGAGGTTATGTAAGGCAGGAGGGGAAGATGGCTACCGAGCGTGTGTGCACATGTAACTGTCTTTGCCTTTTTAAAATTTTTGTTAAGCCAACAATAACCCTGACCTGATTCTCCTCTAGCAGGGCAAAGAGTTTGTTTTTGTTAAATACAGGAGCTTTTAATTTGTGATGTGAAAAGGGATTGATTGCATAATCCCTAATGCAGTTTAGATGAATGCCTGTGTTGATCCCTCTGTGAGGTGAGAAGTTCACCCTCTATGTAGTATATGTGCCTGTGTGTGTGTGATTGGAAGAGATCAGTCGCAACACAAGGATAAGAGCCTGACGAAGTGTTGTTTTTAGCGACATCCACTTGCCCTTCACTCATAATGCACACACATCCATGCTTACCATACCACACACACACACACACAAACAAACACTAACACATTTTAGTGTTAATTTAATTAAGGCAGAAAAGCAACACTTTGTTGCCTCACTTGAACAAAATCCTCAATAAAAATGTGTCAAGAAACAGCATCAACTGCAGGAATAATCTAGTAAATTCAAAAACCAATCATCAGTAAAATTCTGCGGCCTCATGGCTAAATCCGCCAGTCATCTGTTTCCTCAAAATTAAGTTACCAAGTTAAACAGTAGCTAGTCTATGAATTAGCCTTAATGTTTGATAAGGGATGGAGGATAAAGCTGTCTACTATAGACACTTCAGAGGTAATTAGTCCCAGTATTTTAAGCACAATGAGGAAAAATGTTATCAGACTTATTTCAGTTTGAACCAAACGTGGTTGCTCTACTTACTGGTAGTTTACTTTTCTTATCATTAAAAAACTAGCCCACTCTAAATGTAACAGGGCTGTGGGCTGTCCCCAGGTGGGTTACTTTTGTAAAGGACTCTACTTTCAGTGAGGGATTAATCAATCTCCTTTGGGAAAGAAAACACAATGTAAATATATAAACACAGATAAACTGAACAGTTCTGCTTGGGACAATAACCATCTTTAGGTGATGCAGAAGACCAGTAAAAGGATCAATTTCAAAACTGATCACTAACTGTGATGCAAAAAAACACCCTATCTCCTGGCCTAGTGGGGAAACCAAATCTGTCTATTGTTGGTGTAATTTTACACTGATTTCATTTTTATTTTATTTTTTGTTACATTTGGATGACAACTTTGGCAGATCTTGATACCTGAAAGAACATCTTATTTTTTGCAATACTCTTAACACGTGATGATGAGTTTCATGAAGCGGATCCCATCAGTCATATCTGAGATATCCAAGGAGATAAAAACACATTTCTAACTTCCCATTATGCTATAAAGGAAGTCAACAACGGTAAAAACAGCCCTGTACAGAAATATTTTAACACCTCACTTCACTGGAATTTGTGAGAACTCAAACAACAACGTGGCACGTTATTTATTTAATCTAATGTTGAATCCAGTTCAAGTTCCCTGTTTGGTTTCTGCTCACTCTGTTAGCTTGTACAGTTCAGTGTGCAGTGTTTGCCAACTGCTGCTATCAGCAGAGCTGTGTTTTAATTCAGAGCAGAAGTCCAGAGTGAAGACTGTACGGGGAGAGATGTGGGGGAACAAACTCACATTCCTTACATTTCTCACAGGGTAATTATTAATGTGCCGCCACATCACTACACAGCCCTGATATGGGCGATGTGCAGGGCTCCAGATCCTCTGCTACATGCTCTGAAACTAAACAGCGTCTATTGTTGGAGTCACCTAAGTTCCCATGAGAGTCTTGCAGGTAATATTAGAAATTTAATGGTTGATAATTCAGCCTCATAATGGGAGCTTGGGAGCCATACAGGTAAATTAAGCTGATAAAGACAAAAGCATGAAAGTCTAACTACTCATTAAACTCATTACAGCCAGTATGGAGGAGAATGAGCAGAGACTCTCTCTCTCTTCTCTCTGTGGCTTCTTTGTTTCCTGGAGCGGTTCATGTAAGAGTCACTGTTCTGTGGTTACAGCGTTAGAAAATCAAGTGGTTCCCACAGCGACCCACACCTGAACCAGATCCACTTAGCCGCTGCAGTGAACGTGAACACATCCATCCACACACCTTCATTGTTGGGCCACACACACAGTATAAACACAAACAGGGAAATGCATAGACTGCAGCAGAAAACTAAGGACATAGAGATATGGACTGATCTGAAGTATGGCTGCGCTCAAAGTTGAAGCTGTCAGATTCAGGCCAAAATAAAGAGCGTAGATAAAAAGCTTTCCTGATCACATCCTGGACATTTTCTTTGATCTCCTCCACATCCGAACAGCAGAAGAAGAGCGAAGCAGGCTGTGTATCAGGTAGTAAACACTGACGCTGACGCATGCTGACACTGAGTCAGAGCATCAGCACTTTTTCCTCCTGTGGAGTTTCTCTGTAAATAAAGTGTGTTTGGTGTTTCTTCGTGGTGAGGAGCAGAACAGTGGGAACTACTGAAAATTGCCTTGCTCAGCAAACAGGGTGTTAATAATGACCACAAACAACATCACGTCATTTCACCTTGTACTGCTGCGACATTTTGGCTCAAGCCTCACAATTCTTTAAACACAATATGCAAAACAAATACAAAGTCAATCCAGGGAAATCTTGTTACCCTGCTCAGCAACAACACAGAGCCTTGAATAGTCCTCAGGGGGAATTCCAGGGACACAAATAGACCATCAGAGCAGCAATCATTGGCAAAAACAAAAAGAAGGAATGCCATGGAGAGAAACTATACCGAAGAAATCAAGATGTACAGCTCAGCGGAGCAAATAATCCCATATGTACTTCTTTAAGCACAGTGTGGCTCCTTTAAGGCACATCCAATAACGAAGAGCTAATTTACGTATTTGCTCTGCATTGGAAAGTAAAAGGGAAGCCTGAGGCTGCTGCTCAGTGTGACATCATTCACCCAGGAGAAAAGATTTGGATAAAAGTTAAAGCTAATTCCAATTCAGCACCACTGCAAACAAGTGAACCCCATGGGCTGAGTAATTAGCAATCAGACTGCTTTCCTCTCCACTCTGGAGCTTAAGCTGGTCTCTGACAATGCTTCCTTAAATCACAGCCAGCTCAGAGTATTTTGAGCACGCTGGCATGTAAATAAGGCAAACTGTCCCAGCAGTGAGCTCAGGAATGTCTAAAGTACACACAGACAGGTTAGGTCGACTGAGTTTAGATTATTCAAAAATCTTAAAGTCAACGTTTCAAAGCATCGAAACCCTTTATCATTTTATGACAGAGAGGCAAACAGATAAAAAAGATGTACAAGATTACCTGCCCGTTTGTCCACTTGAATCTCTACTTCTCTCCTCCTGATCCCATGCTCACTTTATTGCTCTTTTGATCCGTCCCAAACTCGCGCTACTGATTATCTTGCCACATGACTTCCTGTTTGTCTGTCTGACATGGCAGTGAGGAGGTATGGACTAGAGGGAGCTGCGTGGTCGTGACCACTGACCTGCGGGCCACGACAGGATGACTCTGCACCGATCTAAATAGAAAGCTAAGCTGATCCTAAGCCGAGTGTGACAACAGTCTCAATACAGGCAGCATCACTACTGGAGGTTTACCTGGAAACTAGGAGAAATCACTATGTTGACCTCTTCAGCAGGTAAAAGTCTGTCTCTACTCCTTTGGGACTCTCTGGTACTTTCCTGCTCACCGTACACCCTCTCTTTTCTCCTTTCCTTCCCCGCCTCATCAGCTCATCTCTTTGTGCACTTTGAGCCCGCTCAGGGGCCGGTGTGGTCCGACTTGTTCTACCAGTTGCAGAAACAAAAGCCCGGCATGTGAACCAGCTTTGAGGCGGTCAATCCAGACCCTGCATTGACATATGAGAGCATGCATCACTGGACAAGCGCCAGCGATGCAATCTGTGTTGTTTGCACATAGATAACACAACAATAATGAGGTATTAGACCTTGGTCTAAAGACAGACAGCAGGGACACGGAGAAGAAGGATGAGGGGAGGAAATAATAAGCGCACATGAGAAACAAGTGGAAAATGAGAGCATGTGGGGGTTGTCTCAGTGTGGACTGTCTGGACAATAGTCTGAGTGTCAGTCTCCCTTCCTGAGGCCGGGTTACTGGACGGGTTCTGCACTGTATCATATTACATAACTCAAACTGGAGATGCTTGCATCTGAGGAGGAAAAGAAGAGAGGCCATTGTTCTCCACTCCTTGACCAGGACAAAAACACTCGTTTCTTCTCTTCTAATATGATGTGGGCCACAGAGCTGAGGGGAGTGAAGGAGGTATCTGGACTTTGTAATGTTGGCACCAATAGGTGGGCACACAGGAATCCCAGCTAATAAAGCACCTTACCAACCAAAGATGCACAGTGTAGAGATTGGCAGGCTCTTAAAGGCATTCCAGAGCAAGAATGTGATGTTTTATGTGGCACCCTTAGGCCTGCTCACGTATTTTGATGAAAAATCAGCTAAAAAATGAAAAAAGGGGATAACCCCATCAAAGTCTGGCAGCCCAATCTAACACTTGGGCAAGTGCCGCTCTACCCCTGTCATTACCTCTGGGCCCCACAAGCATATCCAGTCTCAGATTCCAAAGATTCTGTTGTAAGTCTCCCAGCTGACAGACAGAGCAGCTTAAACAAGAAAAGACTCTGGGAACCTGAAGGAGAGGTGAAGGTGCTGCAAGTGTGTGTGAAAGGATGGAGAAAAATGGCAGCAGTAGGAGAGACTAGAAAGAAGGAATGTAGGGGTCTAAAGATGGAAAAAGGAGACAGAAACAACAGAGAGGATACTGTTGTTCAAGACGAGACAACGACCAGGGCTAGACTCATTTCCTCTACCTAAGCTCTTCAGGACAGTAAAGTTATAGGGTGCAGCTCTAGGAGGCACAATGATGTCTGGTTCTTTGTAAGAAAAAAAAAAACATGATATGATGCTTACCTGAGCTTGATTTGTTTCTCAATTTTGCCTTTTGTTCTTCAAAAATAAGAATTATAATATAAAATAAGGGAAAATGTCACAGAAGCCAGCAAGACTATACTTGTTTTGAGACAGCTTTCACATAGAAATCAATAAGTAGATCCCAAATTTTGGGAAGTACAGTATGCCTGTCTGTCTCATTGCTGCAGGAAAGTTTGTTAATGTCTGCACAATTCAAAAATCCATGAGTTTTTGTATGAGGATGGTATTTACCAATAGGAATGGTGTTCAGCTTTCACTGTTTGCAGTCCAGTTCGCTATTCAAGAAATGACCATGTACAGTATATGATAAAAAGTGAAGCCAAATTCACTACCTGCATACTGTATGTCTGCAAAGTTAATGTTCTGATTTCTTGGTTCATTATATCTCCGGTCTTGAGTTTACAATCACATCAAAAATGCAAACAACAAGGTCAAATCAATTTCTTCTGATGCTAAAACTGATTAGCTGTTGTGCACTGTCGGGCAGTTGTGTAGATCAGTTTAAACGAATAGCTAACATGTGGTGTAGATGTTCGGATCCATTCAAATTCTGCACTTTTGTCTGTGATGGCCTCTCTATGAGCTTCTGGCAAGTGTTAAAAAAAGGCGGTCATACAGTGTTAGAGCGTTAGACGCTTCAGCTGCAGCGTGGCTATTCTAAACTGTGTACCCCATTTCTGTATCAAAACATTACTGTATTAGTTTACTGAGGTCAAGAGTGCGTGGATTGGCCAGGTTACAATGATAGCGCCCTCTGCCGGATTACATGACAAGCTCTTTCAGGCAGCCAGACATGCTGGTAAACTGTATTATTATGAGATCAAACAGCTCATTATCGTTTAAAGTTCAAATGAAGGCACTAATTTCAAATTAAAAAATGACAGTCCAAGTGTCAATACAGTCAAATGTGTTCTACCAGCTTTTGCTCTCCGTACCAGGCGCCACCCTGCAGAGATCTATGTCTTAAGGTAGAATGTGTAAATAAAGATTACCACCTGCAAACAACAAAACTCAGACCAATCTGTGTTTAGCTTAGCGCTGCGAAAAGACTAAAAACAAGATAAATGGCTAGCTATAGCTTTAGTAAACAATAAGGGGTGATAAATGAACAACCCTGTCTGTCGTGGTTTCCAGCTTTGTGTGTGTACAAACCTTAACATACAAAACAAGCTGGTACAGGATGGTCGCTACATAAGTCTTCACATTTTTTCATCTGCCTGAGATGCAAGTATGGGCCACTGTACCTGGTTGTAACTTCTAAGTCCTCAGTATTGGCTTTATGGGAAAAGTACATGATGTGACAGCAAAGACAAATGCTGTTTATGAGAATAGAGCTGCTACTTGTTCACACAGGTATAAATAAACAACAATGCCCACTTGCAGAGGAGGGCTCAGACTCATGACCTTTTGTTTTGCAACACTACGGCTCTTCAGACTAAATAAAAGAGATGAGAGTTGAGTACTCTGCACACGCATGATTCGACCCTGCTGTGCACATAAATACATGCACACTGAGGGTAACCGTTTCTGCTGATAGCCTATCTAAAGAAGGCAGGTGAGCGCGGGCGCTCCTCACAGGAGATAAGATCGATCAATAAAAACAGGAGGAAACAATAAGACTGAGCTGCAGTAAACACACAAAGGCTGACTCATAAGGGTAAAAAGACGACACATTCGTTTACAAGACAATATCCAAGACGAGATGGAGCCTGAGTTAGCCAGAAAGGGCGGCTATTTCCGTCTCCCCTCTCAATTTGTGACATTCAGAGACAATAGTAGCAGCAGGGGTCTGTCCACCCTTCTACACTCCCAGACCTTTCCCCTCTGAAGGTCAGTGGGTCTCTCCGGTCCCATGAGATTCAAACTATTGTTCAGTAAGTGGCGTTGAGTCGGGCAATCATACAGTCAGCAACAGCCCTGCAAACACTGGGGACAGACTTTACTGTGATTAAATATTAAGTGTGTAGCAGGTCTTGTCCATCTGGCAGAACAAGAAACTTTGATTGACAGAAAAAAACATGTGGGCCCCAAGCTAGATCCTAATTGTGCCAGATCCACCCATGCATACTCACACCTCCACTTATATATCATCAATCTGTGATGCCTCAAGCTTTCCTGGAGTTATTTTCCAGAGATGTTTTGCAGTTGCATATGAAGAGGCTACATTAAATCTTTAACTAGACATGATGAAATGAAGGAAAATCCTCTCCTTCTTCATAAACTTATTGAGGATTTTAAACCTACAGTAGCTTATATCCAAATCAAGAACAACATTAACACACTTCTGTCTGCTGAACATTGGTCCTAAATTCTGACTCCTTATAGCCCTTGTTTGGTCTTCTTTGACCCCTTAAAGAAAATCAGAACTTTTAGCTGCACGTGCCACTTTATTCACCTACTAACCCTGTTTATCTGCCACTTGGTGTTGAGAGGGCAGCAACGCCAGTCTGGGGAGCTTTGCTGAACAAAAATGCCAAACATGCAAAACTGTTGCTTTAAAACCAAAACCCTGCTCTGAAAAGATTGCAAAATTTCTGTAGAAATGGGAAATAATGGGTTTGCCACTTTTAGGATTTCTTATGGCATTGCAAACTGTCGACTTAACATTTATTGTTACAAATATTCTGGTTGAAGGTTAAGGCAGCTTAACGACCATTTCTAGAGCAAACATTGTCCCTCAATTCATTTAATTATTGTGGGTCATTGTCTAGTTTTATCTGACAAGAGGAATGCCAAACAAACGTTTGAAGATCAATCTTCGACAATAAGGAAACACCTGACACTCGAGGGTAATGATTAACATGGGTGTGTTGTCTGTCAAGGCACTTGAAAAATAGCTGCTAAAATTCTGCAACTTGACCCAGCTAAATTAGAGGCGAGTAAATCAATGTTTCACTGAATCTTAAAAAAAACTCTGAGCCGCTAAATCCTTATGGAGTTAAACTGATCATTCAAGTTAAAATAAGAGTTTTGTAACACTTTCTTTTATTTCAACATGCAATTAACTTATGTAATGTGTTGGTGTTAAAGCTTTGAAATAAACAGCCTCACATCAGACAGTAGTAGAATCCAGGCCGGCAGCCCTGCACGTCCAGCCAAATCCCACAGTGATTTTATTAACCCGGCCAAGCTTTAATCGCAGCGACAGACGGCTCAGAGAGCGTATCGGGGCAGCCACAGGCAGAGGGATGACCGAGGAGTGAAAGCTCTAAGTGTGAGAGCATGACACTTTCTTCTCTGAGCAATCAGGCATGGCCATGTGTATTAAGAGTCTATGAGATGAATGCAGACAGAGAGGAGAGAAAAGGGTAACAGGATAAGTCCAAGATTGGGAGCAGACAATGGGAAATGGGGAGAAAGGGGACGACGGTTCAAGGAGTGAAAGAAACAAAGTTGGGGAGAGGAAAGAAGGGATGATTAGAGTTTGATTAGCTAGCCTGCCAGAGGGGAAATCTCTGTCAACCAGTACAGTGCCTTCACAACTGTGCTCTCCCTGCTGCACCATCTGGACTGGAGTATGCATGACTGACCCACTATTCACCTACACGCAACAAGGAGAGAGCAAATCTGTGCATCATCTTTATCTTCCACGGCAAAGAAAAGATGTTTTATTTCTCACTTTCAAGGTATTTCCTGGAACTTATATTAAAGCTTTTAATCAGGTCAGACGTCAAAACACTGCGGGAATAAGATGGCGTGAAGTTTATGAAAATCAGGATGCTTGATGGAAATGAGTACGTTTCCCTGCTCTTTATATAAGCAACAGTAAGCAAATGGTCAGCAGACATCTGAGCGTTCAGCAGAATCAGTGTTTCATCAGCTGCCAGTGATTTAAGGAGATGAAGTATGCACACACACACTCATACACACACACACACAGGGGAGTGTCAACCCCCTGGGAGCTCAAACAGCTGAACGAAGACATCGCATCAGCTGTCCGACTGATTCTGCAGAGAAGAGAGCAGCAAAGAGACGGACTGTGCTGATAGGCTGTCGTCAGAAAGCTTTAGAGCTAACAGATGGAGTTTGAAAGATTGACAATCTCCAGAGCCATCACACTATGAGAATACATGTCAATGCTGATAATGTGCCAAATATCAAAGACAAACAAAAATACATTTTAAGCCAGTGTAATGAAATTTTCTTTCTTTGATTCTGACATTCATTAAAATACTCTAACCATACAAAATGCTATCTTTTTGATGAATTAACCCATAATCAAAGTAACCTTGTCTCATTTACTGTAGACGATCCAAAACGTGTAATTGCAAGCACACACCAAAAAGTAAAGGCCTGGGTTATAGCAAGAGGTAACAGTAGTAAGATGCAATGACTTCTTGTCTCAAAGAAGCAGCAAAAGGTAATTTAAATTCAAATGCAGCAGTAATGGGTCAGTTCACCTAAATTACAACTTACACCAATTTTTCTTTCCTGTAAAACACTAGTTCCATCTAACCGTGTAGGTGGTTTGAGTCAATTTCTCCAGCAGAACAAATTTATTCCACTAATCTCCATTTTTTGGTGCTGGAGGCAGAAAAATCAGACACTTATAACTGAAAACTTGCACTAGCAACCGGAACCAACTACATGGATGGATACCACAAATGAAACAAACTGGTATGCAAAACTGTAATCTCAGAGTCAGCCCTGACTGTCATGGCTGTGCTCTCAGTTGCAATTGGATTTTTTGGGGGTAATATGAGGATCAAAGACTTTGTTAATTGCTGTTAGCCTAAGTAAGTATTGCACTAGTTCATGCCTATGCTATATTGCTTGACTACCTGCAAACAGGCACAGATGACAGATGGGATCTTGTATTATGGTGCAGTTTGGCAGTACTTTGGTCTAAACTATGAGGATAAAAATGGATTTGTCTGGTCAAACTAGCACAGACTCTGCTGGAGCAATGCATAAAGCACAGGCATACAGACATTAACCTGCATGAAAAGCTGAAAGCCGCTTGTTCTAGCTCTGCTCACATCTGACCATAGACTGTATATAGAATGGACAGCGTCTGCCCACTTGCTGGGCGAAGCCACTCCGAGAACAGCACCCCCTGGTGACGGGCTGCAGTATAGGTCATAAATCCCGCCTCCTCCAGCAAAGCTTATGGGGCTGTGGACAAACTTTAGAAATGTATTACACAGAATATAATTTTTTCTCCCCCCTACTTGTAATGTTGACATGTAGTTATTGTAAGACTGATTTGTGCTCAAGTCCTCTTTTTTCTGTGAAGCTCCGTTTTTAAAAGTTATTAGGGGGGTTCATGTTTTCTTTGATTGACACCTGATACAGCCTATGGGCGTTCAGGGACTGCGTAGCTCACCCGGGGGATACGCTGTTTGAGTCGAGCGTCATCACAGCGACTCTCGGCGACTCCCCCTCCGAATGAGCACAACGCTACTGCGCAGCGCTGGTTTCATGAAATGAAGAAAAGTCCCGGCAATACCGAGAGCTTTTTGGCTTCAAATCCATATACAGGCGGGAGGCGGAACCAAGTTGTCCATAGTATATTAAGGTGACCAGATGCGATGAATTGGATGACCTGTCCCCGGCAAAAGCTTTCCCCAAAAATGTCCCTGATTTAAGCGTTTCATGAATGAGACGTTGTTTTTGAACAGCACAATATATCCATAAATGTGAATGTTTGCCTCAGAAAAAAAATAAAAGTAAAGCCTACTGTCAATCAAATGCTCTGACCCCAACCCCCTCATTGCAGTTTCAGGCGTCAAAATCTACTACTAAATAAAATCTGCAATGTTGTTGATAGACTTGTTTGATTTTGAGGGTCACAAAAAGGCATCAGTATCCGTTTAAGGTTGTTTCTTAACCAGTCTAACACTCCATACAGTGCTTTTAATCCATCACACTCCTCGTCGTTGCATTACTGAGTAATCTAAGCGGACATTTAGTGTTTATTTCATATCCGAGAGGCCTGCCTTGAACCATCACAACTTTGAAGAACTTGAATAGTATTTGCAGTTGGTGATAGAGGACAGCTGATGGCGCAATATTTTCTCACCCCCCCTCCTCTCCGTCCATCACCATCACAGTGAAGTGAGCTGGATGAAGCAGAGGAATGTATTCTTTTGAAGTGACTTTAACTTACAATGAGCAACACTTAAGCTGTCCCAGTGATTGCCATGCAGTGATACACATTCACATAACAGCTGTATATCTCAACAATGTACCAACCCTTTGATTTCTCCCATAATTCGCCCCCTAGATTACAGAAATGGTCACTATGCAGTCTCCAACAAACAGCTCTCACATCTTTTGTTTCTCTATTGTCAAACAGGCTCCCTCTCTTACGTCAGCACACACCCAATAATCACCACACTCAAAAGACTCTTCCTCCAACGCTCCATGAGTCCTTAGGTCAGAGGTCACCTGTGGCCTCTGGTCTCCACGACAACAGTCTGGAAGTCCCCAAGACTGGGCCGGTGTGTCTCCCCACCACCACCCACACACACGCACACACACACACGGACACACACTGACTCTCCCACACAGAAACAGCTTTTGTCCATGAAGTCTTGAGCATCAAAAGAAAGCCTGGAGTGTGAGCGTCAACCCAAACATTTACAGCCAAACACTTTTCAATACACTGCAGTGAAAGTTAAGGAGACCACCATAGCTGCAGAGTGACAGGAAATAAGAGCCAAAACAACAATTGTTCTTCCATCAGTCTCCTGTTCCCCTCCTGTTCAGTTTTAAAGCCCAGAATAACAGTGAAAACAAATTCTTAGGATTAACCCTGATTGAGGAACAAACACTGATCCAGCTGACAGCAACAGTCTAACATTTATTCCCAGGTTTTTTTTCCCAAGTCAAGCATCTCAAGTTTCTATATTGAGGTGTAGGGTGCAAGAAGTTTTGAGCATGCCACCCTGAAGGACCACAACAACCCATGCATGTGCACAGGACAGACCAGGAAAGAGTAGAAAAACTGACGCTCACCATATTCTGCACGCAGGACATCTCTCGGACCAGTTCTGGTTCTCTGCTGCAGTTTGGTTTCTCGCTGGTTATATAATAAAACAAAGTGCGTTTACGTGGCTCCACAGGATATTTTCCAGGACTTAAAGCGGAGCAGCAGACGGAGATCGGAGCAGCTGGCGGTGTGAGGAGAGACAGAGAGAGAGAGGGAGAGAGCACCAGCAGCAGCAGTAGACTGAGACTGTTTCTTTTCCCTCTCAGAGGTTTGAACAGCGCAGGACTGACTGAGAGGAAACACGAGAGGCTGGAGAGCATGTGCTTGTCCCCCCAGAGGCTGAACTGACATAGATCAGGTTTGAAGGAGAGGCGACGCCATCTAGCGGCCTAATTCACAGGTGCGCTATGTAAACAGTTAACAACAGCAGAGGACTGAGCAGGCTACTGTGAGGGTTTTTTCATCCACAAGAAGGTCTTGTGGCGTGTGAGAGAAAGAGGAAGTGTGTGGGAGTTTTATCAAAAACATTTGACACCAAGTGAGCAGCAACAGATGTTTGCCACACAGACTGTCTTAGACTAGTAAGACAGAAAGAAATATATATATTTGAAGTATCCTGGGTTACAAAGGTGTCCCTAAAAGTAGCCTGTAAGCTACTGAAAATGTTCAATTTTACTCTGTTTTAGCTTCTATAAATTGTTGTCTATTTTCACGTTTTTTAATTTGTTCAGGTTATTGTAGTGGTTAGCACTGTGGCCTCAAAGCAAGAAGGTCTGAGGTTCGAATCTGGGTCAGGGCGATTCTGTGTGGAGTTTGCATGGGTTTACTCCAGGTACTCCAGTTTCTTCCCACATCCCAAAAACATGCCGTAGCAGAGTGAGGTTAATTGGCATGATGGCATAATGGCATAATGTGAGCATGGAGTGTTGTTCGTCTCCAGTCCTGCGATGAAATGGCGACTTGTCCATGGTGTCCCCTGCCTTTGCCTGAAGATGCTGGTTCCAACTACCCTGGGAACGGGAATAAGCGGTAGAAAATTGATGGATAATCAGTTCAACTGAACTCATCAGCTTAACTATTTAACAGATACATTTAATGGAATCAAAAGATTTTATCCTCAAAAGGTTCCTCCTTTTCACCTGTCAAGTCAACTGTGTAACTCTCATCAACTGTGTTACTTTGCCTGTCAACTGTGTTACATTGTTATTTTATGTCATAAATCTCTTAAATGTTGAATAAACTGTTACAAAAAAAGATGGGGATATCTCTGGAGCGGGAAGTCTTATAAAAGAATGGTGAATAACTCTAAATTCGGTGTAATGTGAATTTATGTTGAAAAAGGTTGCACTCTACATCATAGTATCCCATCATATCACCATTATGAAGCTCAAAATTTACATTTTTAAATCAGTTGGACAGATAAACTCAAAACCTCAGGTGTACAGATTCACTTTAAAAACAAATGTGTTATCAAATCTTTAGTATATGTTTTATATGACACAACATTTGTCCGTAACATAGTTGACAAAATGATGAATCAAATGTTCATTGAGCTTAAGCTTGCCAATAAATTGATTTAGCACATTAAGGGTATATATCATAGAAACATCTAGCTTATTTATCAAAAAAGAATACAGATATTTTGAGTTTTTGGTCGACTTGAAATGTACCCGTAACTGTAGAATGACTCCTACACACTATGCTAAACTTTTTCAAACAAACAGTCCAACTTAAGTAGACATGTGACAACCAGCCCCACCTGACCTCTTGGCAAAGATTTGTGCTTGCCTCTACATGGCTTCAACAGAAACTAGTCTCAAATCAAATTTGTGAATTCACGAATTTGTGAAAAAAGACTAAAAAAAAAGGACCCCAAAACCTCAATCCTCCAAAAGTCCTGGGTTCATTGTGTGTTAACTGTTTTTGGTGTTGATGAATTGTAAGCATTGGGAAGTTCAAATCACACAGCCAATCTAACTTTATATTGGCACATTCGTGCACAAGCATAAAGCAGTAAGTAGCTTGGTGGTTTCATGTCAGGATACTGAGAATTCTCTGGGCTGATAGCAAGTTAGAAAATTGACGTTGTGAAACTTTTAGTGCTTTAAATATTTTTATTTCTTGTGTCATGATGCTTGTACTCTATTAGGCTGAAGAAGTATTTTTTTTTTATCTTGACCACAAAGCATTTACCTTACAATTTTCAGTAGATTTTTCAGCTTGTTAATACCAAAGGTAACTTAAAAATTCTTCATGAAGGCTGTTGTTTTAGGTAATACTAGTCCAACTTTTGCAGACTGCTATAATCAATACAATGTGAGGATTTTTTTAAGCGGCTTAAAAAACACTAAATTTGACACTGATGCCTTTTTATGACCTTTCAAAGCAAAGAATGACATTTTCCTCTGCTTTGTAATGCCTGAAATAGCTGTGAGGGGGCAGGTGTCAGACCAGTGACTGACAGCAGGCTGAAAAAAAGAGCCTTTAAAAGAATTTTTAATGACAACAACACTTCAGAATTATAATAACATATATAGTTTTGTCCACAGGGGGCACCAGAACCAACACAAATCAAAGGTCACCCATAACAGAGAGTCTCAGAGTTATTCACACAATAATGCATCATGAATAAAATATATGATTACCATGTGTGATACTAAAATGTGTCACTCTGCATAATGAGCATTTTTACTTACACAAACAACCAGTTCAACAGAAGTGAAACATCCTTTTGTTTCTTCAACTCTGAACAGATGACATGACTATTCATTTTATGCCATGAGAGATTAACACACATATTGTCTCACTAAGGCTGCACAGCATTTAACTTCAATTACACAAAATATTAAAGTATCTGTCTGCAAGAATCACAAAGATAAACTAAAGAAATACAGAAATACAAAACTGAAGAAAAACCGTTTGAGAAGCTGGCACTCATAGCATTAAACACTTTGCTTTTATAATGATTAATAAGTATAATATCCATTTAAAATCTCTATATCATCACCTTTGGCAACGTCATTAATGACAAACACAACAGCTACCCAATACAAAACCTATGATACACAACATTTTATATACACGAAATGACAAAACCTTGTTATTACTGTAATGCTGCAGCATGTTTGCATGAGTCAGAGTGACAGAAGGAGAAAGAGTTTTTTCTACTGAAATAATGCATTCGAATATGACTCATAGCGTGCTGTTCGTCAGAGCAAACTGTTGCAAAACTACTTCAGCTTCTTTTTCCTTCACTTCAGATTCATTATCCAGTTCTGTTGGTTTGTGGTTTCTTGGGTTTGGCCTTTTGGACAACTTTAATGGTGGTTGACACTGACTTGGCCCCTTGCAGATTCTGGGCAGTGCAGGTGTAGGTCCCCTGGTCCACGTCCCTCACCTCGTCCACAAGAAGGACAGACTGAGACTGCTGTCGAGCAGCTCCGCCACCCACTGGACTGATGCTCTCCTGTGTGTACAGAGGCCTCCCGATCTGTAAGCAGCACAGGTGTTTGGTTCAGTTTGGAAACAGATAGTGTTCAGCACAAGAGAATGATAACTCATAGTCTTTAGTTCAAGTGTTAACAAGTCCTGAATATAGGCCTGGATGATCCACAGTTCATGGGTCATACCAAACCAGCTCTGACTTAAATGCCACCAGTTACTCTCTTCCTTTACTTCTCCTGAGAGTCTGACCTCCTGTCCTGGGTACTCCCACGTGAACTCTACGGCCACGTCCTGTTCTCCCACCACAGAGCAGCTGACCTGCAGATTCTCTCCTACAGCCACTGACCCTGAAGAGGCCTGGATCACTGGAGCAGGAGGAGCCATGGGGTCTGGAAAAGGGATTTTATAGTATGTAAATTGAGCAAAAACTTGAAATTGAGTCAATAAGTATACTGTTTCGACTGTATGTCTGTGATAGGCAAATTCTTTGTTAAGAGTCTGCATATTTATCAGTTTTTCTTGTGCAAATTAAAGCACCTTGTAAGGAGTACCTCAATGCCCTTAAATACTGAAGCAGCACTAATTTGTAGTCAACTAGTTAATCAGTAACTGTAATGACAGTGCTAAGTTAGAAAGTTGCTTCAAGCTGCTTTTCAAAAACATATTAACAAGTGTAAAAAAGTGCAAAAAGTACATTAGCAGCTATATCGGCATCTCAACATTCAAGTGCTGAGGTTGCAGTGTTATTTCAAGAGTAAACACCAAACAAATTAAAAGTAAAGTTTTAAGCTTAGTCTTAACGTTATTTACATTTCATGCCAGAAAAATGACCCATAGATTCAAGAAGTGCGAGAAACACGTAAAACTGTAAATGAACAAAAAATACAAGCTGAACTGTCAGCACTAAGCAGTAGCAGCTGTAAAAATAAGAATGTTTCTAACTTGAAGACATCAGAATTGAAAGGATTTAAAACGACTGTTCAATGGTGGCCAATTAAAAGATAAGAAAACAGAAACATAAAAAAAAAAAAAAAACAGAAAAGCTGCAAAAGAGATAAAATTCAAGCAGCAAGAGCAAAGTAATGTTGCTGTTTGCAGTGCATCATAATTTCCATTCTTTTATCATTTCTACAATTTTTTTTACTTCCCACTTGTATGAGACGTTGGTGGGCTGCAGACTCTGAGTGTGTCGCAATGGTGATCCTCTATGTATTCATGGTTAAACACTATTCTAGGATAGTCTCCAACTCTGATCATAAATAGGCAACAAACAGCTAACCCACTGGCAGCACTCACAGTTGACATAGATGAGCATGTACTTGGTGGAGCTCTGCCTTAAGTTGTTCAGGCTGGCAACACAGTACAAGGCTCCTGCGTGATAAGGCCGAGGCCGATGAATGGTGATGCCCTTCCTGACATCAAAGGAGATCTCTGTTCCATCCACTGCCACCTCTGTGGGCGGAAACTCACGGTGCAGAGTTACTTTAGCTTCAGGTGACGTCACTTGGCAGGGGAGGACTGTGGGCCAGTTTGATCTCAGCTGAATCACCTCGTAGTAGTCAGACGAAGGAACAAACAGTTCATGCGGGTCTGATTGGCACAAGAAGAAGATATGGCAGATTGAGGATAAGATAACTGGATGTAAAAAAAGCTCCCTATCAGGCCTTCGGGGACATAAAACGTTTAGTTCTGAGAAGTGCATGTGCAAGCACGAGTTAAGTGTATTCATTGTACCTGGAAAGAAGACAAAGACTTTGATGGCTTTGTCGTACTCCTTCCTGCAGTCTGTATCTTCACAGTACATTGGATAACATGTGTACTCTCCTGTGTCTGCGCCAGTTGTGTTTACTAACGTCAGAGCGCCATATCTCTCATGTTGGATGATCCTGCAGTGCAACAACAGGAAAGGGTCAAAGACCATATTGACTTTCCATCAGTTTAATATAAATCTATCATTTGAAGACTAAGCTTCACATCATGCATCATAAAACTTTATCAACCATGAAGTTTACCTGAGCCTTCCATCATCATCCTCCTCCAGATATGGGGGGACGCTCCACTGCACAGGTTTGCCCCTGCACCTCAGCTCCAGAGTGTCACCTGACTGCACACTTATGGTCTCTCCCACCTTTTTAAACTTCCCTCTGTTCAGCACCTTAAAATATTAAATACATAAATTGTATAGTTGCACAAAAATGTTATGAAAATATGTGTGAAATACTTGTGTTTGGGTAATAAAGCCTGCCTTCACTCTGCACAGTTTTAAGAGGAGCACAGAAGTGTGGTTGAGAATAGGTTGTTGTGTGGTGCCGCAAAGCTCTTCACTCTCTATTACTTTCCCTGAGGTCCCAAAACTGCCACAGTATGCCCTTACGTATTTTGAAGATATTAAACATGAAAAATATTCTCTAAATCTTGAGCTGAAATGAACATTGTTTTTTTAGGGACTGGTTATGAGTGAGGATTGAAAGAGTTTGGTAGTCTGAGTAACATCATTTCTGTTTTGCTATGCTATTTAGTTGCACACAGTTCTTTTTACCTTCAATCTTTTGATATCACCAAGGGCTTGAGACAGGGTTTTACGCACAATGTAGTCGTCAAATTGGACAAGAAAAAACTGTTGGGTGTCATCCTTGTAGCAAATGATTTATGTACATGTCAACAGGAGAGGACCAAGGACCAAGCCTTGAGAGACTTCACATACAAGCAGCTGTTGCTTTTGAACACCGACATAGTAGCTAGCCATGAGTAATGCATAGGTTATTGTGTAAAGACAGAACTATGGGCATTAAAAGAATCAGTGATGAGGAGTGACTGCAATGACTACTGAGAGGAGAGCACAGGGCACATTTGGCATAAACTGTGCTTGAAAACTGACCAAACTCCCAAGAATGTCTTTAAGGTCAAGTGTTATTATTGTGATAAGCAATTACAGAAAATGTTTGATTTGTAGGGACCAAACAACAGTCTGTTTTAACTAATGTGGGACACTGCCAATAAAAGGAGGGCTGAAATAGTATGGAGATTGCTAAGGCCAACCGATAGGAGAGATTTTCAATTTGAAGTTCAAACTGTTGATTCATGAGAGATCCAGGCTAGGTTAGGGAAAATGGTTTTTGGATGTTGATTTTGTGGGATTCATGGAGTATTTCCCATGAACAGTTGATAGTTACTTAAAGACACCTAAAGATATCATAGGGAGATCTCAGGTTTGTCTTGATGGTCATAAATAGAAACTGCAGTTGTGATTAAAGCGATTACATTTTCATTAATGAGGACGAAGCAAATTGGAAGCTTGTTGGTGCAATCCAAAGAACACTGGTGAATTGTTCTATAACATACTCTCTAACATTTCATACAATGTTTCCTACCAGATGAGTACCTGTGTGAGTATGGTCTGTGCTGGGGCTGCAGGTGTAGCTTTGATTTTGGGTTTGGCCGTCGCTGCTCTGGGTCTTTTATTTACGGGTTTCCCAAGTTCGGGTTTGTTTTGCTTGGACTTCCTTCCTGCTGTGGTCTTCTGTACTTGGGCATCCTTTTGGCAGTGAGCTACACAATGTGCAGTGCACACGATGAATGCATGATTACAAACAGAGACACAATCAAACATGTGTTGCTATGACATGCTTTCTTAATGATACAGTTGTACAGTGAGATTGCTGTGTAATAAAACTTCAAGCAAATTCCAAAAAGCATGACCTACTGTGAGCTATTTTATTTTGCAGACAGAGACCTCACCTTATGAGTTTTTCCAAGAACACATGTTCAGAGAACTGCGAAGAAAGTCACTTACCTAACTCGAAGATTACGGCACAAATAAGGAAACCGCTCAGCAACAGCTTCCACTTTGGCACGAACATGACCACCTAAGAAATGACTGATCGCTGGATTGTGAAGCTGTCTGTGGATTTTTGTTGAAAATACAGATAGAAAACTTACAGCAGAATTTGATATGAGAGAAGAAGGAGGAGGACAGAGCTTGCAAAGTGAGAGGTCAGCTGTTTGCCACAAATTCCTCCTCCTGAGAGTGGCATTAGTACCTCAAATTCCTCCTGACTGGCTCAATGGTCTCTTTCAAGCCTGTCTGGACCAATGAGGGTCCAGAGACGGAGGCCCCTCCATGTGGAACCACAGCCTGTTTGCTTAGCTGCTGGACTGGAAGTGTGCGAGCAGCATGAGTCTGGCCCCCAAAAAACACATTACAGAGCCCGGGCCAAGTCTGTGGAGCTGTAATTACTGGCATTTGGTGCCTAATAAACCTTCTGTCCCTCAGTTAATGACGGTCTCTTCACAGGTCAATCAAACCACATGCTTGAGGAGCTTTTAGATGAATATGTAGTTAACAAATCATGCATGTAAAATTATTCTGCAAAGTGAAGAATTTATTAATGTTTTCATGACGTAAAAGACTTTTATCATGACAAGCAGTTTTCTAGGCTTTGAAACACTGACATGATCACATCATTTTTATATGACACAAAATTTTACACTTCCTCTTTAAACCACAAATCTGACTTGTTGAGACCTGTTGTCACTGACTTTTGTGACCTTAAACAGGTAAAGAAATGAAGGTTTGTGGATTTAATTCAAAATCAAGTTCTGGTCTCAGAGCAAACTATGTAAAGCTTCATTTTCGTGTGCCTAGCTAAGCCCTAGTTTTGAGCCTGATGCAGGTAAGCTGCTGTGAAAGATCCTTTTGTTCTAAGTGAACTCAGGGTAATGGGTTGCCACTGGCTCTTTATACTAGATTACATTTTTTTCAATAATGCGCCACAGAACATCGAGTCATTGTACTAGCTTTATTAAATTAGAATATATTTACAGTTTTTGATTAGAAAACATGCAAAGTCTCTTTATTTACACTGAAACATTAAATAATCAAGAAAGTAAATCTTTCAACAGACTGAGAGCAAAAAGTGACATTTCTGTTTTTACAGTGTAAATACTTTTGTACAGCCGAACTCTAAATTTCTGATATGTAAAAAAACAGCTCTTGTTCTTCATACCAAATTTTCTCAGGGTTGTAAAAAATTACATTTTTAAAAACATTTTACAATTAGTATCAAAGTGTACACTTGTCATTCAGGTGTAATAAACTATAGACCAACCACTATAGACTGAACCCCCTTTTGAAACATAAGTGTGATCTGCTTTATTGGCAGATTTAATGGGAATAAGATTGGGTTTTTAAAGTGGGGACAGAGGGCTGTAGTACACATACATAAACCTAGCTCCAAAGGGAAAGGCTGATGACACCAAAGTAAAGCAGTGTAAATGTTCTTTTAAATTAAGGACCTAAAGTAAAACATGGGTGAGGTCTCAATGATGCCAGTTATTGGTTTCTGAGAAGACAGTATGGAGTCCAACAATGGCTGCAACCATTTTTAGAAATGCCAACTCAACATCAACCTAATGTGCAATCAACCTTGAAACAGGCTAGGAGGTTAAGCACCCATTCTGGTTAACAGCTACAAGACCCCTTCTACCTGTCAGCTTCACCACACCACAGATAGTGCAATTGTACGCATAACACTTAGCTTCGATATCATCAAAATGTAAGATTTAGTAAGATTTGCAAAAATTTCAACACCTGATCAGTTTTTAGACAAAAAAGAATCCATTGCAGGCAGCAAATCTGTCTCTGTACCAGGCACACAGGACCATTCTGCTGTAAAGTTGGGCATGTTAGTAGGCAGTCTAACGTGGATTCTTTGGGTTACGGAGTCAGCGTCTGGTGGACACTCTAGGGACTGCAGTCTTTTGCACTTGGCTTCATTTTGAACAAAAAGGGTTGCATCTTGTTTTTTTGTGATCACATCTGCTGTGGTATATAGCTCTGATTCCATTTAGTTAGAATACTGGCTGTTGTTTGCTAACCCTAACACTGTTTAAAGCCTTATAACAGTCTCACTTCAACAAATCCCAAACTTTTCATATAAGGCTCTAGGACATTACTCTGGCAGATATAGGTCTAAAATATGATTGGCATCATTTCATGACAATGAAAACATTTGGATAAGTTACAGACTCCACCAGCGTGTCATAAAGTGTCAGCGTGGAATAAAACTCAAGAAGTTGGTGCATGTGTCCAGGTCTCTGCATGTCAACACGATACACTTGCAGGGACAGATCAGCACCCACTTTTTTCAAACAGTTACACAATAAGGCAATTCTCAATTGTTTTTCCAGCCATAATCAGAATCTTTCCTCATGAATGACCTTCTTGTCTGTACTTTCACTTATAGTTTCAATCTGTATGTTCATATTGTCAGTCCAGAGACGCTTTCTTTGGACACTGAACCAAAGCCCGTAGCAGAAATAGATGAGTAACCCTGCAGAAAAAGATGGAGATCGTTACTGAATAGCCACTTACTTCATGCAAGCCTTCTATATCTTTTGAGCAGATAAACGGTCTTACCCACTGCCATCCAGATGGAGTATCTTATCCACGTATCTGGACCTAACTGGACCATCAAGTATACGTTGATGAGTGTGCTCACCAAAGGCAAGACTGGGACTAACGGCACCTAGAAACGAACAAAACATGGATATTAGCTCATGAACACGAATGTGAGTCAAATCACTAAAGCAGTTGAATTCTTCTCACCATGAAAGATGCCTTGGTGGGATTTTGTGGTTGTCTCCAGATCAAGAGAGCACTGACCAGCAGGAAGACGCCTAAGATGCAGACTATCGCCACACTCCATGGCTCCAAATTGGACAGAGCTGTCATGGCTTGGGTCAGGGTGACACAAAGTCCAACCGCACATGCAACTGCAGCAACGGCAAAGTAAGTTGTCAGTGATTAGGGGAAAAGTTCTTCAAATGAAACAAGTGTCTAAGTGATGTTTTCTGTACACACCAGAGAAAACAGTCAGAAGAGTTGCTGTTTTTGAGGTTGATGAATTTGGAAGGGAAGGAGGCTTCAGGATGTTGAACTTCTTCGATTCAATGACTTTTAAATCGCTTTCTGAGCCTGATGGAGATTCTTGATACCTTAAGCATAAAATAATGTGATATAAGTTGAATTTTACCCCACACTGCAGTGAAAACACTGGTAGAGGATTAGATAAACGTACCTGAGTATCAATATGCAGATGGCCACAAGTGTGTAAGCAAACAGAGTCCCGATGGACATCATTTCCACTAAAGCCTCCAGGTCAAACAGCAGAGCCATAATAGCTGAAGAGGAAAAACAAAGATAAAAGAATTACTTCAAGTCCATAAACCTCACCATATGTGCAAAAAACATCAGGAAAAAAAAAATCCAGAGATTCTCTACCTGCAACAATTCCAGATGAAATGGTAGCTATGGCAGGACTGCCTTTGGCGGTGACTTTGCACAGGGGTTTGAAAAGCAGACCATCTCTTGCCATGGCGAACAGCACACGGGGCATTGGGAACATCGAACCCAGAAGGCTGATGGGACAAATGGGAACAGACTTACAGTCGACTGTAAGCAGTATGAGACATGGACAACCATTGATTTCTAAAGTGGGTTTATCCAACCCTTCTGTGGTGGTCATCATACTGAAAATGCTGCTCAAATATCAAACTTCTTTTTAAAGCAGTAAGAGGTGAAGCTAAGTCCTCCACCTCACCAAGCCTTCGCCTCATCCACGGCACCCCTGACTATCCTAAATTATCTAAAACTCTTGATTTAATGTGATCAAAACTGATGAATGATGAATAATTAAGCTCCTTTAACAAATATTTCTGCTATAAAAACAGGCATTTTCTTAAATGGTCCAAGGTTGCCAAGTGGACACTTTTTCGCACTTCCACTTTGGCTTATTTTTACAACACAGAAGAAATTTGCTCGATCTAGACATAGTTCAAGCCTTAAGGAAAACTTTTGGTGAATTAACTTTTGATCTCATGATGTTATTACTCTTCATTCAGAGTAGATCATGGATAGTATCATACACTTCTGTCAAATTCTCAAATCTCAAACTTTTGTTAGAGCTAAAGATAAACTCAGTTCATCAAAAAGTTTTATTGGGATTGATCCTCAGTGTTGTTTCATACCTGGTAGATAAGGCACACAGTGATCCCACAGCCACAACATATCTGGCAGGACCCCAGCCAACGTAGTTAAAAGCCACAGGCAGGGGGCTTTTTTCGTCGAGCAAATAGTAAGGCATCATCAGTGTGAGAGCAGCAGACACAGCAAAGTACGCCAAGAAACAGATGAGAAGAGAGGCGACAATGCCGATAGGTATAGACTTCTGAGGGTTCTTCACCTCCTCACCTATGACAAAGAGAGAGAAGATTTAAACATTATCTTTGCTTCAGTATTCTGGTAAATAAAATTTGCAAAACCATGGTGTTGATTTTTTTTCCAGATTCACTAAAAGATTTCAGGAGCTTTAGCCCATCTCATGGTACAGATCATCTGTAACAGGAAACCAATGCCATTCTGACGTCATATGATGACCATCTCTGTGACAACAAAGACAAATGCACTGATGGTTGAGCGCTAAAAGATGCAGGTAAGAGCCAAGGTAGCTTTGAGGTACATGGCAAAATTTCCCTTTTATCATCTTATTTTATTTCTATTCAGAAAAGGCAGTATGATCAAGAGAAACGTTTTATGTCCATATGAAAAAAGAGGCAATCAAAGCCAGTCAGTCTTTAAATAATCTGTCCCCCAAGGTGAAGACATCTTTCTACACTTACAAACATTTAGAGTAATCTATTCACATACATACTGCACAGTATGTCTATGTTCAACATATCCACACATACAAAAATGCAAAAACAAGTGTACTGTATACTTTTATTTCAACTCTCAACCTTTGAAACAAAGACTTCTTACATATACCTAACCTAAAAATCATTATGGAACTAAACTGAACCTCTTTGTGTAATTTTTCTTTTCACCCATTTACTGAGTAACTGACCGAATTTTGCATTTTAGTGGTGAAAAGAAAAATATGCAATCCTTGCAGCTAGCATTGTCAGAGTTAATGCTTTAATTACAAGGCAATAAAGACTAAAGTTTTTTTTTTCTCATCCAGCTTTTTTGTCCTTGTTGTCACACTGTGAAGTTTTATAACTGTGGCATTGTCTTCCCACATCAACCATGATGGCAAATGTCACTACTTTTAAATGTCATTTAAAAATCTTCCAAGCTGCTCAGTCTGTTATCAATCTGCAGTGCCGTCCTCCATGTTTTGTTATGTGTATCAAATATTTCATTAATTTTGATAAAGTATCACCCATTGTCATTACTCTGGTTTTGATAATATTCCTCTATAATAGGTCCTCTGACCTGTAGTAGCAATGCAGTCAAATCCAACAAATGCGTAGAAACATGTTGCAGCTCCAGCCAATGTTCCATCAAAGCCGAATGGAAAGAATCCACCATCTCCAATTGCAGCCGTGTAATTTAAAGTGGCGTTTGAGTTACTGTTAGGAGGAGAGAGAGCAGTACTTTTGAGACTACCTATAAACATCAAGCACACATTTCACTTGACTTTCAGCCTCTGCACACAGATAGTGTTTTTTAACTGTATAACATTACCTGATCTGCCAGTTGGAAATGTCCCCCTTGATAAATCCAGAGATGGTGACAAACAGAAGCACCAGGATGTTGATTGCTGTGAAGATCTTGTTGATTGTCGTTGACTCTTTCACTCCAAAAGCCAGAACACCTTCACAGGCAGCAGTTTTGATGTTAATGTTTTTGTATGTGTCACTCTCACCACCAAAATAACACCTGTTTCATAATTTTACCTGACAGGAGAATGACCAGAACAGCAGCAAAGACATCTGGGTAAGGGGCCAAGCCCGTGAGGTCCATAGGCGCATTTTCCGCAAAGAATTTGGATATGACGCCCCCTATGAGTTCATCAAAAGTCCCGCTCCATGCCAGGGCAACACTGGATGTCCCTGAGGAGATAGTTAGAGATAGATGCAATAACCTTATCAGCCTGAGTCACCACTTTATTGTAGCCATAAACAGAAAATACTGGCATTATTTCCATCTCTGCGACTATCATACTTTATGATTCTATCGAGTCGAACCCCCACCCTTGGTTTATGGGATTTTATGGGTTGTCAACATGCAGAAAAAAGCAGTTTTAGAGACAAAAACCTCCCACTAATCTCTCAAGCTTAATCTTCCCACTGTTAAATGAGTCATTAAGAATCTGCCTCAGGAGCAGCTAAAGGTCACTAAAAGCTCATGTAGATAGTAGATCATTTATGGGTTTTAGTGTTTTGGGTGAGGAAACATGTTACATAAGAGTTAGTGGGTACATTTTCATGCACTCATAAAGGAGCACAATTTCAGGGTTATTTTTTTGACTAAATTATTAAAGGAGAATTGTTATCCTCTGTAAAAAATGGTAATTGCATACAAAACAAATCCTGTATATAAATGTAACTTACCAATAACATATGAGAGTAGCAGATTCCACCCGGTAACGAAAGCCAGCAGCTCTCCCACAGTCACATAGCTGTACAGGTAAGCCGAGCCGGTTTTAGGAACCCGGGACCCAAACTCTGCATAGCACAATCCGGCGAATATGGACGCCAGGGCAGCTATGAAGAAAGAAATGATGATGCTGGGTCCAGCTGTGTCTCTTGCCACCTCTCCAGACAGGACGTAGACCCCGGCCCCCAGAGTGCTCCCCACACCAAGGGCCACCAGGTCCAGAGTAGTCAGGCATCGATTAAATGTGGACTGCTCCCCCTCAGGCTCCAGGGGCTTCCTCCGAGAAATGCTCACCAGAAAGTACTCCACGTAATTTGACATGCTGCTGCAGGGATAATGTGGAAAGACACAGGTGGGAGTTCAGGTTGATGTTATTAAGAAAGAAGGAGCGGAAGGGTGAGGAGAGGAGAGAGGGAGAGGGGGCGGATCAGTGAATGATTGTCAGATCAGTCCCAGGAGAAAATTTTCTCATTAAGGAACCACAAATAGATAATTTACAGCAAAATTTGGCAGAAGGAAGTATTTTAAAAAGATAACTGGTTCAATCAAGTTAACAGATAATCAAAATGAATTGGACATATCTGTGTTTTCAAAGCTAAAAAGTGTTTAATGTAACCTAATGTAACTTAAAGATGAAGTAAAACAGAAATCACTCACCTCTGTCTGAAATCTCCAGTGCCACAGGTGTGCTAAGAGGACATCAATAAGATGTGTTATTGACAAACATCCCTTTCTTACATACGCTTTGTTATCATCTATCTGATATGAGAGTGCTGAAGTCTGGAGTTTTCACTGCTGCTCACAGTACAGGAAGAACCATCAAACTGCACTTTACTCAGCCCTCGCTGGCGTACACACTCACTTCCTTGAGCATGCTTGAGGTGTGCCGCAGATTCTTACGTAATTTTTCACTTTGTTGCAATAAAGTGAAATGTTGTTTAAACCGCAAAATATTTTCTTACCTTGTCAAAGCGGTGTCATGTCAGAGACAATCCCTCTCTGCTAACGTCTTCAGGGCTGTTCTGAAATTCTGAAATCAGAAAGTTAAAAAGTTGAAATTTAAAGCTTCCTGGGAAATGAAGTCAGTTCACAAATGATTTTTGATGCTGCACATGTTGTTATCTATCAATAAGTGATGTGAATTACAACCTTAAATTACAACACCTGACACATCAAGGGTAAAATCAATAAAAAGATTGCCCAACCTCACAGGAAATCACACAGAATCAGTCTGAAATCACTTCACTTTTCTCTCTTAGTATGTGTGAGTGTGCATGCATGAAACAGTTACTAAAGGCAAACTATGCCTGAAATATCAAGTGCCACTGGGAGTATGACAAAGTATCACCTTGAGCCCCATAAATGTTTTGATAAATTCAGGTCCCTTTCAGAAATAAGCTCCTAGAGTTATGCTAACTTTTCCCCCTCATATGGCTCCCTTGATTGCAAGTTAGAGCTTATGCTTTACACAAACACGTCTTTAAGATAATCCAAGACGTACAGCTCCTGAAAGGAACTTTTGGTTTCTGTCAACTTTGCTGTTCCCTTTGGATAAAATGGTCTTGTCTTAGCTTGATGTTTGTTCTTTAAGTACTGTCTTCTGACAACAAAATCTTATTCTGCTGACTTTAGACAGAAAATGATTCTTTGAATGTGAATGTTTAATGAAAGCGTCGCTTCAGCACAATAAACATTAAACATGTTTGTTGTTTTAATACTTTTAAACCACTCAGTGTGATCTATTAGTTTTGTAACATGCACAAGTTCCTCTTAAACTGTTATAGTTTTTCCTGTTCCCACACTGACAGTCCTCGACCTGGCCGTGTGGGCCTGCAGAACCTGTGGCCCCGTGAGTTAATGAAACACAGGAGGACAAAGGACCTTTCATGGCTCCTGCATGCAGCAGGCTGGACCCCTGACTCCTTTTTAAGAAGTAGCTTTCTAATTCATATCACCAATCAGAGGACTTCAATACTTTTAATCCCATCTGGCATGTACAGTAGCAGACAGGAGGGGAGTGTATGTGAATACTTCTCAGCACCTTTGACCATACTTGAAGCTCAGTCTTACTATCTTAAGATATCTTACTGATAGTGTTCCAGAGGGATTATGGTTATCCAAACACCAGCTACTTCACACATGTTGACCAGGTTTATGATCATGTTGTCTTTCCTAATCGGAGTGAAACTCACGTTTGTTGCTCAGGTGTTATTCATGGCTTTCTGCTGTGCATGTAAAAACATATTTTAAATGTTCTGTCCAGTGTAAAAATACACAGATGCGGAATGAAAGCAGAGGTCAGTTATTTCAATATGACCCAGTGGACATTCTTTAACAAATACACAAGTTTATTTACCTTGTCTTCAGTCCCTCATGGAGTGACAGGTGTCTGTGTGCTGAAAACAACAGGGTGATGCAAAAATATCCGTGCTGTTGACTCTGATGAAGGAAACATGACTTGGACTGCGATATATACAAGCTTGGCCTGTGTGACCCTCCCACTCAATGGAATTACTCACAAAGTAGCCTTTCTCACTGCACACCAGTTTGGATCATAATGTGCTCATTATTGTAACGAAGGCAAAGGGTGAGAACTGAGAGCTGCAAATCCCATTCAGAATGTCAAAAATGCTTTTGTGCTCTCTAAAGTTTGTTATTTTGTTTTCATGGTTTTTCACTCATTTAAAGTCATGAAATCATAAAATGAGTTTATAGCCTATTTTTCAGGGCTGGAACTGAACTGGTTAACAGTCAAGAAAAGACGTCATAAATGTGTCATGAATATAAGCAAATAAATATAATTTCCTGGTCAAGATTTTGAAAGAAAAAGAAATCTTTGGGAAAAAAATCTTAATGGATCAAAACATTTGATTCAAACATGAAAAACAACAGACAGAGATGCTTTCAGTTTTAACACATTTTGGGTTTATTACTTTAACCCTTACTTTTTGCTTTGTGAATACTTCTCAGTTCATGGATCAGGGTCAAGTTGTTGTGAGCAGTGTGCAATGCACTTTGGAAACAGAAGAGGTCAGCACACAACAATGAGGATCACATTTTTGTTGAAGCGCCTCTGCCCTCAATCTGTGTTCACCTCGTATGGCCCCTCTTGATAACAAAGCTCCTTCATGCAAAGACATAAATATAGAGCTCTGTTCGGGACATGAATAAAAATGGACACGTGTTTTTACGGTAAGCAGTGGTCATATGGTGTGTGTGTGTGTGTGTGTGTGTGTGTGTGTGTGTGTGTGTGTGTGTGCTCATAGTTAGACTACACACTTCTTCAGTCATGCTTCTGCTATGTTTGGCTCTGGGCTGACTGTAAACTCCGAGCTTCCTTGAAGTCATCTTTCTTCTCCCACACCCCCATCTGTTTTTCATGTGCAGGCTCATCAGACTCTCTGCTTAAACTCATGTGGAGGCTTTATAAAATATGTTTGAATATGTATGAAATAAAGTGTTATAATAAAAAAAGTTTGTGTAGGGGAGACCGGGGCTTGTTGTCACATGGGTAAGTTGTCACACCGCAATTATCTTTGCCACCAGAGGGCGCAACTGAAAAGTGGAATACTAGTTTTCTTTCTTTACATGGTGAGGGGTTGTGTCCTGTCTGAGAAGAGAAGAGCACATTGTTAGCTGAGATGAACGCCAATTAACCATTTTGCACAACCCAAAGTAAAAAAAACAGACTTTATATATTTTAAAATAAGCTTCTTCCAGCTAAAAATCCTAGCTATGATACATGTGGACTTGTTAGAGGACAGATTAAGGCATCCTGTCATACCTCAGTCATTGTTGTGTTTTAAGCTAACTTTAAGCTAGAGCTCGAATTCGCAAACATGGTAGTTTGGGGCAACATGTCTCAGTCATTTTGGGGTTAGTTGTGACATGTTTAAAAGGAATAAAAATTAAAAGAGAGAGTCTGCTTATCAGCAGTTGTTACAATGAAATTTTGACTTTATTTTTTACAGATGAAAGAGGAGTTTAAAGGAGAGGAGAAAGTGAGGAGACATTGTCAGGATTTACAAAAGAAAAACTGAACATGGCAGTGCAGTGCCTGACATAATATTTTATGTTAGCGTTTGTTCAATGGCTATGTTCAATGACTTTTTCTGGCTTATTGATAAACATTTTCTGTGCCTGATTTTGATGTTCACTTTCATGTAAAAAATGAGAGCAACAATAATTTTGCTGCAACATCCACTGTGACATTTTACCCCATGTAGTGAAACAACTTACCCGATGGTGGGGCAACATGTCCCATGTTCACACTCTCTATTTGATTGTTTATAACTCTGCACTGACACAAGATATGAAAATGACATGAATACGAAATATATACCTGAGACTTTGGTCTTTCATCTGGTACATATTTTGTTTGTATATGATGTATTGATTCCAAGAATTATATAAGAATATAAAAAGTGTGACAACAAGCCCCGGTCTCCCCTACCCAATTCACAAGGTTATTTATGTTGGGAACAGAGTTATTAGCTGTTGGGTTGTAATTTCTATACAGTTTTGTTGGTTTATTGTGGACCACCCAACATATTCTATATACAGTCTATGGGCAAGACAATTCACCCACCTTGGTCCCAGTGTGTGTCCTCCACTGGTGTATGATTGTGAGTGTTGTGTGGTGGTGGTCAGAGAGGCCGTAGGTGCAAACTGTTCCCAAGGCAGCTGTGACTACTAAGGCAGTTTACCACCTCTAAGGTGTGACTATGTGAGCAAATGAATGATGTATCCAGTGTAAAGCGCTTTGAGGGTCTCTGATAAAGCACTATATGATGTCTTATGCATTAATGTAATCTAATATTATATTAAATATTAACAACCCAAGTGCTGGGTTTAAAGAACCCAGTTGTTGGGTTACAGTGGTTCTCAAGTCCAGTCCTCTAGGCCCACTGTCCTGCATGTTTTGGAGGTTTCCCTGCTCCAACACACCTGATTCAAATGATCAGCTCGTTATCAAGCTCTGTAATGGTTTAATAACGAGCTGATCATTTGAATCAGGTGTGTTTGAGCAGGGAAACATCCAAAACATGCAGGACGGTGGGCCTCCAGGTCTGGACTTGAGAACCACTGGGTTAAGAGAACCAGCCTAATAAATTGGGTAAAATTAACCCAGCATGTGTTCTGTCCAATATTTAACCAGCACTGGGTTGGGAAACTACCCAAATTGGGTTGTTGTTTTAAGAGTGTGAGTAACAGCCCCTATTTAATTGTTTATATATGTTTCCCCTCTGTAGTCCACAATAGGAGCTACTCCCCTCTAGTGAACTCCGTTGCTTCATCTCCCCTCTCCCCCTCTTACTGGAAGAGAACTGACAGGACAGAAATAGAGTAAGCAAGCTCCCACATAGGCCTATCTTAGTCTCTGTCATGTCAAACCTTCCGGAAACCCCGACAAACAACAATTTAGTTTTTCTAATTGGCGTTTCTAATAAATTAAACAGAAGGTAAAAGGAGCACCTTTGCTGTACCTTTAGGTTTTACTCGGCACTACATGTTTCCTGGTTGTACTTTGTCGTTGTCTCTTTACTGTAAGTCATTGCTCTGCTATATTCAGGGTCTCTCCTACACACAGCACCACACAAGTAGCTGCTGGGAGCACCGCAGTCGTTGCGTCACACAGTACACGTAACGGGACGGCCTGAGTCTGACCGGAGAAGACACGCGCACAGAGATCGACACTCGTCACGGACCGGGAGAGCGGGGACAGGAGAGCAGAGACAGCAGGACCGGATTATTCACACCGGACTCCACAGACCCCCTGCAGAGAGAAGGTAAACCAATATGGGTGGTTTTGAGACGCGTGAACCGGAGAGAAACTGCCTCTGGAGAAGTTTGCTGATGCGTCATGATAAAATATGCCGGTGACTTGCATTAGTAAGCAGGAAAGCACTGAGAGACAGCTGTAATTACATTTAGTGGAGTAGAAACTGCACTATTTAAAGCGACAATCTCTTTCTCTGCTACAGAGAATTATAACGAAAGGCAACCATACAATATAGTAAGATATAAAGCCTTAGAAGTTAAGATAGTGAGGTGGGGTGTACAGGAGGGTGTGGCTCATACATATATATGTATATAGAGAGGCCTAGTCCCCCCAGACCTTGATTCTGACATTAGGTGAAACAGTGCATGCTATTTTGGGAAAGCTTTCACTCAGGTCTTAAATAAACAGTACAGCATTTGGCTGGAGTTTTCTGTCTTTGTTTCTTTGGATTATCTGAATGAATAAAGCTAACATGATTGATTTTAGTTTTGTTTGTTATGTAAAATGATAAAGTTGTGTAGTGCTGGAATAGTCAATTCACAAAGGTTGATTGTTTTTCTGAGTGGACTTCAGTGGGCTTTTGGTCTAAATGGTTGCATTATGAGTTAGTGGGGGCAGCATGGAAAATGTGACAAGACAGTTTTTCCTGCAAATTGGCTTAACACAATCTGTCTGGCTGCCTAACCTAATTTGAATGTTAAATCTAATAGCATGATTTCTCTGTGGTCTCTCTTGTACTGCTTTGCAGTATTACTGTAGCTGATGAGCTGTCATACTGTAAGCTGAACAGGCTTCTGCTCTAGATTTACTCAGGCAAATGAGGAATCATCATTTTTGTACTGTCTCTTTGTAACTCTATGACTCCTGACAAGTCAGGCAGCTTTAACAGTGCTGTTTTCCAACCCTTCATCAGCATTTTTTTCTTCTCTCCAGGCCTGGTACTATTGATTCCTGCACAGTGTTGACACAGAAGACCAAATATAGAAATGGTAAGTGGACCCTTTTCATCCTGCATTATGTAAGTGCTGTGAGATGTGGATTGTATCATACTGCTTGGTGTCTTTGTGAAGAGGAGGGTTCTGTGTACCACACTGCACCATGAGGTGTGGACAGAGTGAGGTCATTTTTCGGCCCTGTCACCATGTGAGCCCTCGGCATCATAAAGGCAGGCGTGTAGGGTGTCATCGCTACCTGTGGTGCCTGCACATCTGAAATACGCACCTGACAGCATTTGTCTTGAAACAATGGCTTGTGGCACTCGTCCAACTTTACAGTCCTGCTCTTAAGTTGGCGTTTCATTGTCTTACCCGAGGTAGAAAACAAACTTACTGTCCTGTGGTACTGAGAACTGAAAAAACATACAACACCATGGAAGAAAGAAATCCGGCTAATACCATCATTTGGACATGAGAAACACAGTTACTTTCATTGTTGGCATGTTGCTAGGGGCTTGTATTTGTGGAACTGTTGCTATGTGGGTGAAGCTGTCCAGCTGTTGTGAAGAGAGACGGTCCCTGTGAGAAGCAGAATGATCTGAGCATGTGCAGTGGCCCCCAGTAGGGTGGAGAGAGCACTTGGCTGACTGCCTGCATGCAGTAGTAATCTTACAGGAGCAGCAGCTGCAGCAGTGCAGGCCAAGCTTTCACAATTTCACATAAAACACAGGTGCCTCTTTAAGTAGTTAGGTTCATTTTTATAAAGATGTCCAAATTCAGTGCCTTTTACGGTCTTTATATGCCCACTTGAGTTTGAGGGTCTTCTCTGCAGTATGAGTATCCCCAGGAGAGAGTGCTGCTTGGTGTGCAACCCGACCTCCCGCTGCTCATACACACCCACTGTCCCGCCCCTGCATGCATGCACTGAATGTGCACACACACACAGAGCGGGATTTTGTGTGAGCTGCTGGGCAGTAAGACAGGTGCAGACAGTCAGCTGCTGTATAATCCCAGACTTGGCTACCCCTCCTCTCCCTGTGTTCCCGTCAATGCCACTTTTACACAGTCTGCTGCTCACATCCTGAAAAGGAGCGCAGGTCAAGTCGGTCCACCGGTAGAAAACCCAAATGTCATGTGAGTTCAGACCTCCTGACTCCATTTTTAAAAGCCTTACATCTAAACTCTTTATCAACTTTATAAGCTGATTGTGTTTGGAGGTTTGGCACAGGTTTTGGTCTGAATGCTAAAGCAGAAAACACCGAACACAGTCAGGTGTTCAAAAGAGAAAAACTAGCTGTTCTAACAACTCCATGACTCTGACTCAAGAAAGAGTAATGTGATGTGCCTCATGCCAATGTCAGTCTCATACTGACTGTTACATAATGTCATACTTTTGTTGAAATGATTCAGTATCACCAAGGGCTGGTGGTCTTATATCTATTGAACCCTTGCCTGTACCCTTGAATGCTAAATATTTTAAGACAGTCCACCTAACAAATGTTCAAACACTGCTTTCTTGAGATTCATGCTGCAACCAGTAGCACAAGGAGACAATAGTAACATTGCACCAAAAATTATCCCCTTTTTTAAATTGACCATTTAATTGGAATTTTTCACGACTATTTATGTTGCTAGGAGTTTGAGACTTACCTGAGAAGTGGCTATTTGCATGCAGATGGCCACTGTTAACACTTCCATGACAAACACTCACAGTAAGGACTCATTTCTCCCCCCAAAAAATTCCCAGATGTTATTGGATGTTATATTTTAAATACACCTGAGCTTTGGTGGTATCTACAGAGACCCGACCAGTGAGAAAATGTATTTTTAAGCTTCAAACATACTGTATTTTATTCTTGAATAGCCACCATTACAGAAGTTTCCCCTCTGACACTCAGTTTCGCTATGTTTCTGTCAGGTGTTCAGAGGCACAATAGCAGATGCTCCGGACTTTGATCCTGCAGCTGATGCCGAGGCCCTTTACAATGCTATGAAAGGAATTGGTGGGTATCTCAGGGTCATGCTTCATTGACTGAATGATCACAATTTAACACAGCAGTTTTAACATTGATGCAGCAAGTGATCAGACTGAGATGAGAGTAGTTAAAAATGTTGTTCTTGTGTTCCTCAGGCAGTGATAAAGAGGCCATATTGGATCTGGTCACCGCAAGGAGCAATGCACAGAGACAGGAAGTCATCGCAGCATACAAATGCAGCTTTGGAAAGGTGCGTATTTTGGATTGCTAAAACATGTTGAATAGTAGCTATAGCAGCATTTTGATTTTGCTTCTCCATCAGGACCTGATTGAGGATCTGAAGTATGAGCTGACAGGCAAATTTGAGCGTCTCATCGTCAGCCTGATGAGGACACCGGCCTACCATGATGCCAAAGAAATCCATGATGCTGTCAAAGTAAGACTGTAACCTCACAGTAAGATGTCCAATCACACTTAAGCCATATCCAATTGTTGTTTCTCATTTAATATTACACTCTATTTTAAGGGAGCTGGAACAAACGAGAGATGCCTTATTGAGGTCATGGCATCCAGAACCAACAAACAGACTCATGATATGGTTGCAGCTTACAAGGACGGTAAGGCTAGAGAAGATTTCAGAGTAACAAATTATTTCCTCAGAATTTCTCAACATTTCCTGGTGTGTCTCTTCAGCTTATGGCAGAGACATTGAAGAGGATGTGATAGCCGACACGTCAGGTCATTTTAAGAAGATGCTGATTGTTTTACTTCAGGTAATTTTAGCCAAGAGAAGATAATCACCCCTGTTCTTTATTGAGATTTTTTTATCTGGTAATTGATGAGTGTGTCATTGTTGTTTGATGCTTTCAGGGGACCAGAGATGAGTCAGGGGTCGTAGATGCAGACCTAGTGGAGCAGGATGCACAAGTAAGAAACAACCTCCAACAGATTAGGCTTTTTTTCCCAAGACAGTTTGATTCTTTCTATGGTCATGCTAGTGTAGTAGAATCTTTTCATACATTTAAGTTAAGAAATATAGAGTAATTATCTTTAGTAAGGAGTTACAAATAATCTCGGTTGACCTGCTCATGCAGCCTCATGACCCTGAGGCTGTCTTGGACCAAAGCTATCTGTCTGTTGGAACATATAATCTCTGTGAGAGTTAAGACTAGTCTAAACAAACTGTTGAGAGTCAGAACAGTACAACATGTTATTGGTAGCCTTCATCCTGTCTCCTGTGCATTGTTTTACTAAGTTTACGCTGGATTTTCCTCAACACTAGCAGCTTCATTACAGCACTTTCATTGTGTGCTGTGGTGTTGGGAGTCCCATGTCATATCTCACAATCATAATACTGTCTCCTCATTATGTTATTCAGTTTTTAACATTACATTACCTCTGCGTAGGACCTGTATGCAGCAGGGGAGGAGCAGTGGGGGACGGACGAGGCCAAATTCATCATGATCCTGGGAAACCGCAGTGTGACCCACCTTCGCATGGGTGAGAACCACACTCAGAGAAATTAACACACCAGTGAGGCATCCGCACATTCCCACAGTGACCTTACATCTCTCAAGAGTTCATCTAATGCGAAGAATGATGTAAGAGTGTAAAGGGTGTGAGTTATCACTAGGTTGTATTCACAAACACCTCTTTACTACTTCAAACAGCTTAAGGCCTGTAGAACAGCAATATGACTTTGTGTATCACCAAGATGGGGTCAGTACTGAACAAAAAAGCTGGATGACCAAATTACTTTAGGTAATACAGAAGAGAAAAACTGCTCAGCACAGTTTCAGGAACATTAAAGGCACAATATAATAAGTTAGCAACAATAATTACAAAACAAGTAAAACCAAAAACAGCAGCAAACATTTGCAAACAAGCTTGAAACATAGATTCCAGCTCATTCTGGGGGGGAATATTAAGTATGTATAGCAGGCATTTTTTTGTCATAAACTCTTAAGAATGGAGCCTGATAACAGCCAGAGAAACACCAACTTTGTCTGAATCTTTCATGGAAGAAAATTACTTTAATATATTCATAACTGATCTTAGATTTTGAGCAAAGCACAAACATACATCGTAAGTAACCTCAATGAGTGAGAGGTACTTCCATTAATTGACTGCTGTCATCTGTTTGTGTAGTTTTCGATGCATATGAGAAGATTGCAGAGTGCTCCATAGAGGACAGCATAAAGCATGAGTTATCTGGAGACTTTGAGAGGCTCATGCTGGCTGTTGGTAAGAAACTCACGAAGTGGAGTTTATTTTTGGACACATAGTCATGCTGTGAATTTAACTCAACCTTCTCCCCCGGGGTTTTCCTCACAGTCCAGTGCATTAGGAGTGTTCCCATGTTCTTTGCCAAGCGCCTATACAAATCAATGAAGGTAAACACACAGCACCTTGAGAGAAAAAAAACAGTCATTATTTGCCTTAGCTCCCTGACCTTCACCATGAGGCTCTCTGTCACATCAGGGTCTGGGTACAGCTGACAACACTCTCATCAGGATCATGATCGGTCGCTCTGAAATCGACATGTTGGACATCCGAGAGTGCTTCCGTTTGGGTTATGAGAAGTCACTCTATAACATGATTAAGGTTGGTTACATTCAAATAAGATTTTATCATGTTTTGGGGAATAGTTCAAACCTTTATACTTATTCTCTTTATTTTCAAAACTTGCAGGATGACACATCAGGGGATTATAAAAGGACTCTGCTGAATCTGTGTGGAGGAGATGATGAGTAAGTTACTGAGAGGCTGAACGCAACAGCAGCAACCAGAGGAGGGCGACAAAGTCCAGACTTTCAGGAGCCAATGTTTAATGTTAATTGACCTAACATGAGACACATGTTATCATGCAATGCTGAGAACATGTATGATACCAGAACTACTACAATCCTATTGATATCTAGAGATTGTCTGATGGTAGACCAGGAGTTTTTACATGATCCTAGATTTATAATCCAAGGAACGTACCCACTCTATATTGCGTATGGCTACGCTAAGTATGCTGTGTTCTTTCAAACTGATCATTTCAGCTTAGCTGGAGAGTTCTTCCCTGAAGCTGCTCAGATAGCCTACAAGATGTGGGAATTAAGTTCCATGACCAAAGTCCAGGTTTGGGCCCCATCTGCTCTCATTTAGAAGTGATATTGCATGATTGGTCTGGCAGTGGCATGCATCCTCTTTACCTGCTGACTCTGCAATGACTGGCTTCTTGCAGTGCTTTGAAAAAGTACTTGCGACACTGCTTTGTCCGCACAGCGAAGGCTTTGTGTAACTGGATAGGATCAGAATGCTATTCATTAAAATACAAATCGTTTTTGTTAAAGTTTGCTCTATAAACCGCTGTTTCCCACCCTTTGCTGCAGGAGTGAATGTCAAAAACATCTCAGCATTTTGGTCAACAAAGGCTTGTTTCACTAACACTCTCTAAAACTGAATTGTTTCACAGCCAGCCCACCTCTGTATTGTTGGTGGTGTCATGGCCTCTAACCTTGAAAGGGCACACTCCCCTTCAAATGTCAAGCGATTGATATCAAATATCTCTGTAGACTTTTGACATGAATGGGACAATCTGCTGTTTCCTCTTTTTGCATATATTATAGAGCATGTTCAATTTTTACCTATAATCTATTTAATTAAACATAGATTTAATCAAGCAGAAGTGACTTTGCTTCGCCATATTATGTGTTTGTGTGTTTTAAATACTAAATCTCACATTTCCAGTGGTGTCTTTTCGCTTCTCTAGCTAAGACCAACAATCCGCCCTGCGTCCAGTTTCGACCCTGCTGCTGATGCACAAGCACTAAGAAAAGCTATGAAGGGATTTGGTATGTGGCCCTTAAAAGCTTACAGTCATTTATGTTGCTTAAATAAATGGTTATTTTGCAAATATTTTCTCCTCTTAATACCTACAGGGACAGATGAAGATGCAATCATCGACATTATTGCGCAGAGAAGCAATGCTCAGAGGCAAGAGATCAGACAGACCTTCAAATCCCTCCTTGGGAGGGTGAGTGGAGTGAATCATTGAATTTAAAGCCATAATACTTTTCTTTGGAGCACAGGGACATTTATCACTTATCTTCTATTTGCTTCTAACTGCTGTCTTTAGCAGGTTTATAACAGCTCTGTGTGTTTAATCTGCCCTCAGGATCTGATGAAAGACCTGAAGTCTGAACTTTCAAAAAATCTGGAGAGGCTGATCATTGGCCTCATGCTGACTCCTGCAGAGTTTGATGCCAAAATGATGCGGAAGGCAATGGAGGTAAAATCACTTCTTAAACCATCACCTCTACAAGTGTCAGCTCGCTGGGTTCATTTCTCACAAGTTGAAAATACAGAGAGAAGAAAGATTATAGATTAAATCTGCTTTGTTTATTTTATTCTAAATCTACTTTTGTTTACACCCCAGTTACTACTGCAGGATACGTTACCATACAATACACCACAATGGGGTAGGATATGATACGATACAAAAACAATATGGAAAGATACATTATGATGATTATCAATGGATAAAATACAATAGGATGACAATACAATGCAATAACAATTCGATAAAAGAGGATGTGATACCATACAGTACAATACAGAAGACAATACGGCACAGTGCGATTGATTAAATTATATGATTTGTTGCTATACAGTACAATTCATTATGATACAATGCAACACAATACAAAAGGACACTACCATAGACTGTATAAAGAATGGATGGCGTCTGCCTCCTCGCTGGGTGAAGCCACCCCGAGAACAGCACCCTCTGTTGACGGGCTGCAAAGGTTGTGAATCTTGCCTCCTCCAGCAATCCCTATGGAGCTGTGAACAAACTTTAGAAATTTATTACACAGAATATACATTATTTTTTCCCCTCCTGCTTACGATGTTGACATGTAGTTTCTGTAAGACTGGTTTGTGCTCAAGTCCTCTTTTCTTCTGTACAGCTCCATTTTTAAAAGTTATTAGGGGGTTCATGTTTTCTATGATTGACACTTGATACAGCCTATGGGCGTACAAAGATTGCGTAGCTCACCTGGGGGATACGCTATTTGAGCCGAGAGTCATCACAATGCTACTGCACAATGTTGTGTTTCAGGAAGTGGAGAAAAAAGGCGGATATACATAGAGCTTTTTGGCTTGAAATCTGTATACTGACGGAAGGTGGAACCAAGTTGTCCATAGTCTATACAGTCTATGACCACAGCCCTGTGTGGTTGATTGAATGATATGATTTGTTGCTACACAATACAATCCATTAATATGCAATGCAACACAATACAAAAGGACACAATACAATGTGATATGATACAAAATAATATGGTATGATACGATATGATTCAGTGGTATATGACATTGTCTAGGTGCAATAGAGTGTGGTACAATACAACATGATACAGTGTTACGGTATTTTATGGGGCAAATCTTTAGATCTACCAGTCGAGCTACATTTCAACCCTCACCTGGGGCCACCAGTTATGGGTAGTGACAGAAAGAATGGAGATAATAAGACTGTGGATACAAGCAGCTGAAATGATTTTAGTGGCCAAACTCAGAGATAGGGTTAGGAGTTTGGTCAACCTGAGGGACTTTGGAGTACAGCCATTGTGCCTTAGCATTCAAATTGAATCAAGTTAAGGTTGTTTGGGCATATGATAAGCATGCCTCTTGGACGCCTCCCTGTGAAGGTGTTCCTGGTGCTTTCACAGGGAGACATGGCCACAGTTTGCTTAAGAAATAAAATATCCCATCTGGGAATGCCTTGGGATCCCACAGTATAAAATTTATGCTGAGTCAGCTGGGTGTCTGAGTCAGCTGGGTGAGAGTGCTGGCCCTGCGACTCGATGTTAGATAAGTGGAAGGGAATGTTTGGATTGATTGATGAATGGACAAAACAATACACAACTGCATGATACTGTATAGTCATGGGCCAAATGATATAACACAATTTAATTAGTTATGACACAATCAGACACATTATGATACTATATGATACCATTGGGGATGATATGATTTGATGTAGTCCAGTATGATAACCCTAACCCTAAGATATTCTTTACTCTCCTGTCTGTCATAGTCAGAGGGACGCTTGTAAATAAATTAGAGGCACTAGAACTTAATCGATAACTCCTGTTTTATGTTTCTGTTGCTTCATGCCGTGAATGGTCACAAACACTTTTGGGTTAGGTTTGGGTTTCCAGAGTTCTCGTATGAGTCGAGACTGTGAGTCATTCTGTTTGGTGAGGCAGGCATGCTTTTCAATGCTGTGTGTATTAAACTCATCATTTTCTCAGGGTGCTGGGACAGACGAACACTCACTGATCGAAATTCTCGTCACCAGGAGCAATGAGGAAATACAGGCTATGAATGTAGCTTATCAGGATGGTGAGTTGATACAATGTGAGAAGCCTCCAACAACACTTTTTTTTTAACTGTAAAGCTCTGACATACAACTTTGAATTTACCTACACTTTACAGCCTACAAGAAGTCTTTGGAGGAAGCCATTCAGTCAGACACCTCAGGCCACTTCTGCCGCATTCTTGTTTCTCTGGTGCAGGTAAAGTTGATCACCATGAGAACTTACTCTATGTTTGATTTACACACCCACTCACTGCAGTCTGTATGCTGACAGAGTCAAAGATTAAAAAAGGGTCCTCTTAGTCACACACTGTTTCCTCCACAATGTCTCACTTTAACTTTCAAAGAGAAACACAGTTGCCTAACTTCTGAAAGTTTATATTTATGAAAACCTTTCTTTTCCCAGGGTGCAAGGGAGGAGGGCCCTGCTGATCTTGAAAGAGCCAATGCAGATGCTCAGGTGATTAAACTTTCTAATCAATGATTAGATATTGTCCCATGTTAGAATAACAGAGTAAAGTCAAATAGTTTGCTTCTGTTGTTTCTTGTGAATTGATCAGGAACTCGGAGATGCATGCAATGCTGAGTCTGATGACATGGAGATGAAGTTCATGAGTATTTTGTGTACCAGAAGCTTCCCACATCTTAGGAAAGGTAAAACTTGAGACAGCAACTCTACAGTGGTAAACTAATTTTAGATGTTTGTCAAAAAGAAAATGGAGCTCCTGAATCATGCATCACTCTTCATTCAACAGTGTTTCAGGAGTTTGTCAAATGCACCAATAAGGACATTGAACAGATCATCAAGAAGGAAATGTCAGGAGATGTCAAAAATGCTTTTTATGCAATCGGTGAGAACAGGAATATTTTTATATTTCATTTGTGTGAGTCACACCGCTAAAAATGTGTTTTCTCTGGTTACACTTCAGTTCTTTCTTGCTCTCTTTTTGTTTCACAGTTCGCAGTGTGAAGAACCAGCCATCTTATTTTGCAGACCGTTTGTACAAAGCAATGAAGGTATCCAATCACAGCGTTTTTAATACATCAACACTGTTTGAATGATGTAGCAACAGCAGAGCAGGATGTAACAAAGGTCTTGAATTTCACATAAAGATAGTGATAAGGTCATATTTGTTTGCATTCATTGTAGATATAAGTTTTAGTTTTTTTTTTTCTTTGCACTACTCAGAATAAACTAAGTATCTGTTGATCCCTCATGCAGGGTCTTGGTACAGATGACAGAGCCCTGATCCGCATCATGGTATCTCGTAGCGAGAAAGATCTTTTCAACATTCGTAAAGAGTTCAAGGAAACTCATGATGCATCCCTTCATGAATTCATCCAGGTAGAAACTATGCTTGTAAGTCGCAGTCCTCGTCCACTAACACACTGTTTGGGTTGCTGTGTCCTTGTCTAATCTGTGTGTCTCTATGGAGCTTTTTTTGTCTCATGTTGTTTGTCCGTTTCTGCGTGTTGCACATCCTTCTTTTGCTGCTGCTGCACTGGGGGGTGGTGGTGGTGGTGAGGGGGGGTGTATAGCTTCCTGTGGTGGACTACAGGTTTGTGGCTTTAGCACAGCTGTTTAGGAATTTCCCTCACATGCTTAACTTCCTCTCTGTATCTGCTGTGTGCTGTGACAAGAAGTGCTAAAGAGCTGTTCTATAATCACTTACAGATGAAATCACCGTGACACCAATACAAACAAGCTCATAAGCTGGCCTGGATTGGCTTTGCAATCACTTCTGCCATGTTATGTAACAGCTAGGATTGCTATATGTTGTGCATCCTGAGGTTTAATTGTTAAGTTGTATTTTTCTGTAAAGCAAGTGTTTATATTTCAATCGTTTTTAGTAGCAAAATGCAAATATTCAGAATAAAGCTGATCTTTAAGACAAAACTGGTGCAGTAAAAAGATCATTCAGATGAACAATTAAATATTTTTAGAGGTAAGGTGGTTTCCTTTTTGCCAAGAAGATAGGGATGAGGGAATGCATAAATTTAGCAGTTTACTCATCAGTAACTCATAGCCACTAGCTCTGGCCCAGAATATGACACAAATAAATATAGTTGAGCAATCAGTCAGCAATGACAGTAAAATGAGAATAGTTTAAATCTGCTCGTCCAGCTAAGCACAAAAAACTAGTAAGTGTGAGCCTCAAAATGAGGAACTGCTCCTTTAAAAGACAGTATCACAAAGGACTGTGCTGCTGATGATACAGATGGAAATCACTATTTATCAGTGTCAGCTGATAAAGCTACACTGAAGGGTAATTCCACTTTTAACTCTTCATAGATTTAAGTTGTTCAAATCTTGACTTTCATCCATTCAAAGCAAAAAAAAAAAAAATCAAGGTGTTGACCAACTTTTTAGTGTTTTTCTGAAAAGTAGTAAACCCTGCAGTCTTGATTCACATTTTGTGATGAGCAACCATTCAGCAAATAATAAAAACTGAATTTCACACTAATCTGTGCTCCTTCTTCTTCTTCTTCTTCTCTGTGTTTTATGTTATCACTCAGGGTGACACCTCAGGCGACTACCGTAAAACCCTGCTCATACTCTGTGGAGGAGAAGACTAAACTTTCTCACGTCTCTGCAGCTGTTTGCAGACTTCAGCTGAAAAACCCTGAGACGTGCCTGATCGCAGAATTGAACCGCGGTGGTTAACATCAGTATCTAATGTCAGTGTCCTTTAACTGCTGCCACTTCTCAGCCAAACTATGTGACCTTTGACCACCTAACCCTACCTTACCTAGTTATCTGCTTTTATGTTTGATCATCCTGCATGTCAGGATGATTTTTCTTTTTTTTTACAGATTGAAATATGTAACAACAAACATGTTCACATTAGTGTGGAAAGGTGCTTCACGTGTACTGCATACTGTAAAATAAGCAACTCAGCTAGTGCCTTCAGATTTCAGGCCGTCCATTGATAACTGTGATTTTAAGGTGTCAGATACTGTCTACCTGAATAAAATGATTAAAAACACAAACTTCCTGCTTTTACTCTTGTTTCTTATGTTGTTGAATGACAAATTTAGTTCATTATGAGAAGATATCCAGTAAATACTTTTTAAAGTTTGTGTCCTGGGTGGTGTTTTGGTTTGTATTTGGCAGGTTAATGATTTACTGTGTGGATACTGGAAATAGCAGAAAGAGAACTAAGATTTAAAACATCAGGAAATTCCCACTGTAATTCAATGTCTCTTCTGTTTCACAAACTTCAAAAACGCCCTTACGCTATTGTCAGTAAAGGCCAACGTAATACATGTAAATAGAGACAGATATTAGCATAACTATAATTCCAATGTGACATTTAAAATGACAGTTTTGATATTGCACAGCGGTGAAGTGTTGATGCTCATGCTGTAGACCCCAGCTAAATAAGTTTTACTCTTTGTTTTATCATTTTGAAACTGTAAGAGAAAATCTGTCATTTACACCTCACCGTTTTAACACCTTAAACTTCCTTTCTTGTGTCTCAGTCAGACTTGTGAGCACAGAAGAAAAATACAAGACAGCTGCCTCCTTTCTCGTCAGTGTCTTAGTTCATTGGGTATGTGTGAGCGCAGCTGTTGTCAGGCCATCTTTGAGTTAAAAGAGGAAAGGAGAAAAAAAGACGTATGTGGCGAGGAAATCCCCTGCACTATGCCAAAAATCCAAGGCAACAAACAGGCTGCAGCAGCATTAAATCAGTCAGTCACACACTGGTTTTAATGGCACACCCAACCTGACATCGCCTCATTTGATGATAATTATGAGAGATTAAGAGATTATTTTAATAGCACTTGGTTATTATGCAGCTGGTGTCAAAATACACTGTTGTTGAGTTTCCCTTTGTGGCAACAAGGGGAACTTTTCACCAGGCTGTTTTGTCCAGAACATGTTGTGCAGAATAAATTTCATAGATGGAAATTGTGCTCTACATATGTAACAGCTGTGACATCTTTAGAGGGATGAGTGTTGATCCGGTTTTAGGATTTTTAGTCGACATCATTAATGATTGGATTGCAGTTATCATCATGCAGATGATTCTGTACTGCATGGACTTTTAGATGTTTTAATAAATTGATCACATGCCAGTTGTACTGACTGTTTTAATGCTGTTTCATATGCAGTGTGCCATTTTTGAGGCCTTCTTTCTCTTATCACTTTTTATGTGCATCACTGTTTGCAGCGTGACATGAGTTTTGCAATCTACTGTGCGAAATGTTGCAATTTCAATTTTTTTCAATTTTATTTTTATATATGGGGTTCCTCAAAGCCTACCGTTGGACTAACATGCTGGGTTCTGTTGAGGCTGAGTGTGTACAGTGTCAGACCAGGCCTTGTTGCTGAGTTTTGGGAATTCCCCCAGTCTCGATGAAATTGCTTCTCCCCCTGACAAAGTGCTTCTTTGACACAAGCTGAATGTATGGGTGAGTTGGTGTTTATTTGTTTTCACATCTAAGGAGTAGCGACAGACATAAACGGCTTACTATGCATTTTATTTCATATTTTGGAGCAGGTTGTAGAATGTTTCATAATCTTTGGTGCGTTACATGACAGGTTAAGAAATGTAATCATTGTAATTATCTAATTTAAAGGCAAGCAAATAGGCTACACTGTGTAGTATTGGGGGATATTTTGGGCTCATATTACGTTTTCATTTTAAGCTCATGTTAAAAATGGAGTTAATTCCTGTTTATTATGTTGAGTTCAAACCATATAATTATGTTTGATTTTCATTCCATGCTGACAAATCATCATACCAGTGTAAATGATGCTGAACATTTGGTGGTTTTGAGATAAAATGGCACAAAATCAAACACGAAAATCTTGTAGACTTAAAACCTCTGAGCCAGTTTATCATGCTGGTTATTCGAAACTTCTTGAATTTAGAGCAAAAGCTCCCAAGATATCCTGTTACACTTAAACAGTACTGTTTCCAGTCTAACTTTTTTTGCACATAGACTCCCCGTTGTAAGGCCTTGAGAGGACAGCCATAGTCAATAAGTCCACTGACAACAGGATGTTTTGTATTAGGCAGCACAGTTCTAATGACTATCAGCTGCTGAGTCTGCTGCTACAGGGGATGCTAGTGGGTATGTATGATGAATACTCTGTACTTATGTCAAGCTGATGATAAATACTTTCTCTGGCTTGAGAAAAATAATATTAGATATTTTTGAAAGACTAAAAGAGGTAGGTGGAGACAAAGCATTCCATTCATTACCAGGGGGACTGGATGATAGGGACATTATCTGTATTCCGGGGCTTTAGTTTTTGTGCTGCTGGCTCAGAGTCTGTGTCTTATTTTAACACATCAGAGTAGCTTGAGATGGAAACATTGTTCACCTTTTAACAGAGACAAGGTGTTAGACATCAGGACTGAGGACAGAAAAACATCTGTGTACGGACTATGTTTGCTTTTTCCTGTAGTCAGCTTATGACACTCAGGGGAAAACAGTCACACATATTTTACCAGGGTTTTCCAGTGGTCTGTTATTGTCTGCTGTTCTATTTTAATTTAACCCTTGACTATTCAATGATTTCCTGCAGTTTATGTTGTTTTTTCATCATAAAAATGATTTTTAAATGGCCAACTGTTGCTGAAAAATGCAAACAGATTTGAAGAAACGCCTTCTTGTACATGTTTTCCTGCAGATTATTTTATTCTTTTTGTCATATTCTAAATTTTATAGGATCAGGGTGGATTAAATTAAAGAAACAATAACTTTTATCACAATAAAATCTATGTTTTTGTCTCAACCATTTTAAGGAAGCTACCTTGGTGTCTTCGTTTGAGTTGTCTTAACTTTTACGGGAACTCCAATCTACATTTTTCGACCAGGGTGGAATAAATTAAAGAAACAACAGCTTTCATCACAATAAAATTTTTGTTTTTGTCTCAGCCATTTTAAGGAAGCTACCTTGGTGTCTCTGTTTGAGTTGTCTTTACTTTTACGGGACCTCAGTTTATACCCTCACTGTGCACTTTTGATGAGATACAAAAAGTAATGCGATATAAATGTTATACAGGTCATGTTATACAAACAGACAATTAAAAGTCTGACTGTGATGAGTTAAGATGTAGCATAAATCCCATCACTGTGTACCATAAAATGTGAAACAGGTGTTTCCTGTTTGAATACAGCATTCTTCCTAAGAAGACCCCCAAGACTGCAGCTCTTAAATCTCGGGCCAACTTGGAGGACCATTTTTTAAAATGAACATGCTATTCACTCTTTTTACTGTTGGTTCCTTTAAAAATAATTGGAGTTCAAATAAGATTTTTTTTTTTAACTCCAGAGGAACAAAAACTCAAGTTTACCAGCTTGTTGATTTCCACAAGATGTCACTATTTCTCATTGTCACCCTGTCAGGGTGGGCTGCAGTAAAGTTTGGAAAATTTGGAAAAACATACAGTTTATGTATTTGACAGGTACATAAAAGACACTGAATCATATAAGATAAGATAACACATCATGAGATATGTATAAATGTTTATTTTAAAGTATGCAAAGCCCAGATATCAATTTGAAAAATTTAAGTCAAACAAGAAAGCATTTCATAATCTTGTAAAATGTCTATTTTTTTTTAGCATGTAAAGCCTCAAATATCACTTGTACCATCTCCTCACATAGTAATGGCAACATAAAGTGTTTTCCTGTGTCTGAAATATAAACTGGTACTGTGACCCTCTATAGTGAGTAAAAAGGAAGCAGTTAGCCAATATGAAGTTAGTTCAGGGTTTTTCAAGGGTTTCTGTTCAAATTTTTTATTGATTTATTTATTTCCAAAAATGAAGCTTGTAATTAGTACTTAACATACTCACTTTGACATTTCCATTAGCACTGATACATTTATTATTTGCTGATGGTGTCATGATTAAAGGAAGACTCGGTGTCACCTTAACTAGGCCCTTACAGCCCTCTCAGTTCAGAGGAAATACATGATGCAATCACAGAAACCCCCAGCAGCCCCTGACAAAAGTCATCAATGAAGGAAAAAGTCATTCATTGAAAATGTTGGGGTTTGTCCCTGGGTTGTTGGTAGAAGGTTTTAAGCGAACGAATGAGGTGTCTAGATGTCTTAATTTAACACATTTTGTTGTAAAAAAAGAAACAGATTTAGTTTTACTTACCCTTTTGCCAATGCAATGACATTTTAATTACATGCTGATCTTAATTTTTTGATTCAATCATAGAATCAGCTTTCATCAATAATATCTCTAGATGAAAATATAAGTGTTATTCTTCATATTTCTCCAGTGTTTACATTACGGACACTGACTATTGTAGGTGTCCTGCTGACAGTGAGCCGTGCGCTGATTGGCCCTCCGAGCTGCCAATCAGGTGGCTGTTTACATCAAACGTTGTGAGCTGGAATTTCCCAGGTTACAGCACAGAGCAGTAGACCACTTCCGCAATAGTGTCTGGGCAAGAGAGACGAGAGGCCACTGCGAGCTGAAAGGTATCCAGACAAAAGACATGTCTTTGTCCTTTGATTTGTCGTTAAACTGTCTTTTCCGACCGACTTACTGCATCGATTGGAGAATCCGTAGCGGTTGAAAACGAGGAGCTAGCGGCTTGCTGTCCCGCACTGTCACCTAGTGTTAGCTAGCCGACTGCTAACGAGGATGTTGCTAGCGATTTGCATGACAACAGCGAAAACTAATATTAGCCTTCTTCAGCCAATCAAGGTAGCTATCATTAGCTCGATTGTGTTGTATTTGACTCTCGTCTGTGGCGGAAATGTTTGCCATCAGGACTCGCGTTAAGTCTTTTCTTTCTCCTCTGCTTTTGTCCTTTTTTCCTCTCGGTTGTGAACGTTGTAGTTGTCATATTTAGCCATGACAAACGGGAGCACATCCTTTCCATATGTTTCCCTCCTGGCAAATTGTCCTCGTTTTGTTCCCCTCAGAGCTTTCAGTTCAGGAAAAGCTCGTCTTGTTATGAATTAGACGAGAATAGGGGTCCTCTAAAGGCTCCTCTAGGATGGGTAACTTTTAGTTGTTGTGGGTGAGTGGGTATCCAACATTTGATACACCAAGAAGTGACCGAAACACCATGTTTGACTTTTCAGTGGCAGTAATATTGCTGCAGAAGTAGTGGTTTAAAGGGGATTTCTGGTTATGCTCGGGTTATTTTTTCTCTTCGTGTGTAGTCAATGATGCTGTCAAGTTTTTCACTTCCTCTGTGTGAACCTTTCATTATTGCCATAGGATATTGATGCCTTTTCCTGATAGTTTTCCTCCATAAACAGTCATAAAGGATTTGTTTGTGATGGTTGAAAATGTCTCTCCAGTTACTTCTGTGAAGGTCACTGACTGTTATGGTTAACAGTTTTTCTCTTCTCTCCAAAGTTCAGAGGACCATGTCTAGGAAGTGAACAACGGCGATGGAAGGGAAAGGCCCGTACCGCATCTATGATCCAGGTGGGGGAGAGGTCAAGGCGAGAGAGGAGGCTGGAGGGGGAAGCAGCTACCGACAGCTCCTGGAGGAGAACAGCATACTGAGGGAGCGGATGAAGGGACTTAAGAGCTTAGGTAGGCTCCTAAAACGGCATGTTTACCTCAGGGAGAATGCCAGCATCTCTTTTGTCTCTCACATCTCACATCTGGATGGGTCCTCTCTCTTCGCTGCAGGACAGAAAGATTCAGAAGATTTTTTTGTACCAACAACCAACAGACTTTATGACTCTTGTATAAATAGTAGATAACTTTTAGAGACAGATTATGTGAGATAACAGACAATTGAATTTCCCTTCGGGGATTATTAAAGTTCTTCTTATTCTTAGTCTTTTGTGTGTCACCTGTGGAACGTAATTTCTTCAGGATATTTTAGGTCAAACCTAGGTATAAACAACATCACATGATTCCCTCAATAAATTATTACCTGTCTGACTTTACCGTCAAGAAATGAAAGAGCACGGGTTAAAAATGTTGTGCTATGACTCAGGTGTCATGCAGCAAAACCTGAAGATCTTCTCCAGTAAGTTGTCGAAAAACCTGTATGCCACTTATTTGACAGCACTTTTGGTATACGGACAAAGCTGCACGTCCTGCAGTGAACTCCAGTTGTCGTGTCTTTAAAACTCAGCATGCTGGAAGGTCCGTGTTTTTGTTGTCAAATGTTGTTAAATCAAGTAAAACTCAAGTGTTGCTGAATAGAGATCAAGATCTTTCTGAAACTTGCAGGTGATTTGCTGGAAGAGTCTCAGTCAGAGGCGTCGAGGCTTCGGCAGCGAGTAGAGGAACTCGTAAGGGACAACGAGGCCCTCAAGTCCTCCAGCTTTGCAGCCAGTCTGTGTACGGGAGGGCACGTTCAGGCTGAAACACAAAGTAAGGCTTGTACACTTTATAGTTATCATGAAGTTTACTGTGAGATAATTTGGCACATTGGTGTAACCGCTTGTGCTAACCTTGGTATTGATATGGTTTTTTTCAGGTAAACCCTGTTTACACCCCACCCTAGAACAGAAGGAGGAGCAATCTAGCTGTATGGGGAAGACCCTTCAGCCTGAAAAGCCAAATGTAAGTGAAATTTTCTGTGTGAAGGTCTTTGGTTTTGGCAGAAATACCTTTTTTAATTGTTGTAAAATAGTGCAGATAAGGTTGCAAATGAGGTGCAGACATTATTCAGGGTTACACTACAACACCCGGCTGCCGTAGATGGGATGTTATCTCCTAGTTCTTTCAATTTAACTGAAGCATTAACACTGCTGCCATTGTGTGTGTGGTGACACTACTTTATTTTTGGTCTTTCCAGGAGGTCTTAACAGAGTTTGAGGTTGTAAATATGGAGGGGAAGACTTCAGAGGCCTTGACTGTACGTACCATACTTTTCCTGACACCACTTATCAGGAACTGAAATTTTTGAATGTCCAAGTTGCCATTTTTAGTACTTTCTTTGGTTTAGATCTAAGCTTTCCTCTTTACAACCCTGTCCTCAATATTAGAAACATAGCTATAGTGTGGTGACTCACTAACAAACCTAATACTGGTAGCTCCAGCCTGAGTCAGCCAGGGGAAAGTCCAGGATTATTATTGACTAGAATTACACAGCTGATTCATTCAATCACTACATCCTAGAGGATGTGATGAGAGGTCACTTAGCCTAAATATTTCAGCCGCAAATGTCCAAACTTTTAAAAGTCAAAAACCTCTCAGATTGTGTAAACGCCAAAGCCTATTTTGGTTCAGTTCCCACTCCTGTTTTTACCTGCTGTTGTCTATGAGGGCCATTTTTAAATCAAACATGTTCAACTGGTTTGCCTTTCTGGTTCGCCTTTCAAAGAAATAGTTGCACAATGACTCTTCAAGTATTTCGATCTCTCAGTCTCGTGCATGTTCAAATACTTCAGTTATTGCTCGCTCACCCACTGAGTCATTTTAAGAGGAAGCACTGACTGGTGGTTCACCTGTGTGGGTATCTCCAGGCCGGGTCAGTGGCAGGAGTCATCCCTCTCCTGCCTCAGGAGAACAACGAGCTGGCGAGCCAGCTGAAGAGACTGGAGAGCTCCTTCAGCATATTCGCGGAGGAGTCCAACCCCAACCAGCTGCTGGCTCACCTCGGTCGCATGGCTGTGGAGTTTCACCATCTCTCCTCCAAAGTCCAAAAAAATGAACAGAGGACCTCACTGCTACAGGTATGTGACACATCGACTCTGCAACGCAAGTAAAAATATACCAGAGCAATTATGGGGCTATTTTTTAAACAGCTTTGAGATGTCTACATGGTTGTCAAATGTTACTTTTACTGGGGTTGAGAAAGAGAACCTGTTAAGAATTTAAATAGATTGAGTTGCTTTAAATTTACAGTCTGTTTATAATCAAATACAGAGTGGTTTATCAGATGAAGTCCATTTTCAAGAAGGTAGATTCACCCAAAATATGTCTTTGGTTTCTGTGGGCTGGTGGAAGATGCAAGACTTGGTTTTATTGAAGAGTTTTTTTTGTCATGTTAATTAAATATTTTTATATGTATAAGGAGTTATACTTTTATGCTTTGACTAAACGAGATTACTACATCTGTGCGACGTGTGAAACTCTTGTCTGTGGCTGTTGGTGGTGGTGGTTGTATGTGGACAGAGAAGACATTAACAACTGTCTTTGTTACTATCAGCACTAAAGACGAGCTTCATGTTTCGGAACACGCTGTCATTTTAACTGTTAAAAATTTACACTGGGCACATTATGATGGATGTTAGAGGGCTTTCTACCAAAGATGAAGCAACAATATGACAACTTTTGCTTTTATAACTTTCCATCATCACCATTTAAAATACATCATGACCTTATTAAAGTAAAACATTATTTTCATGAATGTATCTCCTGTATTTTCTGCAGTGAGTACCTTTAGCCTTCAGTAACTGTGGACAAACACATGTTAAATAATAATAATAATGATGATGATGGTGGTATTTATTTCTCAGAATGATGGCACAGTATTGTGATACCTTTTTTTTTTTGTATTCAAAGACTCTGTGTGAACAGCTCAGACAGGAGAACAATGAGCTTCGAAAGAAAATGGAGGAGGATCATGATATCAGGAATCGAGACCTGGAGCAGCTGAGGTAATGTTTTCCATCACTCTTGGTTTGACATGGCTTTGTGTCGCTTCTGCTTGAAAATACATGCAGTTGTTAGTGGACTCGAAAAATCTCAGATGTCTTCTGAAATCTAATCAACCAAAGTCCACTGCATTATACAGTCATATATATACACAAAACTTGGATGTTCACAGTTGACCGTGCTTTCACTTTTACTGGGGGTTATTCCACTACTTTCTGTTGGCGTCACTGTTTTCAGTGGGTTCGTAGGTTCTTCCCAAAGGACATCCTGATTACATACCAATTCTTCAAAAAAGTCTGGGAAGGGACTTGGCTGAGTCACTCTATCACTTTCTTTTCTCACGGCTTTAGACAGGAGAATCAGAAACTGAAGGAGCTTGTCACAGGAGGAGCAGCGGCAGCGCCATCAGCTGCAGTGACATCGGATACTGAAGCTCTAGAGGCCAAAGAGGAGCCTGTGAAGGAGGAATCAGCCGCTGTGAGATCGAAGATGGAGGCCAGCACACCACAGAAGGTAGAAATATATTCATAGCGTGAATGTTATTTCGAATCTTGAACAAAGATGCTTTACAACTTTGTTTAGTCTGATTTAATCTCCCATAGTTACAATCTAACTAAATTTTTTTAACATGTCATGAAAAATATTGTTGAAACCTAAAACTTCTCACTTACAAGCACGTGATGTATAGTTGTGGAGTGAAAGATGACCATTGTGAATCTGGGAATGTTTTGTGTTCCCGCAGAGTGGAAAAACCTCAGAGAAAACCCCAACCAAACCTTGTGATGTTGAGGTGTATGAAAAGAAGATCAAGCTTTTGGAGAAGCAGAGAAAGGATGTGAGTCCTTTTCTGCTCTGTCTGCCCATCCTCTTTTTCTTCAAGGGAAAATCTCTGTGTAGTTAGTTTCCTACATATTTTGTGTCATTTGTTTCACTTTCTGGCACGGCTTACAGGTGCTGGAGGTGAACAAGCAGTGGGACATTCAGTGGAACTCCATGAAGTCACAGTTTGAGCAGAAGGTACAGTAATGACTTTACAGCTGTGATGACAGGTGTGGGAAGATGTTGCTGCGCCCTCTGCTGATATGTGGGCTGCCGAATGAGAGCAAATTCTTGAAATTTCAATAAAAAACTTTTGTAACTCGGTTCACTTTAGAAGGTCAAGGACATTTGTCAGTTGTACTCATTTTGATTCGTCTATTTACTCATTACATTTGCCGAACAGAATACATAAATAATGACGGCACAGAAAATATGTCTCCTTTTGAACTTCCTCCTCTTCTATAATTGCTATGTAAATGTTTGTACAAATGGTTCCTTATCTGTTGCGCTCGCTTTATAATTTTCTTTGCTTTTTCCTCGATTTTATCTCTTTTCACATATCACACAAAAAATGCTCATACTTTTCTCTGGTCTCCACTTTAGCTTTGCAGTCGACATATGTTGACATTATGAAATGTACTGAATTTTAAGTGTAGGAGACACAAAAATGCAATTCATCATTGCGGCCGGTAAGGGGATGCTGGGCTTGTGACATTTCTTCATCTACACATTGGCTGTTTAGTCCAATGAGTAGAAAGTTAATTTCAGAGCTTGTTCATTTACCAGCATTTCCAAATTAGAATTTTTCTGAAGATATATTTCTGGAGTTACAGGAAAGTTACAGTTAAAATTACTCCATCAGAGGATGCAAAATAGGATGGTAGTATTGCGAGAAGTCTGTCAGAGTAACCGCTGATGCAATTTATCCCTGTGTTCAATTTTTTCCTCATGCATATGTGACAATGAAAACAACTTAGGTTCTCATAATTTCACTAATACAGGTTGTTTTATACAAATATGCTGTCCACAGTACTTCATGAAGCAGGAGAGTCTGTATACACATCAACATACATTTCAAAATCAATAAAAGGGTCAGATCTTACATCTTTAAAAACTACATAAGAAATGAAGGATTTCATCTTAAAGTTAAAACAACTAAGCTTGTCAAGTACAGTCAATAACATAAAAGATGACATCTTTTACATAGAAGTGACATGACAAATGGCAAGTATTGTGTAATCTGGAAATATTTTTGATGAACTCAGGACTCGACATGTTTTGGTGCATCAGGTTGTAGGAAAGAAGCTGTTTTGGTATTTTTTATACATATATGTATATATATAAATATATATGTATATTTAAATGTATGTAGTTATATTTTTATATATGTAAAAAACCACTTGCTTGTCCAGTGGAAAAGGTGCAATCTTGCAATAGCTCGCTATCTGAATGCATGCTCGCCACAAGGCCTGTCACACCTCAGTAAGAATTCCCCTTCACCTCTTTGGTACCCGCCGACTTCCTGCTGTGGTGCAGTCAGAGGGCAGCAGAGACACACAAATGTACACACTCTTACTCACACACCTACGCCTGCGCACTCCCACGATCACAAACAAACCTACATTCACACTTTGTTGAGACAGAGACTCTGCGCACCCTGGGGTTTAAACCACACAACCCCAGATAGATCCATTTGCGTCACTCGGTTTCTTCATATTTGACACAAAAACAGATCCGCGTGTCTTTGCAGATATGTCCTTGTTGCTGTGGCTTGGTTTATGATTCAGTGAAACAATCTTGAACACCTTTTATAAAAACGTTGATGTCTGTAAAAGATGTCATCACTGTTTAAGTTTTTTTTTTTTTTTTGTATTGTATTTTATTTTATTTTTCATTTATAGAGCTTTAAATATTGCCCTTAACTAAGAGGTGAATGTTTTTTGACAGATCACAGACCTCAGACAAAGGCTGGCTGAGTCTCAGAAAACTGTGCTTGAGCTGGAGGCAGAGCGAGAGCAGAGACAGCGGGACTACGACAAGAAACTGCTGCTGGCCAAGTCCAAGATTGAAAATGTGCAGGTAAAAAAAAGTGCAAAAATTCTAAATAAGGACCTCTTAACAGAAAAAAAACCCCACGTCTCAGGGTTATTTTAAAAGTGTGCTCTAAATGTTTCGGTTTGTTACTTTAGGGGGAGAAAGAGTGCTTGAACTCTGAGACCACTGAGCTGAAGCAGAAGATTCGCTACCTACAGGACCAGCTGCTGCCTCTAAGCAAACAGAGGGAGTACCAGGAGAAGGAGATCCAACGCCTCAACAGGGTAGGTGTGGAAGAGAAGCTTGATTAGAGGGAGATGGATGATGGGAAATGGAGGTGGGTACCAAAGACATTCCCATCTGTCTAATACTTGTTTTGTCTTACCTCAGGCTTTAGAGGAAGCCTTAAATCTGCACACCCCGTCAACCTCCCAACAACCACCTGGCCAGGCTAACTTTGCAGACGCCGCCAATAACCTGAAGAAACAGGAGCTGCTCACTCAAATTGCTGTACTAAAGGAACAGGTGAAAAACCCAGCAGGATATCTTACAAACACATCTGCAGTTGCACATGCAGTCTTTTAACTGCTCGGGATTTTTTGTTTTTGCTTTAGGTGAAGATCTTTGAAGAAGACTTCAGAAAAGAAAGGAGCGACAGGGAGCGAATGAATGAGGAAAAAGAGGACTTAAGGCGTCAGGTTGAGAGACTCCAGGGTCAGATTACCAATTTGACAAACCAGGTAAGCGATGAACCTACTGTATTCTTTCCCATATGCTACATGTAACATGTTCAAGAAAATTATAGTGTTACAGTGAACAAAAGAGGTTACACTGCACACTGTGGTTTATGTTCAGTTTTTTAATGATTAGTGTGTTTGTGTTTCAGCTTCATCAGGCACAGAACGAGTGTCAGAGAGAGCGGACAGAGAGGTGTAAGCTGGAGAGACTGCAGATGCAGCATCACAAACAGGTACTGCTGCAGCTCAGCTCTGAACCTGGTTGTGTTGCAAACATTGTGAAAAATTCAATGAAATGTTGCCGTCAGCCTGAGGAGGTTGTGTTATTATGAAAAGGGATTAAGGCCTTTAGTGGCAGTTGCACCTCAAGCCCTGTTGAAGTATCATGTAGGAGAAGTATAACTGCCGAATAGCGCCCCCTTGTGACATAAAGCTGTCACATAGCTGTTGACTGTTTAAGGTTAATGCTGGACAAATCAATTCTCCTGGACAAGAGCCTCACTCCAGCTAGTTTGTTTGTCAGTGCAGTCGGGATAAACAGGTGGAACTTTGGCTCTCCTCAGTGGGAGGCAGCTGCAGTGTGCAGGGTTGAAGGTCAGCAGTGGCACATGCCATGACAGGGCCACAGCCCTCGCTGAGAGTAGTAGCCGTGCACTGATTGGGGATCACATGTGTACTTGTGATCCCTCGTAGGGGCAGCAGCAGGAAAGACGTACCTCAGACCCCACGTCAGGCTCAGTGAACGGCCCGCTGAGCCCTCCCTACTGTGGTCCCTTTGTGCAGGTGGGACCGCAGGGCCTTGAAGGCTGGCCCATACACTTCCCTCCTCGGATGCCCAATGCAGCAGGCGCCACAGCCGCAGCAGCCGCCGCAGCACCGCCCCCTGTACGAGACTTCCAGCCTGTTACCCCGGTAAGGGTCCTCAAAGGCCCCTCTGTCTCTGTCTCTGGAGTGACTCTGCTTCACTGAGAAACAAGGCTCTTTTCTCTTTCCTCTTCTCCCCTCTTCTCTTGGGAGGAATAAGCAGATGAAGTTAGGTCTGACTTAAGCTTAGCATAGCCATACAGCTTTATTCACTGTAGTTAAGGAAAAGACTTGAGGGCTGATGGTTGCAAAAACGGTGCATACTAGATAGTCTTAACTAAGGTGGTGCTTTTCTTTGGTCAGGGTTTTCCTTGGCAGTCATCATTCCCACAGCCTAGAGGGGCCAGAGCAGTAGGAGAGAGTTCAAGACCACCACCAGAGAACGCAGGTATGGCACCACTAACTGGGTTTTACGCTTATTTCTTTGAGTGTATGATTTGTATACTTTGTATAAAGCTGCAGTTACTCTTCATGTTAACCAATCTTCAGTGGAAGATCAAAACAAACAACTAGTCTGTATTTGTGCCTATACTTTGGCTACACAGCAAGATCTGATCAAAGTTTGTTTGGTCATATCATAGTACTTGCCAACAGAGAATAGTTACGATATTGCCTGTAGCAAATCATTGGCTGAATTCTGAGATAATAGCATCATTTTATCGTGTGTCTATAGATCAGTCAGCAGCAGCAGCCGCAGCAGCAGCTGCAGCAGCAGCAGCCGGGTTTGGAAAAAGGGAGCGACAGAACATTGATCCTGGAAAGCACTAAAGCATCACTGTACCCACCTAAAGGAGTCTGGGTAGTAGCATGAAAATCAGTTTTTTGAGTTGACAAGGTGTGATTTGATCTATAATTTTCCTACTGAACTGTAGATATCCTATTGTAATGTTGTTTATACTTGCGTTTTATAAGGCTATTTGTGAAACACTTCGCTATTCTGATTATATATACATGACATATTATTTTGTTGTTTTTTTTCTATAAGGAACTGAAGTCATTTATTGAATAGGTTGGAAAAATTAACATTGTTCTGTTTTTCAGAAAATAAACCTTTGTGATTGTCTCTCTGCAAATATGTAACACAACACTTAGTTTGTTACTTGTAGAGTTACAGGAAGCCATTCCCCAATACGACTGAGAAAACAAAGTCATTCCAGCAAAGAATGATTATATTGGTACATTGAATCATAGGACTTACAATGTGAATGTCAATTGATTTATGAAGATTTCTGCAGTACCATTGATGTTATAGGACTGTCCCATTACGTGTAACTGTTCAAAAGTGATTGTTGAAATACAAAATTTTGGGAAATGAATTTTGATGGTATCATACCAAAAACATGATTGTGATTATTGATAATTTATTTATAACTATTGACTACGTGTAAATCATTGTCTTTAGTAATGCTGTTCTTTCTATGTTGTTAGTGTAATCCCAATATATTGTAGCTATTGACATTGTATGTTTGTATCAGACACAATACACAATGCACACAACATACACACTTTTCTTTCTCCATGATGATGGACCTAATCTCATTAAACACAACACTTCTTCTTGACCACAGTTGATTTGATGATTTGACCACTCATTCTGATAGTCACACTCATCTTACTGCATCCTGTACTGTCAGTCACAGTTCAGCCCCGACATACAGTATCAAATTTTGCAGCAGCAATTTTGAGTTGTAATCAGTGCAACTGTTACACCCAGTGCTGCTAAAGCAACAGAAAGAGGAAGATTTTCATCAGTGTGAAGCCTCTAGACTCAGTGTTACAGCTGCTCCTCAGAGGAAAACCTGCCAGGATGTCTGGCTTTGCTCTCTGTCCACTTCAACAACCAGCAATCCATGCCGTGCCGACTGACCTGTGATCTGCTGTATCACTGAGTCAAGAGCCCTGAAAATAGTCACAGGATTCACAGCTCCGACAATGTGTTATCATCTTATAAAGGCAGATCCAATATCAACCCAAGCCGCTGTTTAGACTAAATACCCAGTAATATACTTATCAGGTAGTCAGATGAAGGGCTCAAATGTGAGAAAGGCTCCATTTATCAAATAAGTATTTCAGTTACAGGGGACAAAATCCTGATGGGTGAAAGCTGAAATGAGAAATTAGTAGAATTGCACTTTGAAAGGTACGCTGTAATTACTGGCAGTTGTATTTTTGGTTTCTGGCCCTTTTTTTGCTGTAGGCAAAAGCACATGTGAGACTTTTTGTATTTGACTGGCTTAATAAATCTATTCTAAATGTCTGCTAGTATCTCCCCCTGCTTATTCATGCTCATGTTTTGTCCATTTGTATTGTAGGATAGAAACACTGGGGACAAACTGATGACATCATGTTTACATCTTGATGAAATGACATGGTGTAACATTTGTTTCTTGTAAACAAACACGGCACGTCAGTGTGTTCTCAATGATTTATTGCAAGTATTTGACATTTAGGCTGTAATTGTTAACAGGTCCTGGGATGTGAAGATGACATGATACTGTGGGATGCAGGGCGGCCTGAATGCACTGAAAAGCCGGCCTGAACCACAGCTCCAACGAGGCCCCGCAGAGTTCCTGCTTTAAAGCCTCCTCTTCATTTAACATGCCACCTTCAAGTACCAGAAAGTGTTAACTTTACCCCTCTACACTCTACCTCTACTCTAGTGTTTAAGCAGATTGAACATCGAGTTACTTCATCGGATAAACAACACTGTATGATGAATCACAGCTCTAATTAAAAACATCCTGCGTGAGAAGGTCAAGCAGATATTTGCGGATATCATCTCGGATGGTGGAAATGTTGATACTGGGGTGCCACCTCATCACCGGTTTACCGTCTGGTCCCACCAGAAACTTTTCAAAGTTCCACTTAATGTCATTGGTTTTCAGAGGCTCCCAGAATAGTTTTTCTTTTGAGGCGTAGGTGTCTCCAACAGGAGGGCAGGAGTTCTGTGTGACAGGAAGCACAGGTTTAGAATGAGAGGGTAAAAATGTTTGTGCGCTGTTGACTGAAAGACTCCATTTACAGATCTGTATGTGTACAGGATCTGCTCTTCAGAGCAGCTGGTTTGTTAGGTAAACCAACAATTTGCATCACAGTAAATCAACTCCTCAGTCTTCATACCTTAGGGCAAACTGAGTGTTTTTTACTGGCTAAAATCAGAACCAAACTCCTGGTCATTGCTTTATTTGTGTTTATATTATAAATACCTCATTTTCAGGCCGACTGTAAGCATGCTATCAAGGTATTAAACAAGTCCAACCAGGAGGATGCATTTAGCATCAACATATAGAAATAAAAACAGTTAAACAGCCCACCTTTGGTTAAAACAACATAAACGTCTAACATTGCACACATTCCCGGTCGAGTGTTACGTACCTTGAGGAAGGTAAACACTCCTTGCTCATCTTTCCCATTCACGTCACCTTTCTCAAACAGCAGGAAGTTTGGAACAAATCCATTGCCGGGTCTCACATATCTGAAATCCAGAGAGAGGGCAGCTTATCAGCAGAAATTCCTCTGAGCATTGTTTCCTGGAAGCTGCTCCAGCTCCAGTACAAGCTGAGCAAAACCACACGGTGTAGTTCAACAGCTTCATGGATCGGAAGCTGTGACATGAAACCTGACACATTAAATCTATGGGTATTAGAGGGGCCACTTGCTGAAAACTGATCTTTTTGCCAAAGGATGTTTCTTCCTCGTGAAATTACGCTGTGTTGATTGACAAGAGGATTGGCTTTATTGCAAATTCCTCTCTATATCCCTCTTACAAGATTATTATGTTACATGGGATCACAATATATGTACTGTCTGTTAAAAGCTTGTGAATGAAAATTGGAGGGTTTCTCGTGTTTCCAACTTTTTTCAGACTGAAAAACATACCTGAGCTTCTGTTCTGCTATTGTTATACACTTTAAAGTCTCCAGGCTGATTTTGGAGGGTTGTTTCTAACTAACAATACATAGCTCTGTCCTACTGGGCTGAATATGGGGACTGATGGATTTGTGATTAAAGGGAATCATTTCTTACTTTAAACCTGGCAGGATTTCATTTTTTTGCCCTGGTTCCTGTCGTCCAAATTGGTTGCAGGGAAATCCAAGAAGTGTGAGTCCAAGAGGCCTCATCTCTTCGTGTAGTGCATTCAGTTCTGAAAAAAGAAGAGTAAATGCATTTACACGGAAACACTTTTTTTTTTTTTTAAATATATATAAAACATCTCATCACAGATACTAAAATGCTGCCTCTTACCCACATACTGATAGGTGTATCCTCAGTATGTGGCCACGTTGATGAAGAGGACGCTCTTGCCCACATAGTCGCTGAAGCGCACAGTTTGACTTCCATTCAGGGTTTTGGCGCTGTATTGGTAAATGGTTCCATCTGTGGACGTTTCACATTGCTGGGGGTACAGAGACAGGTCAACAGGTTATATTTGTTCTGCCCGGTCAACAACCAGCAGCAGCATCTTTGTGTATTATCTCTCGTGTGAGTTACTTTGAATGTTAAAGAGTCAGGGTAAGAGTCTTCTGTTTCAGTTTTTACTGCGGTACAAGATGCGTCAACTATTTGCTTGTGGATTTGCATTTATTACACTTCTCATTTTTCAGCCAGTGGAAGGCCTCCATTTGGATTCCACATTAAATTCCCACATATTTTGATGAATACCAGGTTAAATTGTATAAAAACTTGTGTTTGAAATTCTGTTAAGCCATTACAAGATATTATAAGAGTTTACATTTTACTTGACCGAGTAAGAAAAAAAGCAGTTTTAATAGGTTATGTAGAGGTTTTTTGAATGCTGTTGTGTGATTCTAAAAACCTTTGTAAACATGTTAAGATATTATCCTCGCTGAGTGAAATGATTCCTGAACAGCAAACACTTTAAATGTTCTGAGGAATGCCTAAAATGGTCCAAAAGACAAATCAAAGTGTTTATTATCTGTTTCAGTAATTGGTCACAATGACAATTTAAAAATAAAATAAAATAAAATAAAAAATATATATAAAAAAACAGGCAGTTGTTTAACTTAAACTTGGAGACAAACCAGGGTCAGGTGACTCTTTCACCTGACCCACAACTCTGTTGTTCTGATGTGGGAAAAACACAGTCGCATGCCTAACTCAAGCCCAGTGTCAACAGAGCAGGTAAACATTGCTCCCAAAGAGCCAGAAGCACTTAAATTACAACAATTTTTTGCAAGTACGTTATCCACTTCACTTTAGAAGCCACTTCTTTAACATTTTTTAAGTATTTCTTAGCTCAAACATGCGGACTAGTATGGTGACCACAGAATAAAGCAACAGATGTTTACATAACTTTATTCACGCCTACACACACCTTCTTAAAACCTAGTGGCGTAGCAACAATAACTCCATACCCCTCTGTACCTGACAATAAAAGGGGTCAGGTTTGTGCGCATATCCAATCAGTAAAGAGGTCATAATATCATTAACAGGACCAAACCAAGTCTATCTAGTGCGACACTAGAAAATCCAGACGCCATAATAAATGGTAATGAGCGGGTCAAGACAAAAGGTGAATCTAACCACTATAAAGTTTTATTAAGACGGCAGGTGTTATTGTCCATTTCAGAGAGACAGTGATAAGTGTATTATTTTTCTGTTCTACCTCCTATTTTGAACATATGTCGACGGTGACAACAATACTGAACATACAGGTAACAACTCCTAACTTTATGGTTTACGTTATACACGAGAGACATTTTGTTCTTCTACAGGATAATTATGCTTAAAATCGCGCGTGCACTTAACGGTGCATCCTAAAACCAACGTCGTCATCACATACTGTAAAGAACTGCCACGTGCTTCCTCGTACACCTACCTGCAGAGCAATTTGTGAAGTAGTTTAGTGGGTGAATAATAAACAGCCTACCTGTGTTAGGGAGATTTCAGCGGTGGATGGTCTGAGCAGACCGAGCAGCAGCAGCGGTAGACACGACCACATCTTCCAGTCCGTCTGCTCTGCTCACTGTCCGCTGCTGCTCCCTCTGGATTAATTTAAATCCTCTGGCGGGGGCGGGGGGCACACAGCTGGATGAGAGGACGCCCTCTACTGACACAACTGCGCACTACATGCTGGGCCTGTTAGTGACAATGAATGACTGAAGGAATAAGGAGTCAGACAGGCCTACCAGAAATGGGATTTCACTGCAGTCTCATAACGCAGAACCACTCTTTGATTTGGTTTAAGTAACCATCTTAAGAAGATTAATTACCTTTTCATGTATTCATACTATTATTAACATACTTTCCCCAAAATGAGACAATATGTCAAAAATAAGGAAAAACATTTGACAGTCTTTGTGTTTCTGTCACTCTGCACAAGCCTAGAGTAAACACACATGAACAACATTCCTAAGACTGCATATTAAGATATTTTTTAAATGAATAACCTGGTGACAAATATTGAATCTGAATAAACACAAGATGATGTGCGTCACTTTTCCTAAAAACAGGACTGACAGTGTTGGTTTTATTGTTATTCATGGATCATTTCTCCTCTCCTTGATCAGCTGTTGCCATGGTGAGCTGGTACTTGGCCATGTGCCCTGTGGGTGGCTAAAAGGCCTCTTTCCAGTCCTGTTAGTGCACCTAAATGACTGTGTATTGAACAATCCACTTAAGATCTGTTTCCCACTACACAACATGTATTTTTGAACAACAAGGCATCACAGGTGTAAATCACAAGGGTAAATCTCTAACAAAAATGTTGAAAATAAAATAAAAGTTCAGAGGCTAAAAGAGGTGGCAACGGGCTGCACATACAAATAATAATAATAAAAAATCTTCACCATTTTTGAGTTTTTTGAGAATTCAACTCCAACTGTCTGTGCACAAGAAACTTGACAAAATGTAGCTGTGCAGTTTTATATTACCTTTAGCTTTCACTGCCCATGATTTACCCCTGGATTAGAGGAAGTAGTTCAAATAAGAAATAAAAATCAAAAAATTAAAAACTTGAGGATGATTATATTTTCTTATACCTCCAGTCAAGGTTTTACTCACCTGTCAATTGTGCTACCAAAGGGTGCTTTCAGATCTTGATGATAGCTTTGGCCAGATTCTTAAAATCTAAAATCTCTCAAACACTGTAACCTCTGAGTCAAGTGGTGATTCGTAACCCTAACCCAAATTTTCCTTTAAACTATGAAGTGAAGAAAGATGCAGGTCAATTTACTTATGTGGGTGGTTACAGGAAAGGAGGTTAGATATCAAACAAGATCATTTGACTCCTTGTGGGAACAGGATGCAGCTTTGCATAATCATTAAATATTTGTAAAGACTACCAAACATTGCAACAGATTCTACATGAGAACAAATGGTTAAGACCAGGGACAAAAACCAAAGTCCAGCCTTTCATTTAGGACTTCTCTTGGTTTCCATTGGTATACTTTTCTTGGACTCTTGGTTCCTATGACGCACTTGCAAGTTGTAAGCACTCTGTTTTCTGACGATGACAAAGGCTTTGGGTTTTTTTTTTCTACAATCTTCACCTGTTCTTTATGTTTGGGTAGAGAGTCTTTTTTTTCCTGGTTTTAACAGCTCAGTTGATCTCATTTGGAGACAAACTAAGCTTATCTTTCCTGATAACAGGATAATATCCTTGTGATTTAGAAAACAAGACAACGCGCTGGTCACTGTGACATGCTGATTGCTTTATTTGCCAATGAAGAACGTTAAGCCCTTTAAGGTACATGCTTAAGAATCTTGGCCACTTTAACTTTTATATCCTTCCTGAATATGCATTGTGTCCTCAGGAGTGTTTAGAGTCCAAGAGTTTAATTAAATATGGAACCTGCTTTAGTATCTTTGTCAATCTCAAATGAAATTGCTTGCATCCCCTTATTGCTCTTTTTACAATGCAGTGAATAAAGTTTTCATTCTGAGCAGGATATTCTGATGTCTTTTATAGTGCACTTCATAGTGTTGTTGAGCCAGGGGTGACTATCTGATTGGCCACCCCTGTGGACACCGTGAAATCCTAAACTACCAAGGTCTATTTGCCTTAGATGACTAAAGATAAATACTTTAGGTTTGGTGTAAGCCACTCTTGTTTACCAAAAAATTTGGTGCCCAAATTTGAAAAAAGGTCTGGCACCAGCACTGTTGTGTCATCTTTTGTTTGTTTTTCTGTCCTGTTGTTGGTTCAGTTGTAACCCACGTCTTGCATCACTTTCATGTCAGACAACAGAAAGAAATTAGAGAAATGTATAATCTGGAGCAACCATCTTTTCATCTGTCTTTGTAAGTATTTATTTCATTGCAGTTGTCCTGTAACTAAAACTTCTGTTCGCTCTTTGTTTTTGCGTCTCGAGAAAACAAATTTTTTTCAACAATATTTTTTTCATTACATTTCCACTCAGGCCTTTCATACCCTTTATGTCAGTGGTTCTCAACTGGTGGGTCCTGACCTAAAAGTGGGTCCTGGACACGTTCTGGATGGGTCACGAACAGCTGGTCAAAAACGTTAATATTTAATGTGATATATATTAGATATTTGATATTTTCTGTATATGCAACTTCAGTAGTTGTCGTCCTCATGTTGTCCCCTTCATGTGCTCTGAAATGCACTTTACTCAATAAAACAAGTGGATTTATGTTCAAGATTAGAGTCTTTTTAAAGTAAAAAATAAATTTGCTTAGTTTGAATATTATAAAAGTGGGTCACGACAAGGACCATGGTGAATGTGGGACCCAGAGTGAGACCAGTTGAGAACCACTGCTTTACGCATTTCTACAAGCAGGCCATCCTTTCATCCAAGGGTGTGGGGTTGTAGATTTCATATGCACCACAAGAGGTCGACATTAAACCCCCTACCTGCCTGTCTTCAGAGGCCAGACATCAGACTGTAGTATCATCAGCAGCAGCAGCGAGGTACCTCCGGTCAGGGATGGCGTCTCTTTTGCAGCCGGATAGAGTGGTCTATTTGGTTCGGGGAGAGAAAAGGATCAGAGCCCCTTTATCTCAACTGTACTTCTGTCGCTACTGTAGTGAGCTTCGGTCTCTGGAATGTGTGTCTCACGAGGTACGTGGATAATTTCCCCCTTTCTACCCTCTTTTGCGAAATGTTAGCTTTTAGCTCAGTTTAGGTAGGAGCGACTTTGTTGTTAGCCGTTTTGCTAGCGGCTGACAGATAGGCGGGAACATCCCCTTCATCTCGCGCGTTGAATGGCTACGTCGCTTGTCAATCACTTTCTTTTTCAGCTAGTTCCACATTTCATTGGCTGGAGGCGCCATCTGCTTCCGTTGGATTTGACGTTATGACTAGCACAGCTCGAATGGGAGAGTAAGCTAGTTAGCATTGGGCAGTATTTGAGTTTGATGTTAAAGTAGTTCGTTCGCTCTTAAATAAAGAGTATTATCAGGCTCATATTCCACAAAACATGACACTAATGTATGACTACAGTGGGCGACCTGAACACTGTGTAAAAGCGGGTTGTTTACGTGGCCCACAGTGACACCACACCCATTGGGATTTTGATATTTCGGCTTTAGCTTCATTCCAGTTTTGGGTTAAAAGTCCGTGGATTTTCTTTAAACAAGTGACTTCAGATAGTCAACATACTTGTATAAAAAAATCCTCCAAAATAATACCCACTCCATGCCTAAATCAAAGCTACAATTAGCTGTTTAACGTTAATCCGGCCTAAGCACGACAAAACAAGCAGTGAATTGAGGATATCTGGTAAAGATGCACAGTTTAAATGACTCTCCTACTTCTGTTTTTGGTGATCAGGTGGATTCACACTATTGTCCCAGTTGTCTGGAGAACATGCCCTCTGCGGAGGCTAAACTTAAAAAGAACAGGTGAGATTAATGTGCAAATTCAAGTAGAAAAATCCAACCAGGTATGGCCACCCTTCTCCTACATTTATGGGTAATATGTGTTCAATTTTTATGTTCTCCACTTTAGATGTGCAAATTGTTTTGACTGCCCATGTTGCATGCATACCCTGTCTACTCGGGCCACCAACATCCCAGCTCCTTTGCCTGATGATCCCACTAAGACTGCCATGAAGAAGGCTTATTATTTGGCCTGTGGCTTCTGTCGCTGGACCTCGAGGGATGTGGGAATGGCTGACAAATCAGTTGGTGGGTGACGAGAAAATGAAAACACATACATATACATTGATAGATGTCCCTGATACAGTATATATGCAACATCTTTCAATGTAATGCACTGAAGTACACCGCCAGCACCCTGTCCAACCATATCCACAGAAACAGAAAATTTTGAAACTTTATGAAGATAGAATTTCTGTTTGTAGTGACTCAAAGTGGATTGTCCAGGTATCTAAACCTCATGTCTGGTTGGTGTAAATTTGGTCATTGCACCTCCTAAATGTTAAAATTCAAACTGGAATAAAATGCATTGGTAGCTCTGAATAGAGATATTTGTTTATGCCCAGCTTAAGGGCACATAATACTCATGAAAGCAGTACACTAGGGACTCTTTTATGTTCTGTATTTGTACCCTGTGGCAGTTAAAGTCTCATGTGGTGTTGAATTTTTTTCACTATAGCAAGCGGTGGATGGCAGGAACCAGAGAACCCTCATACTCAGCGGGTAAGTTTCCCCCTCTGGTCAGTGATTTCCCTCGGGTTGCTCACATGTTTCTTGATCTCGCATGACTTGTCTTTGAATAGCTGTGTCTAGTAACGCAAATGAGCCTCACTCTTGTTTTTTTTAATTCATCATACAAAGAAATTGTCTGTGTCTTTTATGCAGCAAGAACTTTTGAACCTGCAGTTAATGTAAAAAGTAACTGTGTATTTTCTATCTAAAAAAGTTGTTCTGAAGGAATTCTTTTATCTGTGATACCCAGCTGGAGATTGTTCTGTTTTCTTCAGACGAAAACTATTGTGTTGTGTAAAGTTTTCAGTTCACCACCACTGTTGTAAACTTCCTGAAAACATTTGTAAACCATCTCTGAATGACATTTTTACTCCCCACAGATCAACAAGCTGATCGAGTATTACCAGCAGCTGGCTCACAGAGAGAAGCAGGAGAGAGACAGGAAGAAACTGGCCAGGAGAAGACAGTGCATGCCTCTGGCTTTCTCGGTACTGTGTTCCCTCTGTGCTTAGTTTAGACTCTGCAGTGATTTCTAAGCTTTCTCTCTAACCTTAGGAAATGTCAGACTAGTGTTATGTCACTATAAAACCTCACAAAAAATGCTGGTACTGTTAGAAATGTCTAAGATCAACAGTCATATGTTTATTGACTTTCTTTTTTACATGGACAGAAGTTCTATCTGAATATTAATACTATTGCCAATGAAATTATTAAAGATTATATCATAGAATCGAATAGGATAGGAAAAACTTCAGCTGATCAGGAGGTAATGATTACCTGCTGAAGTTCCTAATGCACAAAAGTAACACAGTGTCTATTTTATAGTAATCTGAATTTGATTTTATTCCAAACAAAAACGTTCTGAACATGTTCAGGCTGTTTTATAAAAGCTCCTTACTGAAATGACATTTGAAAACAAATGAAATTCCTGTGAATCACAATGAAGCAGATTTAGCCAAGTTAGTTTTTTTCTAGTTTGGACATGGTCTTGAGCTTCAGCACATTGTTTACACATTCTGTGTTCTCCTTTTGCAATAATTAACATCCAATGACGCAAACTTTCTTTCCTATTGTGTTTTGTAATCGATTTGGAAGCTGGTGCTGGAATGTCCAGCAGTTGTTTTCCATCACTGGTGCATTTCTGTTAACGTTGCATGTCACCAAATGCCACTAATGTTTGCTAAATCACCTTTGTTTCACCTGGTTCTTTGTTCTCTCTTTTTTCTTTGCTTATGCACTCTGACATTTTGGTTTTTACCCCCCAGCAACACACTATTCATGTGGTGGTGAGTCGTACTTTTCACAACTTGGGTAGTTTCATCTCTGCAGTAGCACTGTCCTTTTTTCTCTCTGTAATTGTCTTATCTGCTACTGAGTGACCTCACAGATCACATGAATGTCTCCTTGGGTAATAGAGACTTGGATCCACATAATAGGAGCCTTTCTGTTGGTTAGAAGTTGGGAGAAAATAAAAGACTGTTGAAATCTGTGTCAGCAGATTAAACCTGTTAAGCAGTAGTTAAGCATGCAGCTGTAGTCTGTTTGAAATGACCCTTTTACACTATCCTGCAGGAAGGCTCCTGTTGCTGTCTCTTACCGCAAGCTGTATGGAATTGATTTTGGTTTACTTGTCATGTTTTTAAATGTTTGATACCATTTCGTGCCTTTTGTTTTGATAAGCCGCATAGAACCACCTTTTGGCCAGTAGTCTTGTGCTAGAGTAGTGATGTTGAGTGATGGTTGTAGATGGTAACTGCATATGTTTGTGGAGCTCTTCTTCATTTTCAGTCATCAGAATGCCTGATCTTATCTTTTACCCTCTGACTTGATTTAGGAAAAATATGGCCTTGGAACCAGACTGCAGAGGCAGAGATCTGGAGCACCCATATCAAGCCTAGCTGGCCTTTCGTGAGTGATCTCTTGTCTTATATGATGAATTACTGCCTCTGTTCCTTCAGTTGAAACATTGTCACATTAGAAGCAAATGACTTTTGGTTTTCCCTTTGTCATCCAGGTATCCACAATGTGTGTAGATTAACAGTGTCAAGGACTAAGATGTATTGATTTGATTTCAATTTCAGTGTATCACGGAATGCCGAGCCGTAAATCTTTGCTAAAACATCAAGTTAATCACTGTGAACAGTTCATTTGCCCAATTTTGGGATTGGCTAGTTATTGGTTATCATATGCTGCATGTTGATACATCAGAGTTCCGAATAGTGCATTTTAAAAGGATAATCCACTAATGAAAGGTTGTATAATCACAAAATATGCTGTGTAATCTAGGAGGGAAAAAGTGACGTTAGTTGTCGCATTTTTAAATGCTGGTCCTCTATAATAAAGTCTTGAACCTCTGAGGTCTGAAAGATGCAAATTCAAAGTTAACTTCAAGTATCTTTTAAGTTTTTGCAAATTGTGGAAAACATTAGCCATCAAGTAAGTACAGAATAAGTCTGTCAGAATTTAAGTCTGGAAAATGCTCAGTGGCAGTGTGAGATTATTTGTAGTAGATGTACCTCAGCTCCTCAGACCACCTGGACCCTTCAGAATATGTTGTAAATTGTTTGGTGTAAAAAAAAGTGTCATGTCTGCAGTGTTGTTAGCCTTCAGTTGAAGTGCCTCCATCTTGTAGGATACTTCAGATTGTTGATAGCAGTTTTTTTCTGATTCACCAGCCTCAAGGAGGGTGAAGACCAGAAAGAGATCAGCATTGAACCTGCCCTCGCTCTTGATGAAGTGGAGCCTTTGCCTGAGGATTGTTACACCAGGCCCATCAGTTTACCCGAGGGTAGGAGCTTATTCTAAGATTGTACAGGGTGTCACTCATTTTTGTATCTTTTATTAAGGTAGAAATTTGTTCAAACATGTTTTTGACGTTACGGTGTTTTCTTAGTGACCACGCTGCGCCAGCGGCTGCTGCAGCCTGACTTCCAGCCTGCGGGGGCGTCTCAGCTCCACCCCAGACACAAACATCTCCTGATGAAGCGCTCACTGCGTTGCAGGGTAGGTACTGCTCCAGGGTTTTACCGTCCTCAAATCAGAGGTGGTTGTTTTTGTGTGATTCACATTTTAAAAATAAAAATATATATCTAATTTTTAACTCCCTCCTACAGAAATGTGAGCACAACTTGAGCAAGCCAGAATTTAATCCCACTTCAATCAAGTTTAAAATTCAGCTGGTGGCTGTGTGAGTATTTGTCATCAGAATATGTCCTCAACGTGTGTTTACACAATGTTGTTGGTTTTTATTTAAGTAATGAAAGTAGGAAGCTGCCTGAAGGCTGGTGCAGTTTAATTAGATTAAAATCCCAAAGTTTAATTCTAGCAAAGTGCAATTATAAGCACATGTTCAGGAAATTATCCATGCCAAAGTAGCTTAATCATAGACAGATTGTGTTATTCTAAAAATGACGTTATGGAAAATAAACCCATTTACCTTTTTTTTTTTTTAAGGGTGCATGCTGATATGATCAGGAGCTGATAGTTTGTGAATGCTAGTATTAGTGAGGGAACAGATTTTGGCATTTTTTAAAAAGTGTGGTTTAATATCATTTGAATGTTGGTCACGTGTTTGAAACTATTGAGGTTTATTCTCCCTGTTGGCTCCACAGGAGTTATATCCCTGAAGTGAGAATTATGTCCATTCCAAACCTCCGCTACATGAAGGTCAGTGTGGGCATGTGTTTATAATCTTAACCTCTATAAGATCAGTCTGTGACATACAAAAAAACAAAAACAAATAAGAGACAGTAAAAGCAGAAATGCACTGATTCTCTAAGGTCTTCTGTGTTTAATTTTTTTCCTTCTGTCTCTTCAGGAGAGCCAGGTGCTGCTAACTCTGACCAACCCTGTGGAGAACATCACCCACGTCACACTGGCTGCTTGTGAGGAGGAGGATCCCGATGACATTAACAGCACTGCTAAGGTACTGTAACATACTGCACTCAGTAAATAAGCACACTTTTTCTACATTTGGAGAAATAAACATCTGTCACAGAAAGTATTTAACTGTTTTAAGTTGATGACATTGCAAAAAAAAAAAAAAAACCCTTATCCAAAATAAAATCTAGTCATGAATATATGTGTTAAACTCTGCTCCTTTATTGACGCTAAATAAGTCTTATAATGTACTGTATAACTGTTTGTCACAGACTCAATAATGCATGTCAAATCTTCATATTAAATGCTTAATATCAGCAGCTACGAAACAGGATTTCAGTTTATGTAAAATCTTGGACCGAGCTTAAGACCCTTGAACACTGAATGTAAATCTGTCATGCACACTGAAACATGAAAACGGGACAATGTTTGTAGTTGTCGGATGGATATATTGGTGTTTATTCAAACCACTTCATTGTGCAATGATTTATAAGGGCAGTGTGTGTTTTGGACTTGTTCTGTTCCACATGCATGCCAAATATCGCTAAGTGGAGCTCTGACTGCTGGAAAAAGCATCATGGCTTGGATACAGAATGTGAGATTTGGGTATAGTCACAGATTGTAGTGGTTGTTTACCACCTGTCTGTCCCTGAATATTGCATGTTTTATCAAACAGTATTCTTGCACTTTTGCCAGCCCGCTCGAGACAGCGCAGGGTGGCGAGGCTCCTTTATCCAGCCTGTTCCTTATGGAATAGCTAGCCTTGTCATCGTCTCATATGCACAGCAGTTGTGTCCCGTTTCTACCTCCATCTGTCAGCTGTCACATGCACAGCTAAGAGTGTGCCTGCAGTAAACGGTCTGCTGGGCTGCCTGTTGCCAACAGCCGCTGCAAGGCTCTTGGGGGCTGCAGGCTGTTTGTCTTGGCCTCTTTAGTGACGAAGTCATGGGCAGACCGGGTAAGGAAGAGCTACTGGCCAAAACAGAGCATCTTCATGACCCATTTCCGTTCAAGTTAAGGCCAAAAGGAGTGTGTGGTCCTGTCATTCTGCTTCATCTGATATTCAAACACCTGGAGGGCAGTGTGTGAACCACAGGGAGTCATGCTTGGTTGATTTCATCCACTGTCTTTTTCATAAGACAGTTTAGTGTATCTCTTACATATGTATCTCATATGCTGTCTGAAAATAGTTTCAACTCACTGAAGACTGTAAGGGCACAGTAATTGTGAATAACACATAAACTCTGTGAAGAGATTTGGGATTAGATTTATGTAAGAGTGCATCATAAGAAAAAGCTGAATAATACCTGCTCATAAACCGATGGATTTGTGATTGAAAAAAAAAAACTGTACTGCTCTTTTCTGATCCTCTTGACCAGGGACAGTGTAGCCGGTACACTCTGGCTGGTAGACGAACTAAACCCAACAAAAACAGAGCTACTGCAGATTATTTTTAACTCCACTCTGTTGTGCTGATATAACAGATGACTCAGAGCTGACCCGCCTGCACCTGCCTGTATTCTTGTGATTTCTGAAAAGACCTACTGCTGATCACAGCACAAGAACTATTTTAAATTAGTGACAGAATAATAAAAAAATCATTCTTCGTCTTTTTTTATGTTAATGATCAAGAGGACCTACTTGTACTAGCCCGGCCCGCACTGGGTACTTTCTGGACAAATAGCCTCTTGTATCAGTGTGATCAGGCAGGTCTCAAAACCACAAAAACTTCTAGCTTTTACTCTTAATCGCTTAAAGATAAGTCATGCATTTCTGCCGGGTGATAAGGCCCCAAATCAATATCACGATATACTGAGCAGTTCACCCCGGTGACGATTAATGGACAATAACTACTCCACAAGCTGCTCTAGCTGCTTTTGAACCGTCCTCCATCTCCTCACCTGTCTCTCCCTCTTTGTCACGGACTGGATGGGGTGGAGTCACGTCTCTGATGTAGGACAGCATCTTGGAGGGACATGAGGCCATAGTCTACCTACACACATCCAAAACCAACTTTTATTTATTTTATTTTTTTGACACCAAATATACCGATACGGGCAAAATGACGTTGGTTATTGTTGTAGATTTTGTTATCGATAAATTCAGGTCTATTGCCCAGCCCTAGATGGACATCTATTAAACAAACCAGCTAAGAAGACCAATACATGATCTAAGCATGTAAAACTAACTAGGACATAGAGGATGCATTATTGTCCACATGGGTTGCTAAGAAGTACAAGTTCCTCTCAAAAGCCTTAAATACGCTCCAAATTCACATTTGGCATGAAAATCACTAACTTGTTTCTTGAGCACTGTAAACATAAATATGATGTAGCGTATTCAGCCGTGATTGACTTCTTAAATAAGTTGTGTTGCCTCAGTATCCTGCCCTCTTATAAAAGCCTGAGGCTGTGGGTCAGAGAGAGTGCAGAGAAAGTTTCTTCCTTCCGCAGATAAATATGAAAACCAGCCTCCCAGAATTATTCTCCACAGTGAAGGTCAGACATCCAAGAGAAGTGTCAGTAAGCAAAACATATTTTTGAGTCTTCCTTCTTTGCCAAACACGTAGGCTGAAATAAACAGAAAGGAAAGAAGTCTTAAAATCAAGGTTGACTTCACAGATCGCTGAAAGTCATTTAACGCTGGAACTGGGTTTTTTTTTAGGTTATGGTACCCAGCAGGGAGCTGGTCCTCGCAGGAAAGGATGCTGCTGCTGAGTATGATGAACTGGCTGAACCTCAAGACTTCCAGGATGACCCAGAGTATGCTTATACACTCTCTCACACACACACTTGAAGAACTAATAGTGTTAGTTGTCTCCTTTTGACCCCTCTTTTTTCCCTTTTTTTCAGTGTTGTTGCCTTCAGGAAATCCAACAAAATTGGTTTCTTCATCAAGGTGATACCTCAGAAAGAAGAGGACGCGGATGTCACCGTTTCATTCAAGATCCGACACGACTTCCGCAACCTCGCAGCTCCCATCAGGCCGAGTGAAGAGGGAGCTGACACCCCTGCTGAGGCCATCTGGCTCACGCACCATGTGGAGATGAGGCTGGGACCGCTCGCTCCCTGAACACAAATACTCTAGTTTTCATGAAGCAGTCTTAGTGTTGAGTCCTCTGAACTAATTTGTAAAACAAAAACAAAGTGTGATTCATTTGATTGAAAGTTCACTTCTGATTCTGCTCATCGATGTGAAAGAAGGATTAGAGATCTGTATGATTGTGCCTCCATTTTTTGGTTTGTGTGGTTATTGTTCAAGTGTCCTCATCAGCCATTGCTGAACTTTCTTTGAATGTAAACAGCTGAGGCTATATAGATTAAATGAAACCAAACTCACTGCAGGCTTCCTGCTCACTTATTATTGTTTATTTGGCCTTTTTCATTAATACGGTTTCAGGAACCCGCAGATATACCCCATCTAGCTCATCATACTCAGCTTTAACATTTCAGTGTCCATCAGGGGAGAAAAAAGCAGCATTAATGTAAGGTCACTTACAGGTTACAGAACTTTTTACAAATACATGTGTATTTACTTACTGGAAAAAAAAACTTTAATTGGAATTCTACCTTTAAGCATTGCTAAAGGTGAGAATGAATTTTAGATATATGCACAGAGTATTTACTGTCTCCACAAAGTAATGTCACACTTAACACCTAAAGTGTATTTTTTGTTATTGAATGGGATGTGGATTATTTGTGAATTTCTTTCTTTCAGGGTGGAGAATTGTTCTTGAGTGTGTCGTGCGTTATCGATGAGCAGAATCAGGAATCAGAATCTGAGAACAATCTATATTTTCCAAACTGCAGCACACACCTGTGCTTTCGCTTATATATCCTTGTGAACATCCTTTCCTTCAGCCTATAGTATCTTATTAACTCGCATGCTTCAACTGTAATAAATATTGCACATCTGAGACAATGTCATCACAGTCACTGATTCTTCACCGTTTGCGTATAAAAAAAAAGGTAATTTAACCTTTTATCTCAAATCGAACAGCAACCATCATGGGCACGAGGAGAGGATGAACAAGAAACTCTGTATGGAAACATGAATTACAAAGTATTCATCAATTCAATGTACTGAGACACTATCATTATTTTCTGATTTTTCTGTTGGTAGAGTTCACTGACATCTCGGTCAGTGTGTATTTAAGCTGCTGTCTTGTTCAGTCCCGTGTTAGTAAGACAGCCTTTAAACACAACGACACAGTTAATCCTCTGAACCTAATAAAATGATGTGATACTGTAACAGACCTCTTGTCTTGACTTTTTCAGGCTTGGAAGAGCTTTAGGGACATTTTTTGGGGCTCTGCTCTCTCAACTTGTCCCTCCCTCCCCACTTCTGCTCGGTTTCATGTCACACCCACAGCTGATTAAAATGCCGTGTATTAAGGTGGTGGGCTCAGATACAGCTGCAAGCCGCGCACGCACATCATCTGTAAACTAGCATTTGTGCAGACTTGCTGTCTAATGATCTAACAAAACCCTCTCCCACGGCACACTCTGAGCACTTATTGTGGTGGACCCTCTGTGTAGGCATGCAGGGACATGGCAGGCATATTCATTTTTCTCTGGCCCCATGAGGCAGCTTACACTCCCGTCAGGTTTGTCTGTACTACGATGAATATTAATGAGGTGATAGAAATTCTGCTTTTCGTTGCATGTTAACCTTTGCAGGGTGGCTCATTCAAACAGCCCCTCCAAGTATATACAAAATATACACAATTTACAAACTGCTGCAAGCAAGAAAACAAGGAATTAAAGTTTATATATAATTGAGTGAGGGGAAAGGATTAGTTTTTACCAATGTCAATAAAATCTGTGAATATTATACAGTAAGTCTCTGAGCTATATGTAGGCATTAATTGACAAAAATAGTACCCTGGCTAACCCCCTGCTGTGAAAGTTGAACTGCCTCAGAGCAGGGATCGGTTTGGAAAGGCCCTCTGAGACAGCTTTGACAGCCAGCTTTATGATGTTTGTTATCTAACCACAGGATGGCGCTACAGGCAAATATTTTCTTCAGAGTTGGAAAGGCGATATCCAGGGACTCACATTAGAGCATACAGGGGCATGCATCTTTTTGTGTGATCTTGTATTACAACACAAGCTGAAACAGAACATCTGATTATAAATACCTTCACCAGAGAAGGTACATGACACTCTGATCCAGACGAACACTAATCCAAAGAAAGCTGGATGTTCGATTATTTTTTTTTCAAGGGATGAGTCAAAGGGATAAGATGACTACTTTTCAGCATAAGAGGAAGACTGATAGAGAAGGATAGCTTGCTTTCCAGCTTGCTCTGTTTTGCTGTTGTACACACAAAGTATTCAGGGGTGTTTTGCACACATGGGGCAGTTTTCCACCTCTGAAAAATGTACATCAGGTATGTGAGAGATCAGGCCTGCTGCAGCTGTCCAGTGAGGCCACTCTGCTGTGTAAACAGAACCACTCTTCCCGAGCAATAAAGCCATGATTTTCTTTTATCTTCTGCAGATATAAACAGCTCAGAAGAGTGGCCTGTGGGAGGGCTATAAATCACCCCCGAAGATGAGGTAATAAAGCACACATGGGGTGAGTCCGTACCACTGATACAGCCCAGAAACCTGCTCAAACCACAGATAATGAGAGCAGTAGTTCACAGCAGCAATGCACTGTACCTGCTCTTCCTTGTAGGAGATCTTTCGTGCCGGCATTATAATGTTAGTATCATAACACTGCTTGTAGTATGTAGTAGAAAACATCATAAAAACAGTGAAGACTGTGATTAAGAATGGCTGTTTTACTTGTGGTTGTGGATTCTTATCCAGCGATCTTATAAAAGAGTTATAATCAGACCTTGAATGATCCTAAAATCCCCGTCTGGAGAAGAAATCTTGGATTCCACTGGGTAGGATAATATTTTCCTGGCTCAAGACTTGGATTATAGTATAGTCAGCACCAGCATGTTCTTATTTTCAGAACTTTATACTGTAAACAGGACAAAACTTTGACCTGTGACCTTGTTTTGGGGGGCTAGAAATTAATATCAGGGTGTTGCAGTAGTGTAGAGTAAGTAAAGGGAGTTAGGGTAGGTCTTTTGTGTCTCTGCTTTCCTCCTACTCTGTTTTTTTCTCTCCTTTGAAGACTCACATCTTTATTTATAAAGACAGGGCCCAGCCAGCCTTGACCAGATGAAACATTCCTCACTGAATTACAAGTCTGACTGCACTCAGGACTTTTCCACAATTACGTCAGCGCTCAAACCACCAGGAACTCACCCACAGAGGACGCATGACACAAGTGGGCAAAAGAGGAGAGGAGTTACACCTCAACAGAAGCAGTAAATTCCCTTGATTCAATAAAATGAAGCCTGCATGAAGATCATTTCTCTCTGTATTACCCCTCATTGTGTAAGTGCGCATGCATGAATATGAATGTGTGCTTTTTCTATCAGATCATTTAGGAGGACAGATAAAGTGAATAATCCCCAGATGAGACTCCACCAGAATAGCTTCGATACTTCCAGTTTCTAGGCATGAGAAGCTGAAGAATAAAAAACCAAGAGCTCTTTTTGGTCACCTTGCCTTTTTTAGGTTCCACTGTAGGCCTGAGGTGCTGTGAGTGATTAATCGCCCCCGTCAATTTCTGCTCACCGGACCATCATCTGGTTAATTAGAGATAACTGATGATGTCTACACACATGAATCACCGTGGGCATGTGGGCCTCCAAAGCGAAACCTTTTTTTCTCAAGAGCGGGAAAAAAACTTTCTCTCTACTCTACTCTTTTTGTCATCCTCTCTCCATCTCCCTCCATTTCCTCTCGCTTTCACTCTCCATCTGCGCTCTGATGGCTGTAGGTTGGTTGGAATGTTGACTTTGGACACCCAGTTGAATAAGATCGCTCTGAGAAAGCAGCTGACCCTCGACACCCCCTCTGTGCAGCAGTCAGATTTGCAGACTGCAGCACTCTGCTCTGTGCTTTCTCTTATTATTTGCTCAATTGCTCACCGGGTGCATTAGGTGTGTGAGGGCACAAATGTGGCAGCACCTGAGCTGAAGCCGGTGCAAAAGATTGGGACCTTCAGGGGGGGTGGCAAACACAATCTTCTGTGTGCTCAAGAGTTTTCTGTGAATGGAGTGGACAAAGTGGAGGTGGAATCAGACAATCGTAATGACTCCACTTTGAAGGAGGAAAAAATGCCTTTAAAGGAAACGTTTGACATTTCAGGAAGCCTCAGATTTGACTGGTTTGAACTCTTCACACGACTGTCCTCCTCAAGTGTTAGTGAAGAGGTAAAAAGCAATTTTCTTTTTTACCTTCAAATGTATTTTTGTGATCCTGGCTTGCTTGAGGAGATAAAATGTTTTGCCCAATGTCAAGCTCTAGTTAAATCCAATAAGACCACACACTGCAGACTTAACATCCCAGCAAAGAATCAGGGTGAAAATATTGGATATCAACATTGGTTTTGTGTTGTACAAACATTTTTCATTTTTGGGGCAATAATTATTTATTTGTGAGATCAAAGAAGCACTTGAAAATGTCTAATCTGCTGCTGGATACTAGGAATTAATATTTGAACATTCCCCTTAAGGCTTTTATGGGGAGTGTGCAGAGGTCACAGTCGGGCCTATTTTGGAAAAAAAAAAAAGAAAATCTGATTAATAGCTAATCTGCTCAGCTTCATGGCTAAATTTATCCTTGTATAAAAAATCACAATATAGCAGCTTACTGCTGGATTAATTACACGACATATTACAGCTTCATCTGAGATTTAAATGTACTGTTAAAGTGTTTCTAAGGAAAACAGAGAGAAACAGAATTTTTCTCATTTAGAGGCTGTTGATGCTTTTCATTATGGATATGATGGGTGAGACCAGAGGAAGAAACAGACTTTTTGGACAACTTTTCACTTTAGCACAACTATGTGTGCTTTCAAAACATGGACCCAATTTGACTTTAACGCATCTGGGGAACTTTCTTTATTTCTTATTTTGCACCTACATTTGACTGACATGACAAATTTATGGGAAATTAATCATCTGTAATGTAGGTTCAGGACATTTTCAGAGCTTCAAGACAGTCCCTGATTTCAACATTGGTGCAACTTTAATTGTATATCTTCGTAAATGATTTTATGGGACATTTTCATCTCTATTCGGAAAGACAGCTAAGAAGCGACTGGGAGTGATTGTGAGAAGAAATGTGATGACATAAAGTTGGAAGATGGTGCAGAAACTTCTGCATTAAGGACTGTAGCTTCTGTTCTGTATAAGACACACGCACAACAGTGTTTGTTTGATTGAGCTTAAATGTCATGAGTTTTGATTCAATATGAGACAGGAATAACTCCAGTCTACACTCTCCCAAAATGAAGTCAGGTTGAGTTAACGTTGCTTAAAACAGCCAATAAAAATGGCCCTCAGAGAGCAACTTAGAACACATTACGCATTCAGAGCATCAGATTTGTCCTCTCTATCACTTCATCAGTCCATCTGCATTAGCCAAAGTATGTTTATTAAGTGTCTGTAGTACTTCCTCTGCAGTAAAGACTGCAGTTGTGCAGTTTTGCCACTCACGATGGTGATAGATATCTTCTCATGTAACCATGTCTGGCAGAAAGTGAGTGAGTGTCCCTCATTTAAATTCCACTAGCATGTACACCAGTGTGTGCTGAGTTGTTTTGACACCTTTAAGGTCAACTTGAGCTAGACAGTGCTGCCACAGTCACACCAAGGTTGAATTTTCCAAAGACTTCAGTCTCCTTGAACAGAAAAATAACTCCTTTGTGAGACCATCAGATCAGAGCTGGACTCCCTCCGATAATAACATGAGAGCTCTACAGCAGCAACACTGAGATCGAAATGCAGTGATACCCAGAATATGATAAACCTCAGAGGTCTTAATATGTTCCTTTAAACAAGGTTTTTTTAATTGTCAGAATGAATTACACGCCCCGAAGCAATTCAGCCACACTCCAGCAATGATGCGAGTTCAATAAATAAAGGATTTCAGTTAGTGCAACACTTGTAATATAAGCACTATTGTTGTCATCTACAGCATAGCCAGAGGCATCCTGAGCGGTTTAGCCCCTTTAGGTCTGGCTGATAATGAGCTGGCTGCAGAAAATGTGCAGACAGACAATGAGGACAGAGACAGGTGGTTTCCACTGTACAACTACCTCAAAGCACGCAGCTAAAGCCATCGAGGCCCAGCCCAACATCACCCACCAGCACAGCACAAATACAGTATATCCACATCCACAC